TGATGACTCACCACCACCTCCACCACCACCACCAGTGGATTATGAAGATGAGGAAGCTGCAGTAGTGCAGTATAATGATCCTTATGCTGATGGTGATCCAGCCTGGGCACCTAAAACTTATATTGAGAAAGGTAAAGGATGAATAAGTTTGTGCTAAACATCCTTTTCCAGATTCCTTAGAGAGATTTAAGCCATGTGTACCCCATTCAGAGGACACCACTAACTGGATGACTTGACATAAATCCCCCCCCTTTTTTAAAAGAGTTGCAATATTCCTTCCTCCCAAAATTGTGCAGATTAGGAAATTAATGCTAACCAGATCTATGGAATTGTTTCTAAAGGTTAAGATCTTGATTGTACTGAAACATTACACAAAGTGAGCAGTCTATGGCCCTCCAGTTGTTCTTGGATTGCATCATATGTTGACTAATATTGATAGAAACCATATATTTTATGAGTTAGAAATGAAATGTAAGTATTGGAAATATAAACCTGTATTGGATTCTATCCTTGATTTTCAGCTTTATTTCCTCCAGTTGTGTAACCAGTTGTATAAAGTTTTTCCTTTGATTAACCTGTCTCCACCCTTGGTATCTGAACACACTTCCTGTGTAGCAGAAGTGGTGCTAAGATAGGAATGTATCCACAAATAGGAATATCATTGATAGTTGATATGTTCCTCTATTGCTAGCTTCTGTGTACTTTGTATTAAAGTCATCAAATGTTTTATTTTCAATTCAGTATAGCCTTCCCAACATGGTGTCCTCTAAATGTGATGGAATTACAATTGTCAAAATTCCTCTACCTGGTTGAGTCTGGGAGTTAAAGCCCCAATACTTAGAGAGTGTGCCAGTTTGGGAAGGCTTATTTAGCTTGATGTATGAATCCAGATTTTGTGACTTGTTAAATCATGTTTTTTAAAAAATGTATAGCTTCGTTTAGTTAGCTCAACTATTCTCAACATACTTTGCATCTGAAAGTTTATCAGAGCCCTCAAATTAGAATTGCCTTGTTTTTGCCACTTCATTTTATAAGTAATAAAATAATAATATATAATATTGCTTAGCACATTGTAAGCCACCCTGAGTCTCCGGAGAAGGGCGGCATATAAATCAAAAAAAAAAAAAAAAAATATCCTGTTTCTGAATTGATATGTAATGGAAGCAATACATATGCACTCTTCTTGTAACAAATATTTATTTTTTCAAATAAATCATACACTGCTCACTCACATTTTTGGGCTACATGTAATTTTGACACAACAGCATTTGTGGTTTATAACCAAAGTAAAGTCCTATCATTTGAAGGATTGTATGTCTGTAACAAGAATGAGAATTGAATTGGTAGCATGCCAAATTTTGTGGGTGGTAGTAATTGGGCTTTATTTTCCTAATACAGGGATAAATTTGAGGAAGCATGAAACTTCCTTTTACCCACTTAGTTTATCTAGTTCGGTATGGAGTATCCAGAATGCAGAAATCACCATAAGGCCTTGGATGTTTGATCCAGCCAGCTCTTGAGGGTCATTTTATTTGAAATGTTAAGGATTAGATTTTGGGATACCGTGTCTGCAGAGTGTGAGTTTTATTGCTGTGTTTCCCTGAAAATATGACCTACCTTGAAAGTAAGTCCTAGCTTGATTTTTACATGTGCGCCCAATATAAACCATACCCCAAAATAAGCCCTAATTAAGACCCCACCCACTCCAGGGTGCACTGGTAAAAATTAAGCTAGGGTGGTGGAGCTACCCTACTACAGTTGCAGCTAGGCCTCGCACACCCCAATACCTGCCTTGCCGGCCCATTTCTTCTGCAGACGGCAAGGCTTTCCTGAAGGGCTCTGCAGTCGATAACAGAGCTCTGGATCAATCGATCTGGAGCTCTGTTATCGGCTGCAGAGGCCTTCAGGAAAGCCTTGTCGGCCACAGAAGACGTTCCTGAAGGCCTCTGACAGCAAAAAGGAGGCTGGGGGTGACATGTGCAAATGAGGTGAATCAGTGGAAGACAATCCCCTCCCAAAAATAAGACATGATGCCTTTTTTGTTGCAAAAAAATATAAGACAGGGTCTTATTTTGGGGGGAACACGGGTACTAGAATGCAGAAATAGTCATTTCATCTGTTCAGTCAGTCTGGTACTGACTAACTCCCATACTCACTTAATTTGTTCTTGCAAGATAAAATTGTTGTATGGTTAAGGACTAATTCCTAGAAACTACGAAACTGTGGAGAGTTATAGTCCCACCCAGCTGGGTGACTTCGGGTCAGTCCCTCTTTTTCAGCGCATACCACTTCACACAGTTAATTTATGGGGAAAATAGAAGGAGAAAAAGAGCATTGGAAGGGAGGGAGGGAGAGACAGAGATATGAATCTAAAACGAAAAATCTGAATTGACATGAAAACCCTAGAAGTTATTTTAGAACAACTTGTGACAAAATTCATTGGTACCTCTCTTTTCATTTTTCTAGTTGTTGCCATATATGACTACACAAAGGACAAGGATGATGAGCTATCGTTCATGGAGGGCGCAATCATTTATGTGATAAAGAAGAATGATGATGGTTGGTATGAAGGTGTATGCAACAGAGTGACTGGCCTCTTTCCTGGAAATTATGTTGAATCAATCATGCACTATGCAGATTAATTCTTTTTTCAGGCCAGGCTTTGCCTTCAGTCATGCCATAATGATCTACAAAGGGTAAATTAACACTTGTCTTAATGCTCCTTAAAATGTGCACATCCTTTCCAGGCCATATTGTTTAAATGGCATGATTGAATGTTCATCTGTAAGCATCTGTTTCTGGAGTTTGTAAAATGAACAAATGTTTTAGGGGTGTGCAGAATGGAATGGTTTCTCCTCAGAAGTTTGGTATTTTCCCCAGAATGGCCCAGTCTGAACATTCTAGTGAGGGTTGTTTTTCCAGAAGTCTTTTTTTGGGATCAGAAAGAGAGTCATGGTGTTCTTAAACTCTTGTGCTTCTAAAACAAGAGTTCTACAAATCAGTTTGTGTTCTGGAAGATAAGCTTCCAGAAACATACAACCACAGAATGATTGGATTGGCCCATTTCAGAGGGAGAAACAGAACATTCCAAGAAAAAACTATTCTGTTTTGCAAATAACTGAACTGTTTATTACTGATTATGCTTATTTACCTATGCGTTGTTTTCTACGACCAGCCTAAATATTCTGGGGAAGTAGGGTATAAACTATTTAATGACTCAAGATTCAAATTGTGCCATTGTTTTCTTTTCTCAGTGCAACAGCGTGATAAACTAACAACTGTTAGACTAACTTTAAATCTGGTTGAAAAGTTTAATAATGCTGGTCATTTACCTTTATTTAGACTATTGCTCATCCTCAAAATATAGTATTTGTTTAAAAGCATGCATAAAAACTTATGTATTGAATTACACTTTCTTCTGAAAATCCAAGATGCTTCCAATTTGTTGTAATCTTTTACTGGAGTTCTTTCACTAAGAGTCTATTCCAGTGAGTCCTTTGAGTCTCTTATCGAATATGTCCATGTGAATCAAAGATGGGTGGTCTTATGATGTATGTGTAATTTGTACCTGAGTTTTTAATGAGTAAAATTGCATTGACTTTTCCATTCATAAATACATAAATGAACCAAAGGTCTTGTCCATTACTTTTGTTGGCTTGCCTTGTTTTGCAAAGCAATATTGAAGCATGTTGACTTACCAAATTTCCCCCTTATCAACAGAGTCATTTTTAATTTCAGGTTCAAAACCTTAACACCCTAATAAAGGGAAAAGTACACTTCTGCAGGTTACCATATATTCAGATTGCACTTATTATTTGGCTTATTCATTAGTAAAGGATACTACCCATGACTTTTGAGTAGCAACTACTGGAAACAGAAAGCACATCAATAAAAGGCTGATAGGAGAAAGTAATAAAGCGAAATTGTTCTAGCTTGCGAAAATGCCCATTAGTTTTCTTTTAGGTGACTTACCAGGTTGCAGTGATCTGGGAGCAGTTTTAGAGCAGAAATCTGTTTCTCTTCTTAGCTACCAGAGTGTGGCCAGGGATGGTGAAGTTTATAATGATAATGCACCACAGGATAGGTGAATTAAATATTTAATCACTTTTTAATTTTGGCTGCAATGGTACTTTTCCTGCAGCAAGCAGCCTTTTGCTGTAGAACTGCCTTAAAAGAGGAGCTTTAATGACACATTGCAAAAATAAATGAATGTGCAGAAGGTGGGCGAACAAATAATCCCAAGTGACTCTTCTGTTTAAAACTATGAAAGTTTCTTGCTCTGCTGAAAGAAAATTTTCACCACTGGAGGATTTTCTACTGATTTTTTTCCCCACATCACTATATTTAAGCAGCGCCTATCTAGGAATACAGCTCTTGTGGGCCTAACAGGGATGTATTTCCATAGCAATGCTGTTTCTCGTCAGGCATTCCACTACAAGAGCAAGAACAGTTTATATAGAAAAAGACATAGATTGTTGTGCCATCCATTTGGCTTTTAGCAGTAGAACATCTCCAGTTTGAGCACAAGGTTAGGTCACATTTCTGGTTTTGGATAGTACACAAGTTAAATCATAAAAGGATTTATTTCTTTGTGTAGTAAAGATTTATTTGGGCTCAATCACTGTCCTAATGGGCATTAGATAACCAATAAACAAGTGTACTAAATACAAGAACAATAATATTATCTATCAACATTCAATATTGAAAGATCCCTTGCCTTGTTGTTCCTTAAATGAACCTAATTGCTTTATTTGCCTTTTCCTGATTGTTAACATGTTGTTTCTGACCTCAAACAGCAACCCATGAAACATATTTGTATTCCCTTTATAAATTGGAACACTTCTTGATTTGTATATAACCTGTTTTAATTATAACAAGTATGTACAGTCTTTTATAATAAACCATTCTTTAATTTTCTGGGTATTTTGAAATTCTAACAGGCAATTTAATTATCCGAGGAGTTGGTTATACTCCCAGCACACGAGGAACTGCAGAAATAATTTAATACACTGATTGTATTTTATTGTTTGTGGCCTTCAGCATCAATAGTGAACAGTGTAAACAAATGCCCACATAAAACAAGAAACCTCTTCATTAAAAACATAGGTACCACATGCTGCTACCAATTTAACAGACTGATTGTGTTTCACTGTTGCATAAGGCTTTCTTCAATAAAAGCATTTCATAAGCCTAGTTACTTAACTAGGAAAACTTTTTTTAAAAAAATGGGAACTCCACCAGAAGCAAGCCAAGATGTTCTGAAACAGTTTAGGCACAGTCTGGTAAAATAGCTGCCAGAATCATCAGGAAGAAGAGGGTTATTTGTCTCGAGACAAAACAATCTCTGCCAGCTGCATAAGAGCATCTCTTTCTGGAGATGGTCGAAGTTTGCTAATCTCCTTCACTGCCTCATGGCAATAACGCTGTGCGAGGTAGTTTGTTTGCTGTATGCCACCACTCTAAGAAAAGACCAAAATATTAAAGGAGAAGTTAGTAAACTGCTGTTCCCCCATTCTGCAATTGGTTTTGTGAGAGTTTAGTTGACCCTTTTTTAGAACTGCATTTAATAGAACCATACAACTTTAAGGTAAATGTAGATTTAAGCTACTTTGAAAAGTTCCCTATCTCCAATGTGCTTTATACCATCATAGATGCTATGATTTACTATGCTATGAAAAAACGGTCCTTGAGTCTTAAACAACACCCGATATACCTAACTCGCTAAATATAAAAATTGGCAGTCTGCTGAGAGAAGCTTGCATGAATTACCAAGACAATATTTACTTGATCCACTTTCAGTATGATCATCTGTTGGATCAATGTTTTTTCAAACTTGGCAACATTAAGATGTGTGGACTTCAATTCCTAGAATTAATCAGCCGGTTTGGTAGATGAAGAATTCTGGGAGTTGAAGTCCACACATCTTAAAGTTGCCAGGTTTGAAAAACACTCTGCTAGATGCATATCCCTGCAAGAGCTAAAGACAACTTACCGTATTTTTCACACTATAAGATGCACTTTCTGCCCCCTCAAAAAGTGGGTGGAAATATCTGTGCGTCTTATAGAGTGATTATTGCGGCGGGGGTGGGGGATTGGTGCCTGTCACCACTGCTGCCGTTCGCCAGTGTGGGGGAATGTTGGAGCCTTTGCTGTTGAGCAGTTGATCGGTAATTGGATTGGCGTCCCAGAATACCACCAATAAGCTGTTCTAGGTGGTGTGGATTGCCACCGCCGATTGCTGCCGCCACCAATCCCTGCAGATCCTCGCTGCTAGAACAGCTGATCAGCAGTATTCTGGGAGGCTGATCCAATCGCCAGTCAGCTGCTCGGCAGCGAAGGTGGTGGCAGCAGCTCAGCAACATTTTCCTCCTTCATGGAGCTGGGGTGGGCGTGGCCTGTGTGTGATACATCCAAACTGCAGGCCACCAGTTTGACACCCCTGCCATACAACAATCCTTTGAGTAAGACTGTGCTAAAACAAAATGACTTGGCCCAAAGTTATCCTATGAATTTTCATGGCTAAAGATGAGTCTTGAATTTGGGCCTATTTTCTAGTCCTGTCCTTAATTACTACACCACACTGGCTCTCCATGAACATTCAGATTCTATACAGGAATATCTAGACTACCGTATTTTTTGGAGTATAAGATGCACCAGAGTATAAGACCCACCTACCTTTTTGTGAGGAAATGAAGAAAAATAAATCTCCCTCTGCCTCTGAGCAATTTTGCTTCGTTGCAGCAAACAGCCTGCTTTAGTTTCATTTTCAGCATACTTGATTAGCCCAAGGGGGAAAAAAAAAATCTGCTCCAGCAATTTACCTCTTTGCAGTAAGCAGCAGAGCCCTGCGAAAAACAGCTGAGAGCAAATCAGCTGAGAGTCAAGCGGCCGATCCAATCAACTTGTGCTAATTAGGCTGTGCTGAAGCTGAAAAGAGCTATTTTTTCTTGCTGTTTGCTTGCAAGGAGGTAACTGCTGCGAGGCAGAGGCCAAAGGGTGGGGGCCAGTGGGTGGGCAGGGCTACATTCGGTGTATAAGACACACCTAAATTTTCACCCCCTTTTAGGGGGGGAAAGGTGCGTCTTATACTCTGAAAAATACGGTAACTCTCCATGAACATATGAACAGTTCTATGCAAGAAATTCATGAATATATTTTCTTGCAAAATAGCATGGTCTTATTAAAATATTTAATCTGTGCTAATATATAATTGCTGTAGCATGTACATGGATTTACTACAGATGCTGTAATTTATCTTAGAATAACAGAATCAGACACACAGGATGTCAATGCCAGCATGGTATGTTTTCCCTAAAAATATGAAGAGGTAGTCCTTGCTTAACAACTATTTAGTTATTTTTTGAAGTTATGACAATACTGAAAAAATAATTACAATCAGTTCTTGCATTTCCGGTAAGCAGAATCAAACAGAGAAGCTGATAGTAAAACTGCAAGTCATGTCACGTGATGTCTCGCTTAATGACCACAGTGGAAGTGAGATTGTAAGCATCGTGGTCATGTGATGTCTCGCTTAGCAATAGTGTTGCAGGTCCCAACTGTGGTTTTTAAGCGAGGACCAGATGTACTTCAATCAACATTGTATCAATTGATGTTTGGTCTGCAAGGAAGAGTGAAATCATAAGAGTATACCAGATTTTCTTTAGGAACAACCACTACTTTAAATGAGGTTTTGTCTTACCTGTAATACAAATTCCTGGGCACGTTGGACATCGCCTGGGTAAGTGAATCGCCTCATTATCATGGCATTAATTTCTGGGAACTAGAACAGAGAAAAGCATTATTGTCTCATCTTTGGCAGTTCTTTGCCTACTGATGTAATCTAAATCCAGGCACAGATACATAAGGGTTTTTTTTCTAGCTTGCTGGATGTTTTTCTTCTCATGATCCACAATTCTATTGGAAGCAACCTTGCGGAAGTAGCTGGGGACTAAGGTCCTTGGTGCTCTCTCAACTTGCTTGTTTTCTTGCAGACGTTTCATTATTCTAACCATTACTGAAAAATGTTGGTAAAAAAATTACAGGGATCTGTCCAGGCAGCCTTCAAAAATCAGATACAGTTGAACTGAACCCCTATTGCCAATTAATATGAAGGTTAAATGCAACTTCCAACTATGTAAAATCTTGGAACACTCAAACCCAGACAGGTTTCTACATTAACTTTGAATGATCAATAAACTTAACCGTACCTTGTATTGCTAATTTGATTTAGGATAATAAACCAATTAAGGGTTAGTATCTTTTACTGAAGGGACGGGGTGGCTCAGTGGCTAAGGCGCTGAGCTTGTGGATCAAAAGGTCAGCAGTTCAGCGATTTGAATCCCTAGTGCCGCGTAACAGGGTGATCTTACTTGTTACTTGTCCCAGCTTCTGCCAACCTAGCAGTTCGAAAAGCACGAAAAATGCAAATAGAAAAATAGGGACCTTTGGTAGGAAGGTAACAGCGTTCCGTGAGCCTTTGGTGTTTAGTCATGCCGGCATGACCATGGAGACGTCTTCGGACAGCGCTGGCTCTTCGGCTTTGAAATGGAGATGAACAACGCCACCTAGAGCTGGGAATGACTAGCACATATGTGCGAGGGTAACCTTTACCTTTACTTTATCTTTTATTGCTTCTGAATTGAAAAGTATCTGTGGAGGCTACCTTTCCTTTCTTTAAGCATCTTCCTTTTTTTTTCTTCAAAGCATGCATACACAACAACATTTTTAAATTTTAGCATAAATATGTAAATGTAATATCTTGTTCATACTTGCTGGCAAGCAAATAAGACGGGTCCAGTGGCTATTCCAAGTTTAAGGTCCGCTGATGCAGGCTTTCCTAGCTGTTCAGAACATGATGTAAAATCTAGCACATCATCTACCAACTACAGTAAACAAAGAATATACAATACAAAGTTAACAAGATATCCTTGCAAGGATCTAAGTAAAGCATACATGTATAAATGCTCCAAACCTCCCCCTTTTTAGCATTTTATTTGATTGGTAAACACTGTCTGTAAGTCATCATTCTTTATACGTTACCTGAAATGCTATCCCAAGGTTTTTTCCATATAGATATGCAATTTCATGAACTTTTGGATCAGGACAGCCTAGTACAGAAACCTGAAAAAGAAAAAAAGAACAGAATATTTGGTTATTTCCCATTATTCATATGTGCCAACAAACCATTAACAATAGAGAAGCAGACATCAATAGCTGCATTCTGCCCAGTCCCTCTTTATATATCCAGAGTTTTAAAAAAATTAAGTTATGGGAAAGACCAAGAGCAACAGGACAGCATTAAAAACAGGGTCTTTCAAAGGTCTGAAGAGTTTTGGGAATAGAGATAGATAGATACCGTATTTTTTGGAGTATAACACACACTTTTTTTTCCTTCCTAAAAGAGGCTGAAAATTTGGGTGCGTCTTATACTCCGAATATAACCCTGCCCACCAGCCAGCCCCCACCCTTCAGTCTCCGTGCATCTTCTGGCTGCAAAGATTGCCACCGACAATGGCTTGTGTTTTTGGGCTCCGTGCATTGTGCTTTCAGTCTCCAAATGCTCCATTTGAGAGCCCTTCAAAGCTGCGGGGATTGCCAAAACAGATTGCTGCCAATCGGTGCCTAAAAACGCAATGTGTTTGGAGGCTGAAAACATGACTCACGGTATCCAAAATGGCTACCCGGAACAGCTGCTGCCTTTCTTACCCCTTCCGAGCTTCGCCTGCTTTAGTCACTGGAGCTCCCTCCGACGATCAGCTGTGCTTTTGAAGCTGTTTTTCAGCCCCAACATGAGTGAAGTGATCTTCAGTGCTTTGCTTGCTTTTCTAATTGCTGCTCCCTCCAACGATCAGCTGTGCTTTAGAAGCTGTTTTTTAGCCCCAACCAGCCCCAACCTCAAAACCAGCGAGCAAACTAATGTGCTGAAGCTGACCAGGCTAAGGACGCTAACCAGATGAATACCTGCTAGGCAGAATTTCCCCCCCTATTTTCCTCCCCAAAAACTAAAGTGCGTCTTATACTCCGGCATCTTATAGTCCGAAAAATATGGTAGATCAATAGATAGATGATAGTTACATACATAGATAGGCAGAGAGATAGATAAACAAATAGATGGAGATACCTTTATATCAAAAATGGATTGACTTTTAAATATTTAATAAAGTTGCACATATATAACTGCAAACACAGAGGCTAACACATAAGATTATGATTGCAAAATGATTTGTTAGTTTTACAGTTGTCATTAAATTTCATTGTAACGTAAAGAAAAGCATTCTAACAAATGTTGAGAAACCCGTAATTAACTATAATTTTTATTAACTTTACTAATCTTTATCTATCAGACAGCTAAATTGATGTATAATCATAAAATCACCAATGTGGCAAAAATCTATGCAATATTAGTAAGTAAGTTGTACACTTTCTTTACTTACCTCAGAAAGCAGAGCAAGAAGTATTCAATTAAAAGTACTATTTCTATAAATAATTATTTTAAATGCCTACTAGCCTAATATCTCAGGAGGACTGTACATTACAGAAAAGTTAATATGACAGACACTGGGCATTATGTATTTAGGGTCCCAAATCTTTTGGCTTTAAACCAGCACTTTTAAACTATGCTTGTAAATAAAGTAGTATCTTCTAAATTATTACAAAATTGTGTGATCCACTCCATGAAATACACTTCTGAAAAATATTTGCACTTGCTCTACTTTTCAAGATAAACCCTATCCAGAATTCACTAAGACATGAATCCCTCTGGCCAGATTCTTTTGAAGCATGCAAGAAAAAAAATGGTGCCTTCTACCAGGACCTCACTTTCCAAGCATACTAGTGGTCTAACGATCTACAGCCTGATTTCTACACTCATCTAATACTGATTTTTCATCTGGAACAGGGTTTATATCTAATTCTATATTAGGAATGCATATGATCAAGATAGGACTGATTCTCCATCCATTAGTTTGCCCATCCATGGTCTCTAACTGCAGGCAAGGTTTAGTGTAATCTAATTTTTTAAAGCTGCTGTGTTAGGCGTTTGGTTTGGTTGCCATCATATTTTTTTAAATGGCCAAAATTTCAAGAAAACACCAGATTTCTGATATTTTCTCATCCAGTATGTGGTAAGAAATTCAGATGGGAACTCTTAACATCTCATGAGATTCTATGAACTTGCACTTAATTATTTAAAAACAAAACAAAACACAATTCTATTCTATTTTGGAATTCTGTAGATACTATCTAGGGAGGCACACACATTGCACTTCCTAAAAACACTGCATTGTTAAACCATGGCTTATATAATGGGTTCCTTTTTTTAAATTGATATGCATTAAAAAAAAGGTTGGGAATATCTGTTTAGTACTTCTCCTGTCTTCTTGGAATCACCTGAAATAATGCAGCACAAGGTGAATCAAAGAAAGTTCAAGGACCCCATTTACTGAAATGCTAAGTAACATCTTGATAGCACGACAACTGTAAAACCATTATTTGCTCAATCAAGTTATTTCCATAAATTCAATGCCTTCTATGAAACTGATGACGCAGAAAACTAAGTTCATCATAATTGTTTTTTGTTTTGAATAAAGCTCCCACTTTTTCATTAGGTTTAATGTACTGGTTAAGTTATTTTCTCTCTTATTTTTCTCTCTGGAAAATGAACCAAAGATACCACTGCAGCCATTTTGTCAAAGCCCTTTATATTCATAAGCTTGTTGAAAAAAAAGTTCAGTCTTCTAATTCCTAATCTGTTTCTTCTCCATACATTAAGATAAATTAACAGAAAAGATGGAACGTACATACTGCTTTACAGCTGTGTGCTATAAGACTTGCAGTCTTCTTAAAAGTTTTTTCGAGGTAGTGAGAAAATCTCTCATTTTCATTTTCTTTGGAACCCAGCTGAAGAAATTCACCTGTAAAAGGTAAAAAAGATTAACGGTATTAGCAACTAATTGCTAAGAAATGGAAATGCAGTTATTTCTAGTTATGTTGCTAAAAAGCCTTACCACGCACCAGATCTTCAATCACTTGCGTTATTAGAGAAAGGACAGTTGTGTTCCCAATACGTGCTAAAACTAAAGATGCCGTAGAAAGGATGAAATCACCAGCTAAGACTGCCTGAAAAAGAATAATTGATTTTAAAATACTCTAGCTGGCACCATTATTCAATTTACCGCTTTGCATACCATTAAAAAAAAATCTTGTACATTAGTCAGAGAACCTGCCAACAAATAAATCTGGAAGGCAACATCAGAAATGCAATTACAAAGGACTGTACACATTTTATATTTTTTCCTCACTTATATAAAATATTTTCTTTTCATAAACTATAAACCAGAATGATAAGACAATGAGAGATTGGAAAGGAATTATGGGAGTTGAAGCCCATATATCTTAAAGTTGCGAAGATTGAGAAACACTGTTTTATACCCCTAGAAACTTCATCTAGTTCTTTTCTCTTGGAAAATCAAGAGCAGGGTTGAGAGTCCGCTTTTATTTTCTGCCAAAAGAGGATTACTTTACATTAAACTATTTTATCAACAGCTATTATCTGCGCATAACTAAGAAACCTGTTTCTGGGAGTTTCAACTGCATATACAAAGCTTAATAGCAACTGTTGGGCATCCAGAAAGAACTAAAGTTTTCTTTTTAAAAAAACAAAAATTAATATCTACTTCAATTATTTCACTTTCGTCCCTAAACCGTTCAATCAAGCCGTTGTGATCTTGCTCCTTTCTGAGCTCCTAGTTAGAGAAGGTGGTAAACTTCTTCTGGATTTATCAACAATCCTTCTGGGATAGTTTAGGTGGTTTCACTGATTGTTGATTTTTCTCCGGGCTCTTCCTTGGACATATATTTTGTATCTTTCTTGTACTGTATTGCTCCATATTGTGTCATGCAGATAAATCAATCAAGTAACATTCCCACTTCAACAACACTTTGTATAGGTAAGAAAAAATACTTGCCTTCCTTTCCCCCCAGATTTGATTAACAGTAACTTTTCCTCTTCGTGAATTAGCATCATCAATTACATCATCATGAACTAATGTAGCGGTATGGATCATTTCTGCAATTAATGCTACAGAGCGCTGGTTTGCCTTCACTTCTCTATGATTGAGATATGGGAAGAGGATAAGAAAAATGTAGCATGTCAACCCTGTCAGAATAGCTTGAACAATACAGAAAAAGACAGGTGATATCAAATCAGATTCAAAAATTTTGGAGACCATGAAAATTCTTGCCATATCCATTTATCTTCTGCAATAATACATAGCTTTTCTTTGAACCTATCCATTGGCCTTATCGACTGACTTTCTATTCTTCTACTTTCCTCAACCTTGCCTCACATAAACGGTTTTTAAATAAATTATCCACTTCTACATCATGGCAAATAGGTATGTTTCAGCTTGCTAATCTTCTAGCAGTTGCCCTGATAATAATGAAATGATATTCATGATTAATGTTTGGAGTTCAGTTTAAGTATATAATGAAATTAATATTTCATATTTAATGTAGAAGAGGAAATATAGAATTAAATTTGAAAATAAATAAATACTGTAAGTCAGGGCACAGTAGTGTAGGGTATTCACATGGTGAGAAATTATTTTCTCTTATTCTAAATAAGAGAAAATAATTTCTCTTAATGGATAAGTATCCATTAAATACAAGAAGCTTGAATATCTGCTAAATCTTGTTGTCGCTACTTGCTTTTGAATGGGAACAAACCTTAACTATAATAATTCAAAAATAAAAATTAGATATTTACCCAGAATTGTTATGATGAAAATTGCATGCTCTGGCCATTAGTGCCACAATAATTGGCCGAAAGGCCTTCCCTTTACCATCAAAGTAGTAGTCACACATTTCTTTAAGCTCTGTAGTAGAAACCCGTAATTCCTGCAAAAAGCCAAACAAAACCTGTCTATATCTGCTAATCTAGCCTTGGCTTTATGACAATAAAGTCCCTTCTAAAGAATGATCTATTGGAGCTTCTTATCATAGCTCACCAAAAACATATTTACCTTTTTAATATCCTCATAGAGATTTTTCAAGTCTTTCCCTCCAAGTTTAAAAGGATCTTTGTATTGTTCATCGCTGACTGCTTTACCAAAGTAATGAGTTTGCACTGTTGTATGTTGAAACCTAGCAAAACTTTTTGGGGAAGAAAGAAAATATTAACATAATCCCTGTAATTGAGGCAATTTATTCATTCCTGCCCAGAAAAAAAACACTATTGGTACTATCCTAATTGAATTTTTAAAAGAAAATACATAAAAAGAAATAGCTCTTCAAGCTTATCTACAAAGTTAAAAAAACATTATTCATTAATAATATTATTATTAATACTGAGAAGGAAGGAGGACGTAAATCTTCTAAAATCATTAAGTTTGGAGATCTTGTATGGATCTTGTGTTTGCATTAACCAGCTATGATACCTTCAGAAGCACTTATTTTGCAATTCTGCTCTTCAAAATGGATCTCTCTCTCTGCCCAAATTTTAACCATGGACAGGATAGAGACCCATCCAGTACAATTATTAGTTTCTGAGTCTCATACTTATATCTTGCTTCAGCTACATTATAGAATAAGACTAGCTGTTTAGGATATATAAAATTATAAAAAAACCGAGGAAAAATAGTTTAAGCATTTTATTCAAATGTACTAAGTTATTATCTCTCTGAGGGACATAGATGGTTTCTAAATCTGATACATAAATAATATAAATATTGTACCTTTGTGTGGGCATGCATATGGAGAATAAAGCAAAAGTTGTCATTTTGTATTGAATTAAATAAATGAAAAAAAACCCAAGTATTCCATTCTGCAGTTATTTTCCTTCCACTAAATCAGAACAAAAAAATCCAACACCAAGCTACATGTTATATAAAATATGAAATTCCCACTACATTAATTTCTTATGTTTGGTGATGCATACCTTTTCAGTAAATCACCATGAAGTACCTTATATGTTGTATACATATACATAAGTATATATCATATACATAAGTGAATATCATGTATGTAATAGCCAAAATTGCAAGTGATCACCAAGTTTCACAATATTTTATCTTCCTCACTATTTTGCAAAATCTTAGGCAGAAAGATCACATTTCATATAATTTCCTATGTGATTTTGGCTGTTTTAATTTTTATTTAATTTGAAATTTAATAGATGAGAATATTTGCTCTGGCTGCTTCAGCTGCTATATTAAGAAACATGCTTATATGATGATTATCAAAAGTCTTATGTATCGATTTAATGATTTATATTGAATGTAACTGTCAAAAGACGGAAAAAAGACTAAATGTATTCAATTTAATATCTCATTGTTGCATCCTTCACAGTCAAACTTTAAAAAATACTGAAGTTACCTACTTTAGTATGACTATTTTTTATAATGTATACAGTAGAAAGCTTTCAACTTACCGCCAACATATACTATACATTTTTGGAAAAAATAGACACAGTCTTTCCCCTAAAAAACTAGATTTCTGTAGAAAGAGAAGAGAAAAAAAAGGATATTTATTATCTATATTTTATGCAGAATTAAGATAGAATTAACAAAAGTTACTACAGGTTACAGTGGCAATTGGAATAAGAATTTCTGTTGCTAAATGATGTGGTTGAAAGGTGCGACATGACATGTCATTTAGCGATAGTAATCCTGTAAATTCCAGTTGCCATCATAACCCCAGGACCACATTAGTTAAGCGAAGACTTCAAATGAACATGACATGGGAGAAGACGGAAGTCCCAGGCAAGCAAGCTGGTAGGTAAGAGTTATGGATGAATGGATGAATGTTATGGACAGAGGCCATGAGACCAGGTCGGTAAGTGCCACAGGTGGGGAAGCCAAAAAGTAGCAGGAAGAGCAAATCTTTATGTTGTCTTTATGGTAAGGCATTTTTAATTGCAAATATATGGAAAGGGAACAAGAGAGAATGAGGTTAGTTGACTGAACAAGATTAGAAGTCCTAAATTAGGTTTTTATTGCAGAGTTTGTATGCATAGGGTCTTTGAAGCTCATACAACAACACTCCACAGATATTTCCCCTTATATCCACTTTTCTGCAGAGCTGTTGAGTAGTATACAAGTGGCCCACATATAGGTAGTTGTCTCAATGAGTTTTAGCCACCATAGAAGATAAGGTAGGGAAGCATAATAAATTTCTTTCATTTGGAAAACCTTGTAAAAATCATTACTAGCTTAAGTCTCTTCATTTCTTTCTTTCTTTTTTTTTTTGATTACTTTGATTTTTTTTATTCTTTTTTTTTTTTGAACTGTTGCCATACTTTCTCCTGAAGATATTGGTTCGGAAGTACTGTGAAAATGGGTTCAGATATCTACAATGAAATGCAATGGGGTGAGCAAAATAATAAAAAAAATGCCTATTTCATCTCTGACATCTTGTACAGGCCAGTAACTTGTGAATTAATGAACCTGGTTGAAAGATAGCATGTTTTCTCAAACTTAGGTATGTGTTGAAGCAACAGTACTTTTTATCCCACTTTTTTATACTTTGGCCAACTCAAGGCGACAAACATACCTAATATTCATGCCTCCTATTTACCAGCCAGTATAGCCCGTTGAGAATAATGCCCACTGACAGATCATTTAATATTTCTAAATGTTTAAGTCTTTTAAAAGATACCTTCAAGGCAAGCAAACCACATCAACACATCTTGCTGCAGTCTGTAACAGGATGGTACAGCAGGAAATACTGTTTAATGTAATGTGATGTAATTAATTCAATTTATATGCCGCCCCTCCTCCGAAGACTCTGGCCTTTGCTTATTGGCTCCGCAATCCCTTCCTTTGCCCTTCTGCAAATCTTAGTCGTTATCTGCCATCCGGTGCCCTCCAAATGCCCCAGGTGACATATCTCATCAGCTGCACCCCAACACCACTGAAAGTGGGCTTGGGTAACTAACTTCCTTACTCGTCGCGCCAGGCTTGGAAAACGCTTCCCTTTCCGCTCCTCGTTTTCTCTTCCTCCCTTCGCCTGTTTCTTAAGAATACCATCCCCGCAAGCGATAAGGGCGTATTACAAACGCCGCATATCTCAGGGCATCGGGGCTGGTAAGCGTCGCCTTGGTTTTCAAGGGCTGGGCTGCTTCTGGAGGTTCCCAAAGGCGCTTCCTTCCCAACCTCCCCACCGCTCCGCCCGCGTCCTGGTGCAACCCCTTCTTCCTTCACCCGGGCGCCCGGAGTTTTCTCCCCGGGATCGACTCCTCCGCTGGGACTCATTCATTCCCTTCCTGACCTCCATTCGCCCCCAGTGCATAGCTACTTACGGCCGTCTTCAGCGCCGGCACCGCCAGTTCATCGCCAGGCTGCTTGTTAGTGCCGCCGCTGCTGCTATCCAAGACGCAGCTTCGCAAGCTGTTGAAGAGTCTCGCCGTCCGGGACGAAGTGGCGCATGAACAGCAGCAACATCGAGGCCGACACCAGAGCGCCATGGCTTCCGTTTCAGGTCGGGCAAAGAGGCCACCGCCTGTCGCTGCCGCTGTTTGCAGATGGCAATAGGCCCACCCCGCAATCTCCTCGGCTGCAACAGCAGCAGCGACCCGGACGCGGAAACTCCGGGTTTGAGCAACGTGAGTGTGTCTGGCAACGCCGCCTTCCCGGAGCTCTTGCCAGGAAACGCTTCAAGAGAAAGAGGCTTATGAGGAGGCAAGGGAGTGGCGGGGTGGTGCAAGAAGAAGGAGGAGAGAAGGGATCAAAATCCTCCCATGATTCTCCGGCGAAAGACCCGAGTCGCGATTAGATCCGGATTTAACTCGCCCCGAGTTGCTCCCTGCGCTGACTGGCTGCTGCTCCCAGCATACAGCCACGTGAATTAGAATCTCCCTCTTCCGTACAAAATGTCACTTAGGATTTGTATTAGAGAGGTGGGAAAGAGTAAGTCTGTCTGAAGTTATTTCTGAGAAAAGATGGGTTAGGAGGATTGTGACCCAATGATGATTTGGGAGTGGGGAGTGAGGGGGGGAGGAAATCTTTTAATAACGACACCACTTTTAATAACGTAAGCAGGAATCTGTGTGTCTTTCAGTGTGTTTGGGAGTTAATTTTTGGACACAAGCATACTTTGTTGATTCTGTGCTATTGCCCTAGACCCAGTAGTAGGTAGGTAGTGCATTTATAATAGCCAATAAAAAAGAGGAAGGATAATGTTAAAGCTTTTGAACTGCCTGAAATTCTTACATCTGCTGATGAAAAGAAAAGGAAAGAGATGGATGAAGCAAGGTGTAAAAATTAGGCCAAATGTTTTATCATTTAAGATCGGCAATTCAGACAAGATATTGAGAGAGAAGTGCATGTGAATTTGGAAGTGAACTCCAAAAAGTATGCCAAAAAAAAGGGGGGGGGATAAATGCTGCTTATACAGGGAAGGGAAAAACATGGACATATTAGGATGCTAAACATGACAAAGGGGAAAAGACTTAATAGAAAAGGAAGAGAAAAGATCCATGTAATAATTATTGATAGCAATATAAAATTAATTCAAAGTTATCATTAAATGTAGACCACACAGAAACATTGTTTCATCTTCTCATTTCTAGAATACATTTTTCAAAGATAATTAACAAATTCATACCTGGATCCATTCCTTATAATCAAGAGGGTAAGTTTTTTCCATTTGCCTAAAGCTATTTTGAAAAGAATTAAGTTCATTTTTAAATTTTAAATGCATTCATTCTTGAAAATGGGATATTCCAATTCTCAATTCTAACATTCAGAAATGTAAGTTTTATAACTTGCATTTTACTTTTTAAATTATAAATATGATTGAATGGTTGGTTTGTGGTCAACCATTAAATTTCTTAAAGATCCCAAAATTACAAGTACCACTGTGGTTATTTGAGCATTTAGATCATATTATCTGGTTAGTTCATGTTAATACATTGCTAGAATACATTTGTTCCAGTTAACAAAATAATCAGAAAATGTACCATGTTGCTGTTCCACCTCAATAAGCTTTGATAATGACACTGTATAATTATCAAACTTAGCCATAATACCAGGGGTGAAATGCTCCCGGTTCGGACCGGATCACCCGATCCGGTAGCAATGGCGGTGGATGGTTCGGAGAACTGGTAGCAAAAATCCCTGCCCCTGCCCCATGCCCAGTTGAGCCACACGATCATCAAAGCCTTGTTTTTGAACTTTTAAAATTATTTTTTCTTCGGCCAAAAAAATGCTTTTAAAAGTAAAAAGAAAGCCTCTGATGATCGCACGGCTCAGCTGGGATTGTCAGTGCCTTTTAAAAGTATTTTTTTACAACCTCTTCCGCTGAAGAGGCTATAGTAAAAATGCTTTTAAAAGGCTCTGATGATCCCAGCTGAGTTGCCTCATCGTCAGAGGCTTTTTTTTCTTTTAAAAGCAAAAAAAAAAATGCTTTTAAAAGAAAACAAAAGCCTCTGATGATCAGGCAACTCAGCTGGGATCGTCAGAGCCTTTTAAAAGCATTTTTTCTACAAGCTCAAAGAGGTTGTAGAAAAAAATGCTTTTAAAAGTTAAAAAAAAAAAAGTTGGCTACGCCCACCCTCCCACCAAGCCACGCCCAAAGAGCCGGTAGTAACAAATTTTACATTTCACCACTGCATAATACCATTAGCATGTCAGAACAAGTTATCACATGCATATTTCCATACAATCCTTTAATAAAAAAGCCAATAGTTCAGAACCACTGTGAAGATTGATTGATTTGAACAATTGGCACTATATAACTTGGTAGACTGAAAGACAGATATATTCATAATAATTCTAGCCTCTGGATGAAGGTACAGCCAGTCTTCATTTAATAATCCTAATTGGGACTGGCATTGAGTTAAATGTCACTTGATTGCTTTGTTTAGCAATGGCAGTTCCAGCAGTCCCAGTTACTGTTATTGAGTATATGCAGTCATTAGCAAGGACACACCTGGATCCAAACCATACTTGGTAAGGCACTGTCTCCATCTTTCCCATCCATGTATCTCTCCCATAACTCTGTCCTTTTGGCCACTACCACAGTCAGTTGCCCCCATTGTTCAACCCTTCCTGCTATTTGATGCCCATCATACTGCGCACCATTTTCACACCAGGTTTCTTTCATGTGCCAGCCGGATCTGTCTTTTGCAAAAAAAAAAAAAAGGACACAGCCAGCACACACACAAAAAAGACTTGGCCAGAAATGGCCTGTAATGTGTAGTGGGATATACCCTGCTGACTTGTAGCTCTCACACATTGTCCTGCATGAGATTTCCATGGGGCCCCATGTGTGACTGGGATAGCGTAAAGAGATGGCAGTGATGATGACAATGAAGGTCAGCTGGGAGTGGGAGATGCACAGTAGTAGGTGGACTGGACCCAAATTTTGTTTATTTGATGTGAGGGTATTATGATGGCCAGAATTTCAAGAACGAGTTGTAAATTCCTTTGTTCAACACCATTGTAACTTCAAACAGTTGCTGAATGAATTGTCATTAAGTGAGGAATAGCTACGTCAAATTATAATCCAATGAACAAAATAAATTGGATGATATCATAACATCTCAGAATGTGCTAAATCAGGCCTCTTTAGCATATAACAGAATTAGAAAAATGCAGTAGCTGTTGAAATTTCAACATAATGCTAAGTGGTATCCTAAAACTTTCAATCCTTGAAGCTGCTTTGGAGGAAAAGGTTGAGAGCACTTGAAGAATCTGAAGCTCATTCATGGCTAAGCCACAATTTAGCACTGCATTCTAAAGAGATAATTCAGCTTCAGACAGTGGAGCTGTCAACGTTCATTTTCACACATAGTTTGAAAAGTCAATTGGCTGAAGATATGATCTGCTAAATAAAACCATAGCTATTTATACAACACTATTAGCCATGTGTGGCCAACCTGAAGTTTGTGTGTGTGTGTGGCAGAATATCCTGACCTTGCTCACATATTGCCTTAGGCACATCACTTTGTATCATCATCATGCATATTATGGTGCTTGGGTATCTGCAAAGAGTTTCTAAGTACTGGTTCCCTTCCCTTTCTAAGTACTGGGTTGCAAATTATAGCAACATTAATAAAACAATAAAACAAAACAAAACAAAACAAAACTTTGGTTTAACTTATAGAATGTAAAGTCTGGAAGTGACCTTGAAGTTCATCTAATCCAGTCCTTTGCCTAAGAACAGGAATCTACTATTACACCATCTCCAACAGATAGCAATCCAGCCTTTATTTAAACAACTCTTATCATCTTTCATTATCAATTCTGCTGTTCTACTGGCATTCTGCTCAACAATTCTATTAAGGCATTTCCCCATTATCTAACTGAAATCAATTCCTTTAAATCCAATGTTTCTTGTCCTGTATCATATACTGTTTTACCCTATCTACATTATAGTCCTTATTCTTGAAAACATAAAACATGTCTAATCTTGTCTTTGAGGTTAAACTTTCTTAGCACCTCTGACTATTTCTTACAGGTTTCTGCTTCCATGTCCCATGTCACCTTGGTTGATCTTTGGATTGTCAATCTTCTTTCCAAAATGTGGCACCTAGAACTAGATGCAATATTCTATATGCCACCTGTCTAGTAATTTACGTATAATTACAATATTGATTGAACAGATTTGCCATCTTATATAAAAAAGGTAAATAAAATAATTTTCCTAGGATTAAACCGGGGTGAAATCTACTTACCTTCCTTACTGGTTTGGAAGTACATGTGTCACATGTGTGCGCAGACCTTCTGCGTATGCGCAGAAGGTTTTGTGCATGCGCAGAAGGTAAAATCACATTACTTCCTGGTTAAAATCAGGAAGTAACAACACCTGGGCGGGTTGGCGGAACTTTATGCTCTGCAATCACTACCAGATTGCCGAACGAACCGTGACAATCGCTACCGGATCGCATGATTCGGTCGAACCAGGAGCATTTCACCCCTGATTCAACCAGGTACCTGATTCCACCATTGATTTTTGGAAATCCGTGGTCAGCCCATGATCATGATTATTGGATTACTTTCAGAGAAAACAGACTTGTCTGATCTGTAGTCCTTGATTAATGATGGTGATTGAGACAAGAATTTCTTTCACTAAGTGATGTCATAAAGCACAACATCATGTCACTGCACCAGTGGTGGGTTGCTCCCAATTCACCCTGGTTTGGGCAAACTGGTAGCGGCGACGGCAAGAGGCTCCGCCCACCCACCCAGATGTCATCAAAAACGCTCTGCGCATGCGCAGAAGTGCTGTGTGCTTGCAAAGTGAGCGCACGCATCCGCGTGCTACCGATACCAAACCGGTAGCGCCGGGATTTGAAACCCACTACTGCACTGCACTGCTTAATAACAGAAGTTTCAGCACATCTGAAACCCAGCACATATGGGATTTAAGCAAATCCCATACCATCATTAAGCACAATGTCACATGACTGCCATTTGTGCTGCTTATCAGAAGCCTACAGTCATGGTTGCAGAGCCTGCATTCCTGTGGTCATGGGGATATTGTGATGGCCAGAATTTTGAAAACTGGTTGTAAGTAACATTCATTCAGCACCATCCGAAGTTTGAACAGTCGCTGAATGAGTAGTTGTTAAACAAGGAGCTATTTGATCAACAGTTTTTGTCCTTTTTTGCTGCAATAAAGAAATAGTTATCAGGAAGTTAACTTTGAAAGGATATCAGAAAAATGGAATAATTGATTTAACAAGATTGGGCAGGAAGGATATAAAGGCATAAAATCGAAATATTAAGCTTCCTGATAACTTATTATCTGGACACTTTTCAGCCCGGCTTCAGACCTGGCTACAGCACGGAAACTGCCTTGGTCACGCTGATGGATTATTTTTGGCGAGCCCGAGACAGGGATCATTCCTCTATCTTGGTGCTACTTGACCTCTCAGTGGTTTTCGATACCATCGACCATGGTATCCTTCTGTGGCGACTAAGAGAGCTGGGAGTGGGAGGCACCATGTGGCGGTGGTTCACCTCTTATCTCTCTGGTCGATCACAGTCGGTGCTGGTAGGAGGACAGAGGTGTTCCCTAGGCCCCTCGTCTGTGGAGTTCCTCAGGGCTTGGTCCTCTCTCCCCTCCTATTTAACATCTACATGAAATCACTGGGTGAAATCATCCGACGACACGGGGTGGGATATCAGCAATATGCTGATGATACCCAGCTGTATATCTCTACCCCTCATCAGTTCAGTGAGACGGTAGATGTGATGTGCCAGTGCCTGGAGGCTGTGAGGATCTGGATGGGAGTCTATAGGCTCAGACTTAACCCAGACAAGACCAAATTGCTCTGGGTATTGCCCTCTAAAGACTATGTCGATTGTCCATCCTTGGTTCTGGGGGGAGAGAAAGTGCCCCCCTCAGAACGGGCTCGCAATTTGGGTGCCCTTCTAGACTCACAGCTGAGATTGGAACAATATCTGACAGCTGTAGCTAGGGGGACCTTTGCACAGGTTTGTCTGGTGCACCAATTGCGACCCTACTTGGATCAGGAGGCTCTCCTCACAGTCACTCATGCCCTTGTCACCTCACGGTTGAACTATTGCAACGTGCTCTACATGGGGCTACTCTTGAAAAGTGTTCGGAGACTACAATTGGTCCAGAATGCAGCCGCGCGAGTTATAGTGGGTGCACCTAGATACACCCACATTATACCAATTCTCCGCGAGCTGCACTGGCTCCCTATCGGTCTCCGGGCGCAATTCAAGGTATTGGTTATTACCTTTAAAGCCCTACATGGCTCAGGACAGGCTATCTTCGAGACCGCCTTCTACATAGCTCCCAGCAACCGGTAAGATCCCACAGAGTTGGTCTCCTCCGGGTCCCGTCAGCTAAACAATATCGGCTGGCGGGCCCACCGGGGAGAGCCTTCTCTGTGGCTGCCCTGGCTCTCTGGAACCAATTACCTCCTCAAGTCCGGACCGCCCCCACTCTATTGGCCTTCTGGAAAGCGGTGAAGACCTGGCTCTTCCGGCAGGCCTGGGGCCGTTGATCTGGTTATAGTGATCTTGCGAGACCCGGCCACAAATTGGAATGTATGTGTTTTAACATTTTAATGTTTTAATGTCTTCTTTTAACTTTTGTATAGGATATTGTTGCATTGTTTTATTCTCTGTTGTAAGCCGGCCAGAGTCCCTTGGGAGTTGGGCAGCATAGAAATGCGACAAAATTGCATTGGTAGCCTTGGTAGCACAGTGGTTTAATGCACCCTGTTATTAACACAGCTGCCTGCAATTTCTGCAGGTTCGAATCTTACCAGGCTCAAGGTTGACTCAGCCTTCCATCCTTTCTAAGGTAGGTTAAATGAGGACCCAGTTTGTGGGGGCAATAAGCTAACTTTGTATAAATATACAAAAGTATGAAGGCTATTGCTTAACGCATTGTAAGCCGCCCTGAGTCTCCGGAGAAGGGCGGCATATAAATCAAATTAAAATAAATAAAATAATAAATAAATAAATAAATAAATAAATAAACTTAACCTATTTCTTTATTGTAGCAAAAAAGGACAAAAACTGCAGTATCAGAAATCTGTAGTTTTGCTTCCAAATTGCAGTGGAATAATCTTGAAATATTCTTGAGAGCTACAAAAATATATTGGTACTCCTATACAGTTTGTGGATTGCTTATATCTGATTTAGATAAAACTTTATTTTGAAGTCCTAGTGGACGATTACTTAAACATGAGTCAGCAGTGTGCGGCAGCAGCCAAAAAAGCTAATACAATCCTTAGTTGTATAAACAGAGGCATAGGATCAAAATCATGTGAAATATTAGTACCACTTTATAAAGCCTTAGTAAGGCCACATGTGGAATACTGCATCCAGTTTTGGTCACAAAAAAGATGTTGAGACTTTGGAAAAAGTGCAAAGAAAAGCAACTAAGATGATTAGAGGCCTGGAGACAAAAACACATGAAGGATGGTTGCAGGATTTAGGTTTGGCTAGTTTAGGGGAAAAAGAGAATAGGGGGCACATGATAGGAGTATTCTAGTATTTGAGAGATTGCCACAAAGAAGAAGAGGTCAACATATTTTCCAAAGCACCAGAATGCAAAACTAGAAACAATGGATGGAAACTAATCAAGGAGAGAAGCAACCTAGAACTAAGGAGAAACTTCCTAATAGTAAGGACAATCAACTAAAGAAACAGCTTGCCTCCAGAAGTTCTGTGGGTGTTTCATCACTGGAAACCTTTAAGAAGGCACTTGACAGTCACTTGTCTGAAATGGTATGAGATCTTCAGCTTGAGCAGGTGTTTGGACTAGAAGACCTCGAAGATCCCTTCCAGCTCTAGTCTGATTGAACTGATTAATTGAGGTCCCTAATGGACTGATCTTTCTTTAAACGTAATTTTTATTGAATAAATTTTTTACAAGATAAAAATAATACAAATATTAGAAAATAATCAAGAAAATCCAAACAATTGAGTTATTAATTGTTTAATTAAAACAATTAAATAGAAAAAGAAAAAAGATTATAAAGAAGCAGTTTTTCATGTTTTTGACAATAGTTATAAATGCATTTTTATTTTATCCTCTCTCTAAAGTTACATCTTAATTTCCTTCTTCCCTAAACTATATTTCTAATCTTCAAACCCATAAATCATGTACGTTTTCTCATTTTTTTCAGCAAAAAGTCCAGAAGGGATTTCCAGTCATTGACAAATGTTGATCAAGTAAGTTAATTTTGCCATCTCTAGCAAAAGTTCTATCATCTTCAGCAACTATTGCTATATTGTGGCTATTTCAGAATCTTTCCATTTTTTTTGTCCATAATAGATTATTCTAATATGATCTTTAAAACAAAATAATATTTTAACAGATTTTTCTTGGCTGGAGAAAAAAAAAATGAATGGAAAAATGGAATTGCTATTTGCCTATATATACCCTGTTTTCCCCAAAATAAGACATCCCGTGGTAATAAGCCCCAATCGGGCTTTTAAGCGCACGGCCATAAGGCCAAGCACTACTTCAGGGTTCAAAAAAATATAAGACAGGGTCTTATTTTCGGGGAAACATGGAATATGAAACTAAAACTGCGAGGAAGTTGTTTTTATAAATGTAAAGGCTCAGAAATAAAGCTGTGTCTCATTATGAATATCAATTACATTTGTTTCCCTTCAGAATTGATCATGATTTAAGAAAAGTTGCGGGACTTAATATGTCTGGTTGCTGGGCAACTTTATGGTGGTTTTCATTGTTAAGATTGGTATATCATTCTGGATGTTACCTCATTGATCCAATTGCTGCAAGTAGTTTTAGCCACATCCATAATTACGTCAATGCATCAAATTTGGATCAAGATTATTGTGAAAAGAAACTGAAATTAACTACTTTAGATGAATGGAAACTTTCTACAGAAATGTTCACAGGTACGTATATAACCCCTGACAACATGTACATATTTTTATTGGAATTTTATCTGGATAAACAATTTGCCTTAGTGCTATTCCAGGGTAGTTGCTAACTAGAGAACTCTATGTGGCTGAAAATCAACAGGACTGATTATCTTATTCGGTCTATTTCAGTGAAAGTTAAGTGTGAATTCGGCTTGGCTTGCTAGCCTGCTTTTATTTAGGATTATATTTAAAACCTATACTATTTTTCAGAAATGTTCCTACTACTATAACCTTGGGCATAGCCTAACTATGGAAAATGTGTTTTTGTTACATTGTTGACTTTATTTTTTATACAATCTAATCTAAGTCAGGCAGTTTTATTGAACTATTGAGTATATTTGTAACGTTGAGATATTGTTGTGGATGTTTGTCTAAAATGGCTGCTTTGGGGAAATTTGATTGTTCAAAAAATTACTGCCATTGTAGAAGCAACAAGGGAGAACTTCCGGGTAGCTGACCAAAATGGCGGCTCCGTGCTAAACACCGAAATGCGGAGGTGTATGATAGGCACCTTTGAGGTGTTGGGGGGCCCGCAGAACATCTAATGACCCCTTTCCTGGAAAGCAAAACATCGCCCGTCCGATCGATCTATGGACGGAAGGGGTGCGAAGGACGCCAGTGATGGTGAGGCCAGAGCCTGCTTGCCTGATTGCTGCTGCCTAACAGATTTAAAGGCTTCCATTCTAATCGACAGTTACAACAGCTGTGGCGCTCAAATCGCTGGAGAAAGCCGCTCTGAAGCTGGTTGGGGCCTTTTTTTTTTTTTTAATTTGATTTATATGCCGCCCTTCTCCGGAGACTCAGGGCAGCTTACAATGCGTTAAGCAATAGCCTTCATACTTTTGTATATTTATACAAAGTCATCTTATTGCCCCCACAAACTGGGTCCTCAATTTACCTACCTTAGAAAGGATGGAAGGCTGAGTCAACCTTGAGCCTGGCGAGATTCGAACCTACAGTAATTGCAGGCATCTGGTCTTAATAACAGGGTGCCTTAGACCACTGTACTATCAAGGAGATGGCAGCAGCTGCGGCAGCGTTTTCAACGTCTGTAGGGATAACGATAATGATGGTGGCAGTGAGGAGGGTGGAGACATCTGGAGGCTGCCATAGAAGAAGTCGGTGTTGCAGGAGGCTCAGGATTTGCTCTAAGTTTAGGGCGATGTGGATACCCCCTTTTTCTGATCTGCAGGGGGACTAGTAGTCATCTAAGGCTGAGGGGCCTTTGAAAAAGAAGTCTGGAGGAGTATGTTGAGTGGGTGGAAGACTACAAGAAGGGGATGTTGATTGATTTCCCACTTCGATAAACCTCTCCCCCACATCAGGCCTAGGCCTAGTATGGCCTCTCAGCTCAATTTAATGATTCCCTGCTTTGACACCCCCACCTGAATATCTCTCCCTTGCTGTGTTACCCCATCAGCTGTTGTTCTATCAGCACTTACTCTGCTCTTTGATATACCATCCTACCCCTTTAATTCCATCTCGGCTTCCACAGATATCGAAGGGAATGAAGACACTTGACACTGTGAATCCTTATTTGCCCCCGTTTATTTTGTAGGGGAACGGACCATCTCCTCTTAAATCATTTTGGACTCTGGACTGATCATCATGAGAAGGCGGCCATTAAGACCTTTATTTCCCCCTGGACAGAATTGTAATTTTCAGATTTCTCATCGCTATGAAAGGGCGGTTATTGTTCTAGTATGTTGGTGCTCTACATAACATCTTCTTCCCCTCTACTATGACCATCTCCAACACCTTCAGAAGATTGTCTCTCATTCCCTCCAGCCTTTTCTTCTATTTACGGTGTACTCAGCTGCGGAACTCCTTGCACTGCGAGATTGCCCCCTCTCGCAGGTTTGGCCCTCTCAACTATCGAGGGCCGCCCTTGATGACGGGTTTTGGAACCCCGAGAGGTGGTACACTAAAAAACAGAGGATCTGGGGTTTTTTAAATAGATTTTTAGATCCAATTTTAAGGGGATCTGGGAGTAGGGTGGTTTTTAACAACAAAAATGAGACTGGTGGGGTCTCTTAAGGATCAGCAGCCATGCCATTCTGATGGTCCCGGTGGATTGGGGGGGTTGGGAGTCGTAGAGGATGTTCGGAGAGGGGTGGGACATTCTATACCTGTGATGGTGGGATGGGGCAGAAGAAATGGAAGTAGGGTCGGGAGCATCACACCAGATGCATTCGGGTGGTGACTTGCTCCCATGCCTCCTGCTCACCCTGCTTTCCTGGGGATGCGAGAGCGAGGAACCCTGGTCTCAGTCTGGTGTATGTGAATGCCAGGTCCGTGATGAATAAGGCCCCCCTCATACGAGATCTTATTGATGAAGACGGTGCGGACCTGGCCTGTATCACGGAGACCTGGTTGGGACAGGAGGGGGGAATCCCTCTCTCTGATTTATGCCCCCCGGGCTTTCGTGTGCTGCACCAGCCGCGACACCAGGGAAGGGGCGGAGGGGTGGCGGTGGTTGTTAGAGAAAGTCTTAGTCCTAAGGAGGTCACTGTCTCTCAGATAGGTGGGTGTGAGTCTCTTCTATTGAAGTGGGACTCTGGAGTTCAGTCGGGCTTGTTGGTCACATACCTATCTCCCAGCTACGTTGCCCTGCCCGCACTGCTCGATGTCTTGACTGAAGTGGCACTTGAATTCCCCAACCTTTTGGTTGTGGGAGATTTCAATCTGCCTTCAATCGGCGAGTCATCTGAGACAACCTGGGAGTTCATGGCTTCCATGACAGCCATGGACCTGACTCAGGTTATTCAGGGCCCAACTCATAGGGGCGGACACACATTCGACCTAGTTTTTCTCTCTGGGCAGTGGATAAATGGTCATGGTAGGGGGGAACTTTCCATTGCCCCCCTGTCATGGATCGACCATTCTCTCCTTAGACTGGACTTTCAACATGCCAACCCTTGCTGCTGGGAGGTGAGACCCATAAAATGGTTCCGCCCCCGGCGCCTGATGGACCCAGAGAGGTTCTTGATGGAGCTTGGGACATTCCCCATCTCTCAATCCTGCAATTCAGCTGAGGCTCTGGTGGCATCCTGGGAATGGGCGACTGCTGACGCCTTGGACTGAATTGCACCTTTGTGGCCTCTGACCCAACGCAAATCCCGGGTCGCTCCTTGGTTTTCCATGGAGCTCCGGGAAATGAACTGTCAGAAAAGACGCCTAGAGGAGAGTTGGAGGTCCTCCCAGTCTGAATCTGATCGAATACAGTTACGAACCCATATTAGGTCTTATCTAGTGGCAATGGAAGCAGCGAAGCGAGATTACTTCGCCGCCCTCATTGCATCTGCAGAAAACCGCCCAGCGGCCCTGTTTCGTGTGACCCGCTCCTTCCTCAATCAGGGAAGACCCTTTACAGGGCAGAGCTGAGGATTTTGTACAGTTTCTGCATGATAAAATTGCTCAGATCTGGATCGGATTGGACTCTGTCTGGGCAGAATCCAATGGAAAGACTAGGGTAAGTCTTGAGAGTAATATCTGGGTTGAGTTTGACCCTGTTTCTGTCAAGGAAGTGGACAGGATTATGGGTAAACTTGGTTCCTCCACTTTCTTATTGGATCCTTGTCCCTCCTGGTTGGTTTTGGCTGTCAGGGAGGTGACGAGAGACTGGATCCAGGCAATTGTCAACGCTTCGTTGAAGGAGGGGGTCTTTCCCGCCTCTCTTAAGGAGGCGGTGGTTCGACCTCTCCTCAAAAAGCCTTCCATGGATCCAGACTCACTTAATAAGTATCATCCTGTCTCCAACCTTCGCTTCATTGCGAAGGTTGTTGAGACTGTGGTGACGCAACAGCTCCCACAGTTCCTGGAGGAAACGGAATACCTAGACCTGTACCAATCGGGCTTGCGACGCGGGCACAGCACGGAAACGGCACTGGTCGCTCTGATAAATGATCTCTGGCGGGCTCAGGATGGTGGTTGTTCCTCCATCCTGGTCCTACTTGACCTCTCAGCGGTTTTTGATACCATCGACCATGGTATCCTACTGCAGCAACTTGTGGGGTTGGGGGTGGGAGGCACTGTTTTACAGTGGTTCTCTTCCTACCTCTCAGGTCGCTTGCAGTTTGTATGGGCGGGGGGGGGCAGAGGTCTACCCCGAGGCCCCTAAATTGTGGGGTGCCTGACAATTGTGGGGTCCCTCAGGGGTCGGTTATCTCCCCCCTGCTCTTTAACATTTATATGAAGCCTGGGTGAGATTTATATGAAGCCTGGGTGAGATCGTTCGTGGCTTCGGGGTGAGATATCATCAATATGCTGATGATACCCAGTTATACATCTTCACCCCAGATGACCCCAGAGATGCCCTTTCCGTGATGTCCCGTTGCCTGGAGGCGGTGTGGGCCTGGATGGGTAGAAACAGACTCAGACTCAACCCCTCCAAGACTGAGTGGCTGTGGATGCCGGCATCTCGGGTTTCAGAGATCCCATCACTTTTGATGGGTGGGGAAAAACTTGCCCCTGTTGATAGGGCTTACAACTTGGGTATCCTCCTGGATGCTCGGCTGTCCCTAGAAGACCACCTGACGGCCGTGATCAAGGGGCCCTTCGCATAGGTTCGCCTGGTGTGCCAGTTGCGCCTTTTCCTGGACTGAGATGAACTTCGCACTGTCACTCATGCCCTGGTTACTTCCCGCTTGGATTACTGCAATTCCCTCTACATGGGCCTGCTCCTGAGATGCACCCAGAGACTCGATCCAGAATACAGGTTATTACGGGAGCCCCTTGTTACTCCCATATAACACCTCTCCTGCGTGAGCTGCACTGGTTACCAGTGGTTCTCTGGGTCTGCTTCAAGGTGCTGGTTCTCACCTATAAGGCCCTACATGACTTAGGTCCGGGATATTTGCAGGACCTTCTCCTGCCTGCCTCTCACCGTACTGTTCGCTCACATAGGGCTGCTCTCCTCAGGGTTCCGATGACAAGCCAATGCCATCTGGCGGCGCCCAGGGGTAGGGCATTCTCTGTGGGTGCTCCCACCCTCTGGAATGAGTTGCCTACTGAGCTCCGGACAGCTCCTGATCTCCGCTCCTTCCGTTGGGACCTGAAGACTTGGCTGTTCAAGCAAATAGGCTGACTCTGGTTCTGGGTTTTATTATTTATTAGTTAATTTGGTTTAAAATGGGATTCTGTTGTACATGTTTTTAATTTGTGTTCGCCGCCCTGAGTCCTTCTGGAGAAGGGCGGCATATAAATACATGAAATAAATAAATAAATAAATAAACAAGTCACAATCACACAGAAACTAATGGGATTGCTCTTCAACCACTGTATCTTTCTCTTTGTTCACGCTTTCAGAGCAGATGAATGCTGGGTTGCTGCCACTCATTATTTTTACTTCTAAAATTATCTATTGGGTCCATGTGGAGCATCAATACAATCCTATGACCAAAGATAATGCTGAGGAAAATGTTTTATTTTGCAATGCAATAGTTTTACATTTTAATTCTTGGTTTTATTTTAAATGATCTATTGAACATTAAAAATTAAGCCAGAAAAGATTTCCTGTGGACATCTGTGGTACCAGAAGAGTTTGTATGCTTTTACTAAGGCATACTGAAGTGTATGCTTTAGTAAAAGTATTGTTGACTGTGGATTTTGTAGTTCACAATCAGAAATCTGCAAAAATTCATTAAGGGTGTTTGCTCTAAATTCTTCTCTTAGGGTGGGTCTTTAAGTGTGACCTCTCCATTGAACCTCTGATCTAGATTTCCTGGGGACTAATGCAAGAGTGCTTAAAGACTCACCTAAGAGAAGGATTTAGGAGCAATGACCTTTAACGACTTTCTGCCTACTTAGTTAAGGAGCCTATTCAGATTAAGTAAAAAATGAAACCACCCTGAAGGACATTCATGGGTCCCTTTATTAACTTGCTCAGATTGAAGAAGCTATTTGGATAAGCAGCAAAACATTTCAAACCGAAAAAGAAAATAATTCCAGTTGCCATGACTCAATTTCCAGACAATCAGAAATCTTTAGTTTTTGCTGCAAAAGCTTAACACTGCCACCTTTTTGGAATTCTGTGTGAAATTAATTTACTTCTCCCCTCTAGCTACACTTCCTGTTGATCATATTCAAGAGAATTATGTTCGTGAGGTTCAAGATTGTATTTTTTCTGTTGGATATCCTACACCATTTAATTCCAGAGTTCTACTTGTAGCTGTTTCAGAGGTCAGGAATATTTTTTTAAAATACAAAACTGCTGTTTTACTCTGTGTGCCTATCAGAGAAGTTTATGAACATACAACCTATATAAATATGCTTGTTATATTACATTCTTCTACTTCATTCAGTCTACCATCTGCATATCAATGGACATTCTCCCTATCATTCAAAGACCCAAAAATGATTGAACTGCATAATTCCATATTCAGGGATACGAAATCACTGGAAAATAGCAAGTGCATTATATCAAGTTAACCCAATAGTACATGTCCACAGAGGCTCAATCAATCAATCAGTTTATTACAGTCATAGACCAGAGACCACTGAGAGTCTTCTCATGCAAGGTTGTTAAAAACTGCGGGCACAGTTTCTCACAATTCTGAGCCAGAAAATAAATAAAAATGGAAGTGTAAGTCCTTGAATAGATGTAATCTCTTTTATAAATATTGGGTTTTTTTTATAAAATAAGAAAGAAAACTTCATTTTGTGCCACCAAATAAAAAGAAACAAAAGAAGAAAATCATGTAATTTATGTGATATGGCCTTGACAACTTCACATTATTGTCTTGCCTATTGTAAAGCTTATGCTCTGAATATATATTAAGCATGGCCCTAAGATATTGCAAGACATGCCATAATGGGCTATACGTTAAATGATCTAACTCTTAATATAGTGTTTTTCAAATTTGGCAATTTTAAGATATGTGGACTTCAACTCCCAGAATTCCACATCCAGTAGTTGAAGTCCATACATCTTAAAGTTGCCAACTTTGAAAAATACTGCTTTAATTAATAATACCTAAACCTAGTACTAATTCTACTAAAGTGTGGAGTTCAACTTTTTGGGACCATAGAATTTATTTTAAAAAATCCCGAATCCATGATTAAGAGCAAAGCTTTAGTAACAGAAATTTGACTGTGTTTAAATGGATTTGTTTCCCTTTTAATCTCTCTTGGAACATCATCAATTTCTTGCAGAACCCTATGAGAGTTAAAGATCCCAATTTGAAAACACTATCCTAGAGATCCCTTATTGTCATACAGGTGTTACTTCTTATCTCTTCCTGATTTTTGAGCCAACTGTAGTTAGCAGTTAACCAGGATCCAAAGCTTAAATTGTACAAGGAATCACCTGTAAGAGGGTGAGCAAATAAACACTTGAGCTGAGAAGATATCCCCAGTCTGTGGGGATTGTTACCACATTAGGGTTTTATCTTTGATTATTTATCTTTAATTATTAATAGGATCCAGAACCACAATATGAATATAAGAGGGAGAATTACACATGAATGTTAGTAGCAAATTTAATATAGTTAGGAAAACAACCAATTTGATGCAATTGTATCATTGGGCAATATTATACTGAAAACATTAGATGAAGTTCCAATTTCATAAACCATATCTAGCTTTTATGTTATAGTACTTGATAATTACCTAATTAAAGTGAATTGTCCAAGGTCACTAAATTGGATATCTGTACTTTATACTGAATTCAACTAGCTAAGTGAAATTGTATAAATGCATCTCCCTTTTGTTGTCTAAATGTGCAGGGAATGAAGGAACAAATACTGCTCTTATCAGAGAAAGCTACTGGTATATATTTAACAAATCCATTCCAAATTAAAGACTGGAAAATAATAATAAAGAATCTATTGACTTAAAAAGACTGGAAGAAGAGGCTTTATACCTTGACATTGACCCAGATATATAGCTTGATTTCTGTGTTCTGCAGCAGGTTGATCTTCTGCATATAATATATGACTTCTTATCTACAATAAAGCAGCTTATCTACCAGTGACAAATCCCTGATCTTTCTACTTGTTCCTGAATATGGGCTGCTTCTAAAAGAATAAGATATTTATAGCTGTGCCTGATCTGGAGTCTCACCAAATATAATAACCCAAAACTACTGACATTTCCTGGAAATAGGAGCAGGAAGGCTGTAGTTCTGCACCTCTTCTTGAGTGCACTTCATTTCTGGCTGTTCTGAGTTGAGGTTTAGCAACAACTTAAAAACAATAAATTCTAATAGTCTGGAAAATAGGATGGGTATTGTGTGGCGAACAAGTAGAAGTACATCACTAAAGTATGAATTTCTATAACGTACATAGCTAACATGTGAAACACATCTTAATAATTTTCATGGATTGATATAGTCCTTCTATTTCAGGAAGTCCTGGAAGAAATTCTGGATTTAGACATGTCTGCCTCAGGCTCAGATGATTTTCTACAGCTTGTCAGTGGTGCAAAAATAATCTTGGGATCTCAACCCCTAACCCATAGATATGGTGGCCATCAGGTTAGTAGTTGTACTACTTGTTTTCTAACCAGATGTTATCAACATTTTTAAAATGATCTTATATATGTGTGTGCTCTTTCCAACTACAAAGGGGAATTTTTCTTAGGCTTTAAATGCTAAAACTGATACATCCTGTAAAATACTAGGGTTTTTTCTGTGTACTCTGAATGGCAGTGACATTCAATTGTCAGTCATTTACTTGTAATTCTCTTGTAAATTAGTAAAATAATCGAAATGGTAAAGCATGCAGATGGGAATAATGTTGGCTAATCATGTTCTCTTTTTTTTTTTTAACTTTCAAGATTGTTTTCCTGTATTTTATGGGTGAACAACATTTTCAACTTCAGGCTCTGCAACAGGCATAATATACTTTCTCACACTTATATCCTTTCATCATTTCCCTTCTTTCCAGTGCTGCTGAACAGAATGCAAATCATAGCTCCTTTTTATTTTGAGCCATATCTTGTTCCTCCCTAGTGACTCTTACCAGACAGCTGACATCTGTACACTAGTTGAAAAACAGAATAGCTCCTCATAGTGCCAAAGGCTGCCTTTATATTTTTAGTTGGTGACAAAATGGGTATGTTTGGCCTAGTCCAAAAACACTTTCTTCAAAGGTTGGTTGCTAAAGCAGAGAAGAATGATAACTGTTTTATTTACTGATACTATCTCCTCCCATATAACTTAGCCAATTCAGATTGTAGATACAGAACATTTTTAGCTTCATATTATGAGATTAATTGATTTAGAACACGAGTCATGTGCCAAGAATTTTAATTTCCAGTCAGTTCCAAAGAAAAACAGCCAACATTTTTAATGAACAAGGTTTAATGACCTAGGCTTCCTGAGTCAGTAAAACACACGAGTAGTCCCAAAATCCTCTTTTATTTCAACAGTTGTGAATTCTGTTCATTCACAGATGAGTCCCAAATAGTTGTAAAGAGTCCTTTGGGATAAGGCTGATAATCACCCACCTTTATCTCCTTTGACACGCTGCCAAAGACCCAATTGGCAAAGCCACACGGAGTCCAGAATCAAACAAAGCTCCAGACTTTAAACTAAACAGAATTAACAGCATTGCTTCCTGCAAAGGCCCACGTGCCTTTGCTCCTCTTTTCAGTCTTATGGGAGGGGCCAATCATCTCCAAGCCCTACTCCCGAGTTGTCCCTTTTGTTTTAACTTTTCTTGATTTCTGGCAGCTCTGTGCATGCGCGCAATGGGTACAGGCTCCCCCTCTTCCTCTGCCTTGCTGAGGTCCAACTCTGGAAGCTCCGGACGCAGCATATATCTCCCAGATGGCCCTTTCTCTGCCTCTGATGCAGAGCCCTTGTCCGAGCCTTCCCCAAACTCCAGGACTGGCCTATGTTCCTCCCCAGCCTCCTCACTGTCCGACTCTGCTGCCAGCTCCGCAAGCCGCCGGTGGACCACAATGAACAGCAGTTTCTATATCTTATGGATATAGTTTTTTTCAATAAGTCTATTAAAATGCTAAGCAACCTATAGTGGTGCTTAAAAGTTTGTGAACCCTTTTGAATGTTCAATTGTTCTGTATAAATATAAACCTGAAATGTCATCTGTTTTCCACACAAATCCTAAAACCAGTTAAGAAGAACTTATTTTGCTGAGTTCCAGTTCCTCTGTCCTGCTGATGCAAATATAACATAAAGACCAATTTCCACATTCATAGTCAATAGCATAGAATTATGCTAGTAGCTGTCAGGGTTCCAAGTAACAAATCCAAAGCAATCAAAAAGCTTAGAGTTTCCTCAAAGCATAATTTTATTTGGAATGTCATATTGGTGCAGCTGGTGAAAACCTGACTATGAAGGACCCAGGGTTTTCCCCACCCAAATCAAAACCCAAAGGTCTTGCTCCCAGGTCTCACCTCCATCACATGGTCCAATCAGGTTGCAATCCCAATTCTGGCTGGTAGAACGTCCTTGGTTCCCAATAATAATGCTATCTTGGCTACGTATCCCCCAACTATCTCTATCTCCCTCTTCACGTTCCACAGCTCTACCCAGCCTTGCTGTGGCAGCCCTGAAGATGCTCCCAAAATGGCTTCAGGACTGACATGAGTATTGTACCAAACTGTTCCTGTGCCTATTGCAATTACTAGTAAAATATACACAGAATATTGTTTATTTAAGCACATTGAATCTCAATTACAGCTCTATTTCTGAATAGCAAATAATGGTTTCATATTTTTATCTCAACTTTTCATGTTAGTTTGGTAGCTGGGCAGGACAGCTGGGTGATGGAAGAGCCCACTTGATCGGCATTTATACAAACAGGTACTGCATATCTCGTCTTAAAAGGCCTGTCTCTATCAGTATGTGGTTGCTATTGATATCTCAGAAACTAAAATAACAATGACCAACAATAACAATATTAACCAGACGTAGTATGTAATGGTTTTCAAAACTCCTAAGTATTTCACATGTATTATTTTGTTAATTCTTGTACTACAAAATACATACATGTTATTGCCCCTATGTTGAGGGTTCTTTGTACAGAAAAAGATTTGTATTAATGATATTTTGGCTTAAGATGTTCCATTCTGTGCTGCACCAGTTGTTCACATTGCTAATACTAATCTTCTTTCTATAGATTTGGATCCAGATGGGAACTGCAGCTCAAAGGTTCAGGAAGGACACCATACTCCAGGTGTGTTACATATTTGGTGTAATATTCTTTCAGGTCTTTATATGTTTTGGATTAATTTCAACAATGCATCATAGAATCCAAGGATTGGAAGAGACTGTGGTTCCACACCCTGCCCATACCATTTTACAGAATGGCTATCCAACCTTGGCCATGGAGCACTCATTACTCAAGGAGGCAAGCTGTTCTGTTTATATTTTTCATAGTCCAGAAATACCTCCTTATCTCAAGGTTGAATCTCCTCTGGCAAAGCTTCCACCTTTTAGTTCATGTTCTACCCTTAGGCATTACAAAGCATAAATGTGCATCTTTTGCTTTTTGAGATTTTGAAGTATCATGTCTTTCCTCTGCCTTTTTCCTTTAGACTAAACACACCCAGTTTTTAGAATCATTCTTTATATATTTTTTGAAAAAATTTCAATAACTTACCATTAAGGACCACCCAGAAAACCAATCTGTTTGCAGATGAGTCTTTCCTTTTTTCAGAGTTTGAATTATAAAATACTGTAGAGTTTTATACTAGCTTTTTATAACTACATATAAAAAGAACAAGATAAAAATAACCATGAGATATTTTAATATAGAAATGCCAAGATCCCTGACTGAATGGGATAAACCTCTATTCCAAAAATCCCACAGATAAAAATTATATAGTATTTGATTGATTGATTAATTAATTGATTAAGTGGCATCAAGTCATTGATGACTCTTAGCCACCACATAGATTTTGCCCATAATGATCTGTCTTTAATCTGGTCCTTCAGCTCCTCCAATAACGCCCCATTACCAGTATAAGTGGGTCTAATCACTTTGCTCTTGGCTGTCTTCTTCTCTTTCCTACCACCTTTCCCAGCGTTATACAGGTAGTCCTCTACTTACAACAGTTTGTTTAGTGACTGTTTGAAGTTACAACAGTACTGAAAAATGTGGCTTATGACCATTTTTCACATTTATGGCCGTCTTAGCATCCCTATGGTCGTGTGTTTTACATTCACATGGTTCATATTGGATGATTAGAATGTTCTGGAATCATGTGATCTCCTTTTGCAACCTTCTGACAAGCAAAGTCAATGGGGAAGCCAGATTCGTTTAACAACTGTGTTACTAAGTTAACAACTGTAGTGCTTCACTTAACAAATGTGGCAAGAAAAGCGATAAAGTGAGGCAAAACTCAATTAAAAAATTCTCACAAGTTTGGGCTAAAGTGTGATCATACATTGAGGACTACCTGGTAGTCTTTGCCTCAGAGTTAGGTCTTCACATATAATTTGTCTGAAGCAGGATAATTTGAGCCTTGAACAAGAAATCTGGGTTGATTTGTTTGATGATCCATTTGTTTGTTTTCTTGACTGTACACAGCATTCTAGGAGTCTCTTCCAATCCCAGAATCCAAAAGTATTAATATTCTTTGTATTTTACTTTCTTCAGAGTCCACTTTTTGCCTTCATATAGTGTCACAGTGAACATGTAGTACAGGGGTGCCAAACTCGAGTTGTCATGGCATCATCAAGTGATGTATTGCGACTTTTCCCCCCTTTGCTAAACCGGGCATGGATGTGGCCAGCGCATGACACATCTGGTCTGCAGGTTGCGAGTTTGACAGCCCTGATGTAGTATCTACACAACTATATTGTTATGTGTTTCTATTCACAGTTTGTGATGTGAACTAAATTATGTGCAATGCTCACTTGAGGATTTTTAGCAGTATGATTTCTTAATTCTGCTTTATAGTGAAGCATTGGCACTCATAATGGCCCTTTCTAGCATTGTATCAGAAAAAAATAGATTTCTAGGTTTGGCATGTTATGTTTGGCTGTCATTCACTGATTGAGCACATACTTTGCATTCCAAAAGCCACAAGTCCAATCCTTGGCGTCTCCAGAAATAAGTTAGAAAACTCCCATCTGAAAGAAGATGAAGCAGTGTTAGATTCAGCCCAATACAGATTCCAATGTTACCTTTATTTCCATTCTGTTTCTTTGTTGATCCATATCTTTAAGAAGAAATGTGTATCCCTCCCAACAAAACAACCTTTGGTTCTCTACAATAAATCCATATTTAAACATGTTAGTACATATTTAATTTGTTTCAGCTGTCAACAATATTTGGACAAGTGCAATAGCCACAGATAGCGAAATGTGCCAATCAAATCAACCAGTGCAAGGATTTGCTAAGTATTTTTTTCTTTTCAGTGTCAAAATAATAATAATAATAATACCTATGTTTTTAGTGTTTTTTTTTTCTATAGGAGAGGAGATGGCAGAGCTGTGCTTCGGTCTTCTATACGAGAATTTTTGGGAAGTGAAGCCATGCATTACCTTGGAATACCTACAAGCAGGGCAGCTAGGTATTTTATCCAGGTTTATACTTTATCTGCATTGAGCAGAAGGGTGCAATCCTCTTCTTAGACCGCCTGAGGTTCTTTGTGCTTGAATTGCCATGTTCCTGAAGCATGATTGCTGAAAATTAGTAGTGCCATTTCCTCCATTTTTAGAACACACAAAAGGGTACTGCTTAATGCTAACAACACAAGCAAATAAATTCTTCAAAACTTCCACGCACGAGAACAAAAATCTAACTTCACTTGCGCCCTTCATATGAGCTCTCCATGCTGCATAGTTTGCATTGTCACCCACCTCTCCCTTTTTCAAAAAACTAAACATAAGCCCCAGTTTCCCAAAGGTTTCCACCATTACTCTTATACTTTCTGACTTCCAATGAAATGAAAAGGAGAAAGCTGTAGAAGTATATTTACAATTTGTTTTGTTAGCATTTTTTTGCTGATTGGTGATGCAATGTTATTTCCGATCAAAATGCTAAATCTCAAAACAGGATGATGACAGATAACTTAAGCCATCTGCAACTATTTGCAGAGCCAATAGAAGGAGAGTGTTAATATTCACTCCCAGTCCCCAACTAGACAATTCTATCTTGCAAATGTTATCCTCCTCTTGGCAATTTTTAGGGCATGCTTTTCCTTACTAGATTCTTCATACTGAAAGCAGATTTGGGGTGAATCTTATTGGGCCAAGTATACGATGGGTATAAGGATGGGCAAAGGAGAAAAGATTAAGCATCCTTCTCCCTGATCAATTTTTCTACGCTGCAAATAATCCTTGTGCTCATATTTTTCTAAGCCATTATTTCTCAATTCCAGCAACTTTTAAGACGCATAGACTTTGACTAACCAGCATGTAAAAGTTCATTGACATGATTCATAATTCTTGGCCGAAGAAACCAAGAGAAAAGTCCATGTGAACAGGTTCGCCCTGAGACTGGTCCTATTCCTGATTTTTTTTCCTATGAATTGGCAAAAAGATAAATTTACACTTGCCAGAGTCACGCGTCAAAGAAATTGCCCTCGGACTGGAATTCTTGGTTCACAGTTCTACACCATAATTTCTTATCATAACCTCAACAGAATGCCAATTCACTTCCACATTTCCAGCGCATGAGATTTGTTCACTGTCTGGGAAATAATGACAGAAAGTTATTGGAGATGAATGCTTCACTTTAAAGCATTCTGAGTTTCAGTTAGACATCCTGAAGCTGGGGAGTCATCTCCTATGGCAGAGTGAGACTCAGTGAACCAGGAAGACAGATTAATCATTGCTTCATCCACCAGGAAGGCCACCTACTGCAGCCTCCTAGGAATACTTTGGGACTTGATAAACTTTTGATTTTGAATTCCGACATTTTATACCCAAAGATAGTCCTTTAACCTTAAACAAGAAATACCTAATACCCAACATTCTTTAGATATTATAAAAACTATCTAAATAATCTGAGAAACGTTTATTTAAAATCATTATTAACTTGTTTTGTATTTCGACTTAATATTATCAACATTCTCTCATTCATACCTCTGCCAGTTCCACAAATTTCATAAATATTCGGGTTAACTCAATTTAGAAATTATACCTTTACAAATCATTTACGTTTCTTGTATGTCATACCTATTCAGTATAGCATTGGAAATGGAAACTCTGTCAGCATTTCAAGTAATGCACCCATAGAAAGCAGAACTCTGTAGCAGGTAGATTCCTCAAAGAACAATTTATTGGATACATCATATTGGCACAACTGGTGAAAGCCGACTCTGAAAGTTCCCACAGTTTTCACCTAATTAAAAAGTAAAAGTTTCCCTTCTCCCCCAAGTCATGCTGTCCAGTCAAGGCTGCTTGCTTGGTTACTTCACTCCTCCCCTGGCCATCCTTGGTTCCCATAGGAAAACTTCTTTGTTTTGGCTAAAAAACCCCATCTAGCTATTTCTCCTCTCCCTGCTCCTTCTTCTGCTTTGTGGCAGCCCCGAAGCCTCTAAGATGGCCTCAATCAGGTTCACTTCAGGGTTGACAAACTCATTCTGGAGATTCTCGAGTCTCAACAGCATCATATGTTGGGATGGTTTCTCTATACAGATGCTTGAAGAATTACATTTTTTTTCCTGTTACACAATGCATGGTTGGGAAGTGACTCAGATTGTCTCTCCGTTTTCCATCTTATTATTGAATAACAAGAGGAGGATCTTTTAGTGCACATGAATGGCTTTGCAAGCGAGTGTGAAGTTCTCTGTATGCATCCAATTTATCTGTCCTTCTGCCATATACTAAATGAACTGATATTCTCTCCCAGGGAAAACCTAATTGATTTGCAGAAATGGTACTCTTCCTATTATTGCTATCACATGAATTGCGGAAAATTAGAATTAATTTTATTCTACATGTATTAGAATTAATACATGTAAAAGCAAGCATTCTAGTTTGAACGGCAACCTGTATTTCAGGAATGCAATTTGGGGCAGTTTGTTTGGAGCAGAAGAGACGGGAAGAATTGACATAACATTTTCCCTGCTCAGCATATCGGTGGGATGATCATTATTCAAACACACATTTGCTATTTTTATCAATTAAAATTCACCCATTCCGAACATTTCTCCCCACATAGTTCCCCCCTCTTATATGTAGTCCCCAGCAAATGCTATCTCACTCTGCTTTAGCCTCTCAATCTGAGCAGGAAACATTGGGGCTTCAAGAGTTAGATTCATTTCTTGTTAAACTGCATGTCTTGCCAATGATGGAGGTCTCTTGATTGTTTAAGGTTAAAAAAATATAAAAATACAATTAAGAATATTAAAAATGAAGTTAAAAAATGCCACAATTGGAAGTCTTTTTAGAGAACTGTATATTTCAGTTCTTTTAAGAACCAAGTAATGACATTAGGCCCCTTAGTGCAGCAGGAAACTAAAATAGCAGAGAAGTCTTGACCCATATTTGCATGACCTAAACCCAACAAATTCATCAAGTTGTTGTTGTTGTTGTTGTTGTTGTTATTATTATTATTATTATTATTATTTTATTTATTTATTTATTTAATTTGTATACCGCCCTTCTCCAACAGGACTCAGGGCAGTGAACAGCCATGGTAAAACATAGCATATAAAATTTAAAAGCAGTTTAAAAACATTAAATAATTTTGGCTACCCATTTAAAACAACCCGGATTAAAACCAATTACAAATTAAAACCAAAGGGATGGGATCAAGTTTCCCCAATATTCCTAGTCTATTTTAGAATCAAGAAATTTCCTGGTGGTTTTGCCATCTAAGAATTAACTAGGTCCTACTCTGCTGAGATTGGGAATCAACCAAGACCCAGTAGAGGCTTAAACTTACTGCTGGGGAGTAACACAGCTAAAGTGCGGCAATCTGTTCTGCCACACGAAACAGCTGAGAAGATATAGGTCAGTAAAGCGCAGGGGCAAGTGAGCGGGCCCACCTGATCGTCGGAGCGAACAGGTTTGCTCCCAGCTGATTGTCGGAGCTACCTGTTCGCCTGAACCGGTCTGAACTGGTAGAATCCCATCCCTGGGTTACATTCTACTTGTTTGACAATTGTATGGGTCCTCCTCACACTTTTAGACCCATTGTTTTTGAGATCAGGTTTATTAATCTGTGTTTACTTTTATTTATCTTTTTTTTTCCTTTAAGATATAGTGTGAATTCACTTTGTCCAACAGGATTCTAAACTTCTTTCCATCTGCCTTGTACTAATTTCCTAATTCCACTGTTTCCACAGCTTAGTTGTAAGTGATGACAACGTTTGGAGAGATCAGTTCTACAATGGGAATATTAAGAAAGAAAGAGGTATTTTTTAATCCCTCTTTGACAATATTATTGTTAAATTTTCTCAGATCACCTGTTTCCAATCTGCTTTCTAATCTGTTGATGTGAATTTATGCATTAGTTATGCTTTTGACTGGATTATGGGCTGTGGATAATGGTCTGCTACTCAGAAGCTAGCTTGCAACTGGAAAGAACAGTGCCTCATTTTAGATGCAGAATGTTTCCCTTTCAGGACATTACTTTTCTCCCTATTCTCTTATATGCTGAAATGAACATAATTTGACTCATCATAATCTGTGGTCAGTTGTAGTTTTTGTATTTATGTATTTTGTATTTTATTATGGTCTCTTGAAGCATCTTGATTTACTCATTTAATACTGCATGTACCTGGACAATTTTTCTTCAGGTTTTCTTTTTCTAAAACATACTTTTTAAAGTATTACCTAAATTAAGTCATTAATTAGCAATAGTTTATTGCCTCACAGCATTATAACTAATAGTCCTTAGCAAGCCACTGATTTGACTAAATTCCTTTCAATAAGATATTTTTCCCTTTAGTTCTTCCAGAAATGGACATCAGATTTCTCCATTCTAACACTCAGCTTTTATTAGTCTAATAAAGTAGTTTTTTTGAAAAACCATTTCTTAGTGCAAGAAGTCTCTTTCTATCTGTAAAGGCAGGGGTGTCAAATTCAATTTCATTGAGGGCTGCATCAAGGTTGTGTTTGACCTCAGGGGGCCTTGGTGGGCATGGCCAGGGTGGGCGTGGCCAGCTCAACGCCACTCATATCGGGGGTGCCTGTGATGGCCCGAGCGTCTGCCAGTGAAAATGGGCTCCCAAACTCTGTTTTCGGCTGCGACAGCTTCCTGCAACCCTCTGTCAGCGAAAACAGAGCTTGGGAGGACTGCCTGCAGCTCTCCCGGGTTCCATTTTTGCTGGCAGAGGCATTGTGGGACAGTCCTTTGCTGTTTCCAGGGTGGCCCTGCGAGCCAGATTTAAGCATCCTATGGGCCAGATCCGGCCCTTGGGCCTTGAGTTTGACACCCCTGCATTAAGGAAACAGTTTTTATTATATATTCCACTATGTAAAGCTCTTCTCCCACGATAGAACAAGCCTTCATGCTAAGAGATTATGGATGCATAAGGAAGTAGGCAAAGGACAATTTTGAAATGATTAACTTGTAGATATACTTATTTGCAGGTGCAATTGTGTTACGTGTTGCAAAATCATGGTTTCGAATAGGATCATTGGAAATACTAGCTCATTCTGGAGAACTGGATTTATTAAGGTTAGACTTAAACCCTTCATTCAAGATTTCCATTTCTGTAGCCAGACAATAGAATAGCTGGTTCAATAAAAACAAATGCAAACTGTATTATCTGGAAAGTACAAGACAGATTCTAGATTGGCATTCAGTAAGATGCAAGAAATTGCAAAATTTGGATCCTGAGTCTTCCGCATGGCTTCTTTGGATCCTGGAAAAGCTTTAAAAATGACAGAATTACTTGCTTCTTCCATATATTTAGGCGATACATGAATTACCATGCATTTGAACAGATGTGCAGTTCCCCATTAATACATTATGGTGGTGTCCATATTGGTTTTGCCACCATAGCGGAATGGTGGCAAAACCAATAAAATGCAGTATGGTAATTAAAGCCCCTTTGAACTTACATGGGACATTGATGGACATACAAAAGGAGTGAGGCTTGGATTATGGTGCCATATGTGCTACCTGGCCCATTTTAACCTGCCCCCCTCAGATAGTAATGCATAAAAATAAATAAGGAAAATAAGAAAATTGCTCTTATTTCTCAAGTCACCCTAGCCAGCTATCTCCCTATTTAAAATTTCTTACAAATTTTGACAATCTTACAAGATTTTTTTGCCAATGTAAATGCTATTTCTTTGTTTTTAATTGTTGTTGGGATGTGCTGTTAGTACAATGTTGCCGACTCTGTATTAAGGTATTTCTGAACATATATTTTATCACAGTAGGGTAATTGTATCATGGAATATGTTTCTCACAGCAAAAAGTACAATATCATTTTTATTTATTTTAGGAAATATGTATATTCGTTCTTACATGTATTTATATTGATATTGTATTTAGAATTATTCAGTGAAGAATATGTTAGATAACTCCTCAAAACATTATTTTAATGCATTATTATTCTATATCTTTAGAATTGGATATATTTTCCTTAGGAGTTCATAGAATTTCTAAGTACTGGAGGATATGTATCTGAAATAACAGCTGCTAATTTGAAAGGAAAATCAATAACCTTTTCCTTTGATATTGACCACATTTTCTTAAATTATAGAACATCAGAAGGAGATGGATAGTTAAGAAATATGAAATATAAATAAATACAATTACGGATTTATATATAAAATCTGATTCCAGCTTTTCTTATGAGCTACTTAGTTTGCATAATAAGATTTTTGGGATTTCTTTTCTTCCTTTGGGTAGATAGTGTAATTTCTGTTTTTTGCAAGTATTACTTGGATTTGTTATTAGTTGTCAGTAAGCTATGATTAAAATCAATATTGTCTTACATGTAAGCAGAGCTGAAATTCCTTTCTGAAAGATACAATACATAACTTTTCTTCAATTCAGTTTAGCCTTCTTAGCAACAAATAGGGTTCAGTTTAAATATTTACTTAACTGATGTTTCAAATTCTTCTTTGATAAAAGAAACTTTTACTTTGTGGAACAGGATGCTGCTAGATATGGTCATAAAAGAGCACTTTCCAAAAATAAACGTAAATGATTCAAATAAATACCTGGTAAGTAAGTTTTTTAAAAAATTCCATATACATTTATGTCAATCCAAATAGGAAACATTTGTAAAAAATTGTGATTATGTATTTTTGAAATCTTTTGTAACCTAATTTGTAAGCCTAATTGCATTTCCAACAATTGTTTTACATATTTATAGTAAATATGAGCTAAATATTCTGGAATATTACTATTTTATTTATATGCTGAATGTAAAATTTTTGATTTTAGGCATTTTTCTCTCAAGTAGTATCTGAGACGGCACATTTAATTGGCTTGTGGATGTCAGTCGGCTTTGCTCATGGTGAGATTAAAAGGGGGAGGGTTGTATTCAGAGGTGGGTTTCAGCAGGTTCTGACCAGTTCTGGAGAACCGGTAGGGGAAATTTTGAGTAGTTCGGAGAACTGGTAGTAAAAATTCTGACTGGCCGCACCCCCATCTATTCTCTGCCTCCCGAGTCCCAGCTGATTGGAAGGAAATGGGGATTTTGCAGTAACCTTCCCCTGGATTGGGGCGGGAATGGAGATTTTACAGTATCGTTCCCCTGCATGCCCAAGCCACGTCCACCAAGCCATGCCATGCCCACCAAGCCACACCCACAGAACCAGTAGTAAAAATTTTTGAAACCACCACTGGTTATATTGTTTGATATGAACAGCATAACCTTTTTCCTTTTGGTTAAAGATGGATGGGGTACATAGCTAGGTGTTCATTGCGCCAAAGCTTATACCCTGTCAGAGTTCATTACTAAAGAACATTAGGGGGTAAGTGTGGGGAATTGAAATATTGATAGTAATTCAGGGCCAGGTTCATTCATCAAAACAAACTGTGCTTTGTATTAGCCAAAGTGTATAGTATAAATTGTGAACCATAGCTGGGTTCATACATCGTACAAAGCCAAAACAAAACCATTCAGAGTTTAACTTAATATACTCAATTCATCTGGATTGACTGCTTTAAGTCTTTACTGCTCCCTTAAGGGCTCAGAGCCCTATAACTGGAATATATTTTGTTTTGTATGTTTGGTTATTCCTTTCTTTTTCGTTTAAGTGCTGTAGCAACATTCAACCATAATTGAATAGATAGTAGATGTATTGAGAAAAGGTTGATTTGGAGCAACATGGCCATGCTATAATTTCATCAATAGGGATTTAAAATATAAGAGGAACAGTGCTTAGGAAGCCTTTGAAAGATTTCAGTGCTTTGATATTTCTTTACAGTTTACTTTTCCTCATGTCTTCTTCTTATAGTAATTCCTCAAGCTTTTTTATTTTTTATATTTGGGAAACTATTAGACAAATATTCACAACTACATAAGTTACATGAAGACACCTATCAATTTATTTCACTTCTTTGTTGCGTGGAATAACTGAACCTATGTTTGTTACTCCATAACTGGTGATAGCTGAGGTGAATTCTGACATTTTTGGCATTTTCCTATTGTCAGTGAATAGAAAGAAATTGAGCATTGATTGGCTTGTAGTGATTATATTTTAAAACGAGCAAAATTGAAGACAAGTTCAGATTCAATCTACTTAGGAAGGGTAGAAATTGCTACTGTGAAAATCCTGTAAGTAAAATTATGAAAATTTAGAAAAATAAATTTTCTAGTAATTATTCTGTAGCAAAATAGTACTAGATCTCTTCTAAACTGTTGAGCAGCATAGGTTAATAAAAGGAGTTAATTGTTGAAGCTGGAGCATTACAAAAATAGTATTACTCCTTGTGATTTGGTTCTAGGACTGTTCCTAATCCTCAGTCACTACTGTGGCTTTTCAAAACACACACTTGTTACTAGATTGTAAATACGCAGGACTCTGTAGCTAACTAGCTTGTCCTTTTCTTTCCAAACTGTATAATCAAAAATAAGAAAGGAGAGTTGTATTTCTTATGAAAGAATTAAAAGAATCTCAGTTTTTGACACTGATTTTGCAAACTTCTTAGCTATCAAATGAGGGGGTAGATCTGGTTTCCAAATTGCTCCTGAATACATTTGTGTACTAGCACTTCTTATTGTACTGTTTTGATAGCCATATTGCTTTATGTTTTAGGAGTATGCAATACTGATAATTTCAGTTTATTATCCATAACCATAGATTATGGTCCATTTGGCTTCATGGATTCATACAACCCAGGTGAGTATAACCTAAACTTTAGGTCCTAAAGGACTTCAGGATTTATTATTTCTCAGACAATGAAGCATGAAATTCTAAGCCGTGCCTGCATTTTTTAATTTTTGACTTCTTAGATTTACATGAGACCAAAAGGATTAAAAAATTGAAATGTATGGGACTGAGATATTAGAACTGGAATTGACCAGTTGATGGACCCTTGAGAATTGTATTTGAAATATTTAAAATTAAATTGATATGTTAGGTATGAATAAAATCTTAATTACATCAATGGAATTATAGAAAAGTATGCTAGTTTTTGTAGTGAAAAATGGAGATTAAAGTTGTAGGTTTTATCAAGGGAATGTAATTTTCTTTGTTGTGTGAGAAAGGCAAGGTTTTGGCCATGGGAGATAGCATATTCATTGTCAAGTTTCTTTACATTTTCTTTCTTTACACCTGAAAGAGTCCTGTTTGAGAGCCTTTAAAAGTTGAAAGCTATTACTCATGATGCCATGAAATTAAATATTCATTAGCATAAACAGTGCATCTAGGAATGCAGATATATCTCATATATCCAGGAGCCTGGTGGCGCAGCAGACTAAACTACTGTTAAAAATAGCATTTAGCTGCCAGCTGCCTGCAATTACTGCGAGTTTAATTCTCACCAGGCTCAAGGTTGACTCAGCCTTCCATCTTTTCAAGGTAGGTAAAATGAGGACCCGGTTTGTCAGGGAAATAAACTGACTTTGTATAAAATAGAACATTGCTTAGGGGGCCCCAAAAAAGCCCTACTAAGCAGGTATATACAAAAGTATGAAGGCTATTGCTTAATGCATTGTAAGCTGCCCTGAGTCTCCCGAGAAGGGTGGCATATACAGTGGGACAAAAAAGTATTTAGTCAGCCACCAATTGTGCAAGTTCTCCCACTTAAAAAGATGAAAGAGGCCTGTAATTGACATCATAGGTAGACCTCAACTATGAGAGACAAAATGAGAAAACAAATCCAGACAATCACATTGTCTGATTTGGAAAGAATTTATTTGCAAATCATGGTGGAAAATAAGTATTTGATCAATATCAAAAGTTCATCTCAATACTGTATTATATATACTTTGTTGGCAATGACAGAGGTCACATGTTTTCTGTAAGTCTTCACAAGGTTGGCACACACTGTTGCTGGTATGTTGGCCCATTTCTCCATGCAGATCTTCTCTAGAGCAGTGATGTTTTGGGGCTGTCGCTGGGCAACTACGGACTTTCAACTCCCTCCAAAGGTTTTCTATGGGGTTGAGATCTGGAGACTGGCTAGGCCACTCCAGGACCTTGAAATGCTTCTTACGAAGCCACTCCTTCGTTGCCCAGGTGGTGTGTTTGGGATCATTGTCATGCTGAAAGATCCAGCCATGTTTCATCTTCAATGCCCTTGCTGATGGAAGGAGGTTTGCACTCAAAATCTCACGATACATGGCCCCATTCATTCTTTCCTGTACACGGATCAGTGGTCCTGGTCCCTTTGCAGAGAAACAGCCCCAAAGCATGATGTTGCCACCCCCACGCTTCACAGTAGGTATGGTGTTCTTTGGATGCAACTCAGCATTCTCTCTCCTCCAAACACGACGAGTTGTGTTTCTACCAAACAGTTCTACTTTGGTTTCATCTGACCATATGACATTCTCCCAATCCTCTTCTGGATCATCCAAATGTTCTCTAGCAAACTTCAGAAGGGCCCGGACATGTACTGGCTTAAGCAGGGGGACACGTCTGGCACTGCAGGATCTGAGTCCCTGGCGGCATAGTGTGTTACTGATGGTAGCCTTTGTTACGTTGGTCCCAGCTCTCTGCAGGTCATTCACTAGGTCCCCCCGTGTGGTTCTGGGATTTTTGCTCACTATTCTTGTGATCATTTTGACCCCATGGGGTGAGATCTTGCATGGAGCCCCAGATTGAGGGAGATTATCAGTGGTCTTGTATGTCTTCCATTTTCTAATTATTGCTCCCACAATTGATTTCTTCACACCAAGCTGCTTGCCTATTGCAGATTCAGTCTTCCCAGCCTGGTGCAGGTCTACAATTTTGTTTCTGGTGTCCTTCAACAGTTCTTTGCTCTTCACCATAATGGAGTTTGGAGTGTGACTGTTTGAGGTTGTGGACAGGTGTCTTTTATACTGATAACAAGTTCAAACAGGTGCCATTAATACAGGTAATGAGTGGAAGACAGAGAAGCCTCTTAAAGAAGAAGTTACAGGTCTGTGAGAGCCAGAAATCTTGCTTGTTTGTAGGTGACCAAATACTTATTTTCCACCATGATTTGCAAATAAATTCTTTCCAAATCAGACAATGTGATTGTCTGAATTTATTTTCTTATTTTGTCTCTCATAGTTGAGGTCTACCTATGATGACAATTACAGGCCTCTCTCATCTTTTTAAATGGGAGAACTTGCACAATTGATGGCTGACTAAATACTTTTTTGCCCCACTGTAAATCAAACTAATAAATAATAAATAATATGCACTTACAGCCCACATACATTCTGATATGGGCGCATTATTATTAGTCATTATTATAATTTCTATAAAGTATAGTCATAAAAAACAAGTTGGCTATTAGTAAATTTGTGACAAAGCAGACTGGGGAAAAAAGCCCCAATATAATATTTACGTATCTTAAAACAAAATGAAACTTTATTTTGTATAACAGGTTATTTGTGTCCAAAAACATGGCCAATATGTGGTCCTCAAATTATAGTTGTTCATTTAATGATCATTCAACATTACAGTGGCACTAAAAAAATAATTTATGACCAATTTTTACACTCAGGACTTTTGCAGCATCATGGTCATGTGCTCAAAAGTTGGGCACTTGGGAATTGTCACGTATTTATGACAATTGAACTCTCCTAATGTCATATAATCACAATCTGTAACCTTGTTAACTGTCTACAGACAAGCAGAGTCAATGGGGAAGGTCAGATTTGCTGAATGACTGTATAATTCATTTAACAATAGCAGTGATTTGCTTAACAACTTAATTGTGGTAAAAAGGTCATAAAATGGTACAAAACTCAATTAGCAACTGTCTTGCTTAGCAACATAAATGTTGGGTTCAATTGTGATCATAAATCAAGGAATACCTGTGTATTTAAAAATGGATAGTTTAAACCACTGATTTTGGTTTGCAGTTGGGGTAAAAAGATACATTGCAATTTTACACTAAAAAGGAAATAGTGCATTATTTTCCTTGCGCTAATCTAGCCTAAATAAATATGCTTGCATTTAGAAATTTGGGAGGTGTCTGTAGATATTTACTACCTGTGTAATTTTCCTTATTTTGAATCAAGATGAATGAACGTGGTTGGCTATTTCAAATGTTCCACTATAGTAAAAATAATGTTTTGTTTCAGACTTTGTTCCAAACACATCTGATGATGAAGGACGGTATAAAATAGGAAATCAGGCAAATGTTGGAATGTTTAATCTGAACAAACTGCTTAAGGCTTTAAACCCTTTATTTAGTCCAAGACAAAAGCAACTGTAAGTAATCTTTTAAATTGTCTTCTTATTTAAAAGAGCTGATGAGATGACTGTTCATTCCGAAAAGAAGACATTTTCCTGCAAGAGAATATTTTGAAAATTGAAATTATGTTTTACAATGGAAGTGCTTGCAAAAGAATAAAAGTGTTCAGTAGATTTATGGAAACGACTATTTTATAAAGTAAAATTTTGTACTGTTGCTGCTAGGAAATGAAAAAAGAAAAAAATGTGAGGGTTTTTTGTCTTCTTACTTTAGTTAGTCAAAAATTAAAAACATGCCTAGAAAGACATTTTCTTTCTGAATATCATCTGTAGTTTTAGAGACAAATGAGAAAGAGATCATTTGAAGCACCAGCCCCTTTCATTATTATTATAAATTTGTCCCAAACACATGAATCATTTAAGTAATATCAGTTCAATTTCGAATGTGCAATTGAATCACAGAAAAGGCAATGAAGATGAGAGAGATGGACCATGATTACACCAATATCAAATGTTTGCTAACTATTCTATATATTTTGTCTCATAAAAATATGGAAGATACACTATCTTAGTAGAAGCCAAAAATATAGGAAGTGATTCAGCTTGGATGCATTCCTAATTCTATAAACTATGGTTTATTAAGCCAGGAAAGAACCTTTGACTCAAATGGGGTACTCTAGCTATTTCCTTCATTTTGTAAGGATTCAATACTTACTTTGTAAGTAAATCAGATCCAGCACTTTTCTAGGCCACTGTTTCTTGGAATGTACAATACTCATGAACTTAAACCACACATTTCAGAATTAAAACTAGTACATAAGATGAGATAAGGAGCCGAAACCTTATTGCAGCTCAGAAATTTATTGTATATTAAGGAGGAATGTTATTTCCAAAAAGACCTTAGAAATCAGAAACCTTTTCATGCTATGAAGATCATTGTGTCTGAGTTTTTTGTTATCTTCCTGAAGATCTCAGAATCTTACGAGATTTCAGTTCTATAGTCTGAAGATGAAAACCTTGAAATGTGACAAGATTTGGTAAGATTCTAGCTATGGTTTTCTTAAGTATATTAAAATTTAATAAATGAAGGAAATAAGTTTCACTCTTTATTGGGAGAGTGTTGATGGATATTGATCTTCAGAGGTAATAAAAACCATAATTACTTAGCAAGGCAGATTCATTTTGGACTTTGTAACCTATATATTTTATTGTTTAAATAAAGGTGACAAAAAACACATTTTTAATGTGTTTTTCAGACTGGCTTCAGGCCTGGCTACAGCACGGAAACTGCCTTGATCATGCTGATGGATGATCTCTGGCGAGCCTGAGATGGGGGTCATTCCTTCATCTTGGTGCTACTTGACCTCTCAGCGGCTTTCGATACCATTGACTATGGTATCCTTTTGGGATGACTAAGGGAGTTGGGAGTGGGAGGCACCGTGTTACGGTGGTTCTCCTCCTATCTCTCTGGTCGGTCACAGTCGCTGTTGGTAGGGGGACAGAGGTTGACCCTTAGGCCCCTCATTTGCGGGGTGCCTCAGGGCTCGGTCCTCTCTCCCCTCCTATTTAACATCTACATGAAGCTGCTGGGTGAGATCATCCGACGATATGGGGTGAGGTATCAGCAATACGCTGATGATACCCAGCTGTATATCTCTACCCCGCGTCAATTCAGTGAGGCGGTGGATGTGATGTGCCGGTGCCTGGAGGCCGTGAGGGTCTGGATGGGAGTCAACAGGCTCAGACTTAACCCAGACAAGACCGAGTGGCTGTGGGTATTGCCTCCTAAAATCTATGTTGATTGTCCATCCGTGGTTCTGGGTGGGGGGAGAGAAATTGTCCTCCTCAGGATGGGTTCGCAATTTGGGTGTCCTCCTAGATTCACAGCTAAGATTACACAACATCTGTCAGCTGTGGCTCGGGGGACCTTTGCACAGGTTCACCTGGTGCACCAATTGCGACCCTACTTGGATCAGGAGGCTCTCCTCACAGTCACTCCTGCCCTTGTCACCTCACGGTTAGATTATTGCGCTCTACATGGGGCTCCCTTGAAAAGTGTTCAGAGACTACAGATGGTCCAGAACGCAGCCGCGCGAGCTGTCGTGGATGGACCTAGGTACACCCACATTACACCAATTCTCCGCGCTCCCTATTGGTCTCGAGTCACAATTCAAGGTGTTGGTTATTACCTTTAAAGCCCTACATGGCTCAGGGGCAGGTTATCTTTGAGACCGCCTTCTACCGCATAGCTCCCAGCGACCGGTAAGATCCCACAGAGTTGGTCTCCTCCGGGTCCCATCAGCTAAACAGTGCCGGCTGGCGGGCCCGCAGGGGAGGGCCTTCTCTGTGGCTGCCCCAGCTCTCTGGAACCAGTTACTCCTGAGATCCGGACCATCCCCACCCTATTGGCCTTCCGAAAAGCGGTGAAGACCTGGCTTTTCCGGCAGGCCTGGGGCTGTTGATCTCGCTGTTGTGATCTGGCGAGATCCGGCCATGAATGGTGTGAATGGGTTTTAATTGCTTTTAATGTTTTAATTTTTAATGTTTTTATATATGGTTTTTAAATGCATTGTAAGCCGCCTTGAGTATTCGGAGAAAGGCGGCATACAAGTTGAACAAATAAATAAATAATAGCATAAAAAAAATATTAGACTCAACTCTACAGCTCCAGATGGATGAAAAAGACTCTAGGCTGAAATCCAGGAAATCCACTTTCGGTCCATTCAGACAATTCTGAGCTGGTTGCATTATAGTTCTTCTTAGAGTACTTACCTTCTGCTCTCATGGGAATTCCAATAATTCCTGCTGTTGAGTTCTTAGTGTTCTTTGAGCTGCTTTTTCCACCCCCATACACATTTCATTGCCATGCCAGAAAACCTCAATGTGAGGGAAAGTGAGGTTTCCTGACAGTTTATATATCATAGCTTGTCCTTCCAGTCTTGGTGTGCTTCTTAATAGTTCATTAATTGGGGTATTTCTTTTTTCCCAAATTGCTTATGGGGTGCTTCTTCTGCTTGTCTAATGTTGGCTGGTGGAGATGATGTGTAAAGGATTGTTTCCTTTCCTGGCTTTTGGTTGAATCTTTTAAATGGCATGTAGCTGGGTTTATTTCTATGTGTCTATCGGTAAAACTTTAAGGAATAGCAAGAATCATTTATTTATTTAATTTATTTATTTTATTTTATTTTTATACCGCCCTTCTCCTGCGGGACTCAGGGCGGTGTACAGCCGAGATAAAACATAGCATATAAAATTTAAAAACAGTTTAAAAAACAATTAAATAATTTCGGCCCAATAATTTAAAACAACCCAATTAAAACCGAATTCAATTAAAACTGAGAGGATGGGATCAAGCCAGCCCGGCTAGATGGAATAAGTCTGTTTTCAGGGCCCGACGAAAAGTCCGGAGGTCTGATATCGTGCGTATCTCAGGGGGTAGGTCATTCCAGAGGGCAGGTGCTGCCACAGAGAAGGCTCTCCTCCTGGGGGTCACCAGCCGGCACTGTCTGGCCGACGACACCCTGAGGAGGCCCTCTCTGTGCGAGCGAACCAGTCGGTGGGAGGCTATTGGCGGCAGAAGGCAGTCTCGCAGATACTCCGGCCCTAAGCCATGGAGCACTTTAAAGGTGGTCACCCACACTTTGAAGTGCACCTGGAAGACCACAGGAAGCCAGTGCAGCTCGCGCAGGAGAGGTGTCATATGTGAGCGCCCCATCGCTCCCATAATCCCCTGCACGCCCGCATTCTGGACTAACTGCAGCCTCCGGGTGCACCCCAAGGGGAGCCCCATGTAGAGAGCATTGCAGTAGTCCAGGCGGGAAGTGACGAGTGCTTGAGTGACCGTGCGTAGGGAGTCCCGATCCAGAAAGGGGCGCAACTGGCGTATCAGGCGAACCTGATAAAAAGCCCCCCTGGCCACGGCCGTCTAAAGACAGCTGTGCATCCAGGAGGACGCCTAAATTGCGAGCCCTCTCCGTGGAGGCCAGTGACTCGCCCCCAATAGCCAGCGATGGCACCAGCTGGCTATATCGTGATGTCGGAAGCCACAGCCACTCGGTCTTGGAAGGGTTGAGTCGGAGCCTGTTTCTCCCCATCCAGGCCCGCATGGCCTCCAGGCACTGGGACATCACTTCAAGGACATCGTTGAGCTACAAATATTCTCTACTCTTTGGAATTTCTTCTGAACTGATTAGAAATTACACAAACCAGGATATCAATCATCCAACACAGAATCAATGGAAGAATGGCTGGAATTATCTGTCTCCTTGACTCCCCCCCCCCAAATGAAATAGGTGTGTTAATCCTCATCTATTTTTATGTTTACTGAGGGAAAAATGCAGATCAGACTAAAGAAAGATCAGCCATTTGCTGCCAAATGTTAGCAGGTTGTAAATGCAGGATTATCCATCTTACTAGATCATCCAGGGTAACATGTCTAATGCCTAAATATCTATGGATATTCTCCATCATCCAGGTCATGGTTGTCCCAGAGGTGCTATTCCAAAGGCAACTGGATTTTATTGGGGGTTTCTTTCTTAAAGACTTTTCATTTCTCACCCAAGAAACTTCTTCAGTTTTGACTGAATAGGTCAAATTTATATTCTGAGGAATTTGGAGGATAAACTGTGCAGTCATCTAGTTATTCTGTGCAGTCATCTAGTTGTTAACATTCTGAGGGTCAGTCATTAGCTCTCCAAGAATCATTAAGACTACTTGGAGATTTATCTTTATCCTCAGAGTCACCTGAACGACAGTGCAAATGAATGTGGAATCTTCTTGGGACTGCTGAAAGGATTGTGTTGTAAATAAGAGAAAGGTGGTGTCTTATATTCCTCTCCCTCTATTGAGCAAGGGCTGTTCAATTTTAATTCAGATGGCCTCTTTGACCTCTCTTTCAGACCAATGGCCCTCTTTGCCCAGAATGTGAACTTTGCTGTCTTTAAAAGAGTGACTTTGTCTTTCGGATACAGATGGACTACTGAATATTGTCCTGATTGGTTTGTTTTCCTGTGCTTTGCCTTGTGTTTGTGAAGTGGTTGTTTTGTTTCCCCAATGTACAGATCTGCACATGTCTTATTATCCTGCTGTACTGTACATACGATATTGCTCAGTTTGTTTCTGAATGCTTTATCTTTGGGGTGGACAAGCTGCTGTCTTAATGTGTTCTTGGCTTTAAAGTGTGCACATATGTTATGTTGGTTGAAAATCCTTCTGAGATTTTCAGATATTCCTGCAACATATGGAATGACAACATTGCTCCATTTGTTGTTCTCTTTGTCTGTTGTGGAGAAGTTCCTGCTGGATCTTTTTTTATATTTAATTTTTAATTTTTATTTTTATTCATTTATTTTGTCAAGCATATATAAGATTACAGATATAAGTATAAACATGATTATGAGTACATGAAATGGATACAAATAAATGGAAACAGTAGGACAGGGAGTTTAGGTATGTTGGTGCGCTTATGCACGCCCCTTACAGACCTCTTAGGAATGAGTGAGGTCGACAGTAGATAGTCTAAAGTTAAAGTTTTGGGGGTTTGGGGAAGAAACCACAGAGTCAGGTAGGGCATTCCAGGCATTTATCACTCTGTTGCTGAAGTCATATTTTCTGCAATCAAGTTTGGAGCGGTTTATCTTAAGTTTGTATCTATTGTGTGCTTGTGTATTGTTGTGGTTGAAGCTGAAGTAGTCATTGACAGGTAGGACATTGTAGCGGATAATAAGCAGATATTTGATGAAGGCCCAGATGGGGTAGCTTCCTTTATGGTTTTTTTTGTTCTTTTTCTTTTTCTGGTAGGTAAACTGTCTAGACTTTCCTGGACTGTGCAGTACACATTAAGAAAGGCAGAAACCTCAACATCGAAGTATACAGAAAACCTACACACATTTACATATACGCTATTTCCCCAAAAATAAGACCCTGTCTTATATTTTTTTGAACGCTGAAATAAGCGTTTGGCCTTATTGCAATGCGCTCAAAAGCCTGATTGGGCTTATTATCAGGAGATGTCTTATAGTGGGGGAAACAGGGTAGTAGAGCACAAACTAGGAGTGCTAACAATCAAATGACTGCAAATAATATAAATCCTTCCATTCCCGTCCCCCTTTTCAGTCAGAACTGAAAAAGCATCTTCAATGAGAAGCAAAATGATTTTAAGAAAAAAGCCAATGAAAGTCCAGTTGCCTTTAGGAAAAGCACCTGTCTAATACCTGAACAATAACATCTGAAAATGTTATTAAATTGTTGTTGGTTTTTTTTACTGAAACATTTGCACCTTTTCTGAACAGGGCTTCTCAGATACTTGAAGGATATCCTCAACAATATTATAAAGGGTATGTAAGCATTGGAATTATTTTTTTAACAAAAATGAACATATTTCTGTGACATATCAGTTTTGCCATGCCAATTCATTTGTTTCATTAATCTTCAGCTTTATAGAACTATTCAAGACAAAATTAGGTCTGCTAGGAGAGAATGAGGATGATGAATATTTGATTGCTTTTCTTCTAAAAGTGAGTTTTTTAAAATTATTAAATATTTGTTCTGTACCTTGAGTTATCAGTAAAGGCTGACACAAAAATGTGATCCTATTTCTTAGCTCATGGAAAATACAAGAGCAGATTTCACAATGACTTTTCGGCAACTCAGTGAGATTTCAGAAGACAAACTCAAAAATTTCAACATACCTAAGGTATTGATACATCATTGTTAAGAAAAAAATGAGTTTTCTTATTTTAAAACAATGGATTGTGAAAGTGGAATTGGTTTAGGACAGGGGTCAGCAACCTGCGGCTCCGGAGCCGCAAGCGGCTCTTTGGGCGTCCACTTGGCTCCCTGTCAAGTGATCCCACCACTGGCTGGCCCTGCCCCTCGCCCTCCCCTCCCAGTCACTCCTCGCCTGGCCTGAGAAGACAGAGACAGAGAGATACAGAGAGCGGTGGAGAGAGAGACACATAGAGAGATACAGAGAGAGAGGGAGGGAGGGGAGAGAGAGATGTCAAAAGGATTTTGTGGTTCCTGGTGTTTTTTAACAACTGGTTCTCTGTCCTAATGACCGACTGACACATTTGAGTCTCCCAAATTGCAGCACAGAGTTGTTGCTTTTCAGCAAGATACAAAAAGCCCAGAAACTTGTGAATGAGATTTCACAGAACTAGGGCTGTGGAACATCTTAGCTTACGTAGATAAAACCTGGCTAGAAAGAATATGCACATAAAAGCCTACGAAAAAGAAATAGAAATATATACATATATACATATATATATTTCTGAGGTTTTCGCGGGTGTTTGTATGTAGGTCTTTGGTTATTCAGGTTTTCTCCCGCGTAAAATTGAAAGTGTCTTGGCGATGTTTCGACAAAGTCTCATTCGTCATCTTCAGGCTGGTGTTTTTGGCTTTGTGCTTCTAGGAGCAATGTGTGTTCGCAGCTGTTTCTTCCTTTTAACTGCCAGTGGGGGTGTGAACTGATTGGGTGGGAGCTTGGCTGTGTTCTGATTGGGTGGAGGTGTGTTCTGATTGGTTGGGGGCTTGGCTGTGCTCTGATTGGATGGGGGCTGGTTGTGCTCTGATTGGATGGGTGTGTGTTCTGTTTGGGTGGGTTGTTGCACGTGCACCCGCCGCTCCTGGCACGCGATGGCAAAAAGGTTAGCTATCACTGCTTTATGCTAATGGAACATGGACACTAACCTCACAATCGATACAAAAGCTAAGAGTGGCACAAAAAGCCATGGAAAGCTCAGCATTAGAAGACAAGATAGAAAGACCTGCAAATGGATTAGAGAACAAACCAAAGTATACAATCTCATCAAGAGAGTAAAAGAATTGAAATGGAAATGGGCTGGTTACATAGCAAGAAGAACTGATAGCAGGTGGACCAAGGCAGTTATAGAATGGATCCCACTTGATAAAAAGTGCCCATGAAAGAGACATTAAACAAGATGGAGCGATGAGCAATATTGTGCGCCCATTTGGCAAAAGAAAGCTCAGGATGTATAGGTTGGATACATGTGGCAGAGGACTTCATTCTGCAGTAGATAAACAATGGCTAAATTGATGATGATGATGATGAAGATGATGATGAGGATGATGATACACATATACATACACACACACATATACAATACTTGCTGGTGTTGTCGATCCATCTTGTTTTAGGTCTCTTCCTTGGGCGCTTTTTATCAGGGTGGGATCCATTATGTGGCTGTTTTGGTCCACCTGCCATCATTTCTTCTTGCTATGTGACCAGCTCATTTCCATTTCATTTCTTTTACTCTCTTGATGATATCGTATACTTGTTTGTTCTCTAATCCATGTGCAGGCCTTTCTATCTTGTCTTGTAATGCCAAGCATGTATCTTTTCTCACAGGATTGCTGTTGTGGAGAAAATAGGAAGAGAAAATAGTATTAAGCACGTTCACCCCCTTGAGTCTTTTATAGAAACAATTAAGGTGGGAGATTTATATCTCCTACAGTGGTGAAGGTGCTTAGCACTATGTTCTCTTCCTATTTTCTCCACAACAACAATCCTGTGAAGAGAGTTGGGCTGTCTCCTGAGATCTAGGCCAACACCTTAACCACAAGACCAAATTGGCTTTTTGATAAGATTGCAGATCTTATGTCACAATCTCGCTAGATACCAAGTTTTTTTAAATAATGTATCCAATGTTTGGTTTTTAGAAGAAAGAAGAGTAGAATTGGGACAGCTGCCTCTTCCAATGTTTATCTTTCTAGGTTTCCATGGTAGCAAAACATTGATGACTCTGATAGGTTTCCTTTCCAAATGCAAAACAAACATTGAGAGGAAGGCAAATGCTTCCCAATAGTGCAAAAACTCTAAGGAGTTTAGAGTTTCCTTATATCAGCATAGAATATTCCAGGATATACTGATCTCTTGTCTGCTCTTACTCCAAATGCCTAAAATTGTCTATAGATTTGCCTGATTGCAAAATAGAGTCTACCTCACATATTCCTACTATTAACATCCACTTGTTAATTGAAAAGCTAAATTGTTGCAATGATTCCCCTACAAAGGTTGTTTTCTCTACCAGCTCATCACAATTGGGATGCAGCCTGGCATTGTCAGTATTGTTTTATATATTTTATTTGAGCAGTGGAACAAACTCACTGTCCTCCATGCCAACTAAGGGAAGTGGGGTTTAATTTCAAGAAAAATCCTAACCCTGATTCAGGCTGTTCAAATGTTGCTGTCTTTTGTGTGCAGAGAGATATTTGACCAGTGGTGTGTGCTTGGGATATAGTTCTTTTCAGATTGGTTATCTTAATCCCAAATCTAGCAAGGAATTCTACTATTTTTTCTTTTTAAATACTGATTTAACAACTGTTATTGGAAGTGAATATTTGTTATTGGAGTTCTATGCAGGTCTGTTCTGGAATATTAAACTTAATTGGCAAGTGTAAGAATTCCTGTGTTTTGTAAATGTTCAATTATTTTCATACAGGAATTCTGGGCTTTGCAAGATGTAGCTAAACACAACAACTTTTCAACCTGGATTGCTATGTACTTCTTGAGATTAAAAAGGTAAATATAATGGATTAATTTACTATAATTACATGTTAAAGAAGAGAAACATTAATTTCACTAGATGTTTTCCATGCAACTCCTTCAGTTATTTATGACAATCTGAGTTTGATTACTCAACATTCAACATTTAAAGTAATTTTAAATAAATAGAACAGGATTAATGAGGGATGTCTAACCATTCTATGCACAGAGCATTCCATACCCAGATTAGTCAATATTGAGCCATCTGTCCATGGATTAAAATACAGATCTTGGTTTTATGTGTTTAATCTGTGCATAGCCTTAGAGCAGCATTTCGCAACCCTGGCAACGATAAGATATGTGGCTGGGTAATTCTAGAAATGGAAATCATCAGATCTTCAGGCTGTATAAGTGTTTTAACAAGAATTCTAGGATGGAGATAGAAAAGAGAAGAGTAGGATTAGCAGTAAGTAGAGTGGGTTCGTTGAGGTTTCTAAGGAAGCTGGACTAGATGAGAAAAGAGCAATATGCAACAAGTAGCTCCATTTACTTCCTTAGGCTCCTCTTTGCCTTAGTGAAAATCTGTATTAACCTAAATGATCTGGGGTTCAATATGGCTGCATTATCACTGAGGTTTTTTTAACAGTAACAGGGTTGGGGGGCACCTTGGAGATCATCTAGTCCAACCCCCTGCACACACAGGAGACCTGTACTAGGGATTTGAATGGTCTGCCCAAATATATCTTCATTCCATGCATGGAACAAACCACATTTTTCATTTTGCACATCTCCAAATATCATGTTGCAAAATGCACAATATCTACTCATGGTTGAAGGTGTGTCTGTTCTTAGGAATCATTGCCTCAAAATCAGCCTAGATAATCTATATAAAACAATAGTTTCAAACTGAATGTCTGCATCTGTGTTTATACACTGTGTTTATACACTATTCCTGTATAGGAATATGGGTGATTCAGACTCTGAAAGGAGGAGAAGAATGAGCAGTGAGTATAGTGATAATTTGTTCTGTCATTCAAAAAGTTCATTTCTCTTCTTATAGATTCAGCTTCTAAATACCTGTTTGTTCAATAAAATAGATGTATATTGTTAACACTTGGAAAACTTGAGAAGCAAGGAATTTTTCATTCTTTATATTTAGAACAAACACAAGTTGGAAAGCAATGCAGTTTCACTGTAATAATTTAAAGATTAATTTTGATATTCCTGTATTTGCAGTTTTCTATGCTGAACTTTGTGATTCAAAATTCAAAAACAAATCAGACACAGTGCCCTTTCTGTCCTTTACACAAATGCTAGAAACTTCCCAAAGTCTGGGTGGCTGTTTGCTCCTTCATTTCTTTCCCTGAAAAAAAGCAATTGTATTGACACATGGCATGTGCCCTGTCCCAAAATGATAATCTTCTCAGGTTTGTGCTTGATACTCAAGTCGGCACTCTTAGTGGCAGAGCATAGTCCCAGCTGTTCAGCCCCATGTTATCAGAGGAAAGACAAGAGGACTAGCCTCCTGTTATTTGACAGATGTTTGTAAAGGCCAGTCAAGCCAAGCTGCATTTCCTGCCTGTTCTTGTTCTCATTGATTGAACTCTCAGAGGCACAGCTGTTCCAGCTCAGCAACAGCTGCACTGCAGATGCAGAAGGGGTGACTGACCATCAGCCTCTCCAATGAAGAAGCAGAGTGCAAGAAGAATGTGCCCAAAGGGGCACGATTTGCACGCATGGTTGCAGAAACTGGTTGCCAGAGGATACCAGTCATCTTGAGATCTGCATGCTTGCCAGTGGACTATAGATTTGAAAAGGTTGGAAATGTTTCTAGCGGCAAAGAAAGCCTCCTGTGTGGCAGAGCTCAGAATTGAAGTACAGAAGCAGCAAGATTTCAAATAAAAATGGCCACAATTCTGTCAATGGAAGCAGTGGTGGGTTGCCCCCAGTTTGGACCGGTTTGCAAGAACCGCTGGAGGCTCCGCCCACCGCCCCGGATGTCATCAGTGATCTGTGCATGTGCGATCCTGTTGCGAACTGATAGTAAAGGTAGGTAGAACCCACCCTGAATGGAAGGATGTTTGCACCTTAAAAGCTGCTTCTGGAAGCAAGTGCAACATATTGCGGATGAAAATGATATGTTTTTGAAGATACCAGGACTCAACCTTTTTGTAAGAATTTTCACTGATCCCCCGTGGTGATTTCCTTGGTCCCCATGGTCAATTCCAGATGGTTGGAATTGACAGAGATTATGAAATGGTCCTTCAAACTACAGTACTTTTTATTTTCTAGAAGTAGGAAACAAACTATGTAGCATTTGCTTAAAGAAAGATTTGGAAATCTAATAACTTGAGAGAACATTTTTCAATGTTCTCTCAATGGCCAACTCCTAAGGGAACTGAAAAATAATAAATAAGGGGTTACTAGCATATAATTTTTTCACAGTGCTTTTCCAGATAAATTACCAATTTGTCTTTACCAATCAATTTATCAATTTGATTCAAAAATATATTCTACACATTTGATCGTGAATATATTTGATTCACAAATATATTCTATTCTCTCTGACGATAGAATCTGTATGGATCCTGTAATTTTTTAACACACTGCATTGCTTTCAAATTACACTGAGATAAAATCACATCTATATCTTGAGAATAGTTTTTATGCAAAGATCTGGTATCTGATCTGAGGCTCAGTTTGTGGAGAAGGAGTACAAGAGAGGAAGAGAATCAGACTTCCAGTGTAGAAAAACAACTTAAAAGCTACTGGTATTTTGCAAGCTGTGCATTTTCCTTTCCTTTCCTTTCCTTTCCTTTCCTTTCCTTTCCTTTCCTTCTCCTTTCCTTTCCTTTCCTTTCCTTTCCTTTCCTTTCCTTTCCTTTCCTTTCCTTCTTTCCTTTCCTTTTCCTTTCCTTCCCTTCCCTTCCCTTCCCTTCCCATCCCATTTCCCTTTCTTATTTATTTATTTATTTATTATATTTCTATACCGCCTTTCTCCCGTAGGACTCAAGGCGGTGTACAGTCAAGAAAAACATAGACACACAAACACCACAAAATTGCTAATTAAAATTGCCACTTAGTTTGGTCAATTAAATAAAACCCAGAATTAGATAACATTTAAAAAATCATTCGCATGTTTGTATGTTTAGCCCTGCCTGTTGGAACATCTTCCCATCCCTTCCATTTCCCTTCCCCCCCCCCTTTTTTTTTATAGAATGAGAGGGTTGTCTCTAAAATGAAACTTAGGAGACAAATTAGCTAGAACAAATAAGCTTATCTCATTAAAAATATAACTTAAATGTTTATTTTTTTATATTGAATGGTTTTAGTTTGTAGAGTTGTACGGTTCTATTGTTTTTTTTATATGATTCAGAGATTAAAATGCAACAAATAAGTGTAAACTAAGTGGTGTTAACCCTAACTCTAAAGAAATAGTTTTATTCATTAAAGGAAGGGGGTTCATAAATTCATGTTATCAGTGAAAAGAGTGACATATAAATTTAATAAATAAGTGTTATCATTTTAGGAATCAAAATTTATTATTTTCGGTTGTTGTCTAAGTGTTCTACCATTATAATATGCTTTAACCAGCCTTTTGGGGAAGGAAACAATGGAAGGGCTGCCAGCTTTATTTAGAAAGTTTAGAAAAAAAATTGGGATATTTGGCAACATTTTGTATTGTTCTAGTGCAGGTTCAGGATAAAATGTATTATGGTGTACAATGGCTATTCAGTATCTTTTTGTTTTTTTCACTTTCAGATCTTTGAAATCTGTATTTTTATTATAGCAGTGGAAAAGAAGTAGATTTCGGTGTAGCAAATCTGTAGTTAGACAATCATGTTTTTTATCTGCAATTCATTTTCTTTTGGTTGCAGGTGTTAACCCAAGATATGTGCTTAGAAATTGGATGGCAGAATCAGCTGTCCAGAAGGCGGAAATAAATGATTTTTCAGAGGTACATATTTACAAAGCTGCCTTGATATAGTTGTTTCCTCTTGAACAGACCAAAGGTATTGTTTAAGCATTTTCAAATCTCTTGCACCTGTTTTTTCTCTTTTGTTTTCCAGGTCCGCTTCTTGCAACAAGTTTTGCAACGTCCATTTCTGGTACAGACCCTGGCTGAGAGAGCTGGTTATGCACAGCGTCCCCCTGTTTGGGCTAAGAATGTTAAACTCAGTTGTTCATCTTGATGAAAATAATTTGTGATTAAATTAAATGGTGACATTTACCGTCATAGATTTATATTGTATTATTGTTGAATTACTTTTCTCCTTTGCTAGATTTCTATCACACACTAGACTAGGTTAAAATGGAGTTTATAGTTCAGTGTTTGTAGATCTCTTTTGGTGCAATCTTTTGTTTTGGGCAAACGTCTCCCTTCTGAGAGAAGCTAAATTAAATCTTATTTCTAAGCCTTTTCCAAAAGCACTGAACAAAATTAAAAGTTTGTGTTTCTCTCTTCCCCCACAATGCCCATTCCAAAGTCTGTAGAGATGTGACCAAACAGCCAGCTCTGCAGGCTTTTTATAGTTACACCAAAACTGGTCATGTCCCAACAAGACAAAGAGGCAAATTCCCAGATAGCACATTATATAGTCAAGGTAGGCACTATTATTATCTGTTTTTCCATTTTCATTTGCCCTGTTCTGTTTATAGTCTTCCTATAACTTTGGCTGTTTCCAATAATCCTTGAACTGCACTATACTATACTTCTGTGTCAGAAGCATTGAAATGCTTCCATGGTGAAAGGATCAGCTGGTGACATCACCTTTTCCTGGGGGATACCCAGCTGGGGGTTCCTTTCATGTGTTAGTTAAGTTGCCCCCTAAAGTGGTACCCATCTATCTACTTATGATCACCTGCTTTAGAACTCTGAGTTGGCAGGGCTGGAGTGAGTGATGGGAACACACCCTGCCACACAGCAACAACTGGGTCTTGAATGCCCTAACCTCATGATCCATTGCATTCCACACTCCTTGAACTACTATATCCGTGATGGTGAACCTATGGCATGCATGCCACAGGTGGCACGCCGAGCCATATTGGTGGGCATGCAAGCGTTGCCCTAGCTTAGTTCCAGCACACATGTGCGCACTGGACAGCTGATTTTTGGGCCTTCTGGGCCCACCGGAAGTTGGCAAACGGGCTGTTTCCAGCTTCTGGAGGGCCTCCGGAGGGTGGGGGCAGGGAAGGCTGTCTTTGCCCTCCCCAGGCTCCTAGAAAGCCTCTGGAGCCTGGGGAGGGCAAAAAACAGGCCTACCAGCATGTTGCCATCATATGCCAAAAGCAAGAGAAGCATGGGGGGGTTGCGCTCACATGCATGGGGGGGCAGGGCACATAGAATTATCAGTGTGGGCACACATGTGCATGACCACCCAGCATTCTCCCAGCTTTTGGTACGCGATGGCAAAAAGGTTAGCCATCACTGTACTATATCGTTTATGTAGTTATAAATATGTATTTATATTGTACTAATATTTTAAGCTATCTAGAGTCAAAGAATGAGATGGCTGCAGTGGTAGCATTCTACCGGTCTGGACCAGTTTGGGTGAACTGTTAGCTGACTTTCAGCCATGAGTGAATCGATTCTCTTTCTTTGAAATGGGCCCACCCACCCACCCCTACATTATATTTACCTGTATTGCTTCTTCCAAAGCCCAGCTGATTGGATTGCTGCTCCTCAGCTGTTTTCTTTGCTCTGAGCAATGTGGAAGTTCTATTTTCTAAAAACTGCGCACGTGCACACTCAGCGAACCGGTTTTTAAACTGGTAGGATCCCACCACTGAATGGGTGGTATATAAATTTAATAATAACTAAAACTACTATGACCAGAAACCCAAAAGAGTCCAGCACTTTCCTATTTGCCTTTTTTAACCATTGACATAGATGTTTCATGCAGAATATGACATCACACCATTAATGCAACTTGTAAAATTCACATCATTTATGCATTTGTGTACATTATGTATTTGTTCCTCCCACTTGCCTGGTAAATCAAAATTCATCGTGGACATATTTGTATTGTAAATGTAAAAAGAATCTCTTATTGGCCAGCAAGCTCATTGGGAGGTTATTCTGTTATTCTAAAGAATATGTAAAGTCCCCAGACCTGGGTCCCAGGTTGAGTTTTCAAGAATTGTGAATTATGAAAGAGTTAAATATAAAATGCAAAGAAATGAGGCGAACTGGTATTTGACCGATTTTAAATGGTTTTTTGTGGTCTGCCATTTGATTTGGATGAAAGAATGGTTGTTGCTAAGAAATAAGAGAAAGTTAGAATTGGAAGAGCACAAACAGATTTGGGTGGCATTTTTTATGCACAATAAAATTAAAGTGAATCTAGGTTTCAAAAATCAATTAAGTTAGGAGTGCCATATTAAGAATATAAAATGAATATAAACTCAGATTTTGCCTGAAAATACTTTACTGGCTTAAGCATTTTATAGAAAATAAAGTGTAAAGAAAAATGATTAAAATATCAAAACTTGCAAGTATAGCAAACTAGACAACTTAAAATGAAATCAAAAGAACAATTGACTGCTGAGGGACTTATTTTTCAAAAGGAATGGGATTGCACTGGCAGAAAAAAATAGCTTGCATTTCTCCTCCCCTCCTGCAGAGCAGAGATCGGAGGAGATATCAAGATAGTACATAATGTAAGCTGTTTGTATAGAATCAGTGGTGATATTCAGCTGGTTCAGACCGATTTGGGTGAACCGGTAGTGGTGGCCTGCCCACCCACCCACCCCAGCGCTATGCCGTCTTATTTAGCCACATTTTCTAAGCCACATGCATATGTGCAAGCCGCACATGCGAGCAAAGTGCATACTCACATTTTCGGTGTGCAGCTAACCGGTGGTAAAATTGTGTGAAACCCACCTCTGTATAGAATGCTTATCATTCCCAGGCCCAGTCTGCCATCACAATAAGACTGAATAAAACTTTTACAATTAAGTAGAAAAGCAAACGGCATATTCTCTTCTGAACCCTTACTCTTCAATCTCTCTAGTCTGTGAGGGAGGGGGTACAGGATATATACTGACTTTAATGATGATCAAGTGACTGAGGGATGCTGCAAAGGTCATTAATAGTTGTAAATTTGTTGTAAATTTTTAGCACCATCATAATTTTGACTTAATGTGAATTACTGTATATGTAAAAATTGTTGTTATAGAAGCCACAGCATAAAACTAACCATAGCTTAATATAGTAGACTTAATATATAGACAGGCTTGGCCTTATTATTGGGGGGTCTTAATTGTTTTGGGAGTGTAGGAGGCGGTGTCCTGTCCCTCCCCTCCCTGTTCTTCGTGCCTGCAGAGTGGCCCAACTCTGGCCACTAATGGCCTAATGGCAACAGCTGCTTCCCTTCCGTCTCTTTATTGAGAGGGGTGGCAGGTGGGGTGGGGGAGAAGCAAGACGTGAGGAGCGAGATGTGGCTCCCCTGGTGATCTCTTCTCTCCCCCCTGCATGACAGGGCTCCTGCCCCTTGCTTAGCCACCCGCCCCCTTTAAGGATGCAATTTGGGGGTGGCAGGTAGGGCGGCTTCTTGTGAGTTCAATCAAACTTCTTGAACTCACGAGGCTTTCTTTTATAGTGTGTTTCCTTGGACACAATGGCAAGGAAAGCGAGAGAGCTTGAAAGGTAAGACACGCTTCCAAACTCCCGTTGCTTTCTTTGCTGTTGTGCCCAGGAAAACACACTGTAAAAGAAAACCTTCTCGCGAGTTCGAGAAGTTTGATTGAACTTGCGAGGTTTTCTTTTATAGTTTCCCTGGACACAACGGCGAGGAAAGAGACGGAGCTTGAAAAGTAAGCCCTGCCATGCCCGGCAAGTGGGGGGGAAGAAGAGACGGCAAGGGGAGCCACTTCTTGTTCCATGCGTCTTGCTTCTCCCCTGCCCCACCTGCCACCCTCTGGATAAAGAGACAATGGGGAAGGGAAGCAGCCAGGCTGCTGTTGCCATTGGGGTGGGGTAGGACCACTCTGCCGGTGAAAAACAGGGAGGGAAGGGCATGTTCCCCCCTTCCGGCCTTGCCTCCTCAACTCATTCTGGTTGCACAGCAAGCAATCAGAGGAAATGGCAGGACCGGCTGCGCATGCATGTGAGTAGTTGGTGGTGGTGAGGCTTATTTTCCGGGGGTGGCTTATATTATCACATGCGCTGAAAGCCCGATTGGGCTTATTACCTGGACATATCTTATTTTCCGGGAAACACGGTATATGAATCTAGCCATTAATTTCCAAAGTGTATGCTTTTCATTAATTTAGGCACTAGGTTGAAGAAATAAGTTTTATTCATGAAGATTGCAGTAAATAAAGGAGAATAAAAATGAAATATACATGATAAAATATAAGTAAGAAGAAATAAATTACTTTCTTTGAGATAAACATTTTTAGATATCACCTAGTACAACCACTACATTTGTAGTTGGGAATGGAAAAATTAAAGCTATCTCCAAAGGAATTATCCTGCATTAAACCAAATAAATAACCAGAGATTGCCTGCAGATATTATCACTGAAAACAAATTTCACTTTGTCTTTGAAACCGAGGAAACAGCTGTAATATGTTGCATAACATAATAATGTTGTGAGTTGCATTTTTCCCAAATCCAACTATGGGAAACAAAAAAGTAGATGGGGCAGATTTTGACTTCATAATGAAAGAGGGAATTTACAAGCAGTGAAGTGAATTTGTTATTCAATCTTACACCCCTTATTTCTGCAAAGTGTTTTAGATGAGTCAACTGCCAAGGCCTTATCCAGGCTATTCTTACATGCAAGTGGTGTGGAAGGAACTCTGAAAAAAATAGCTTTTTATTAAACTAATCAGCTTTTAAATTAATCCTGATTTTTTTTAAAAAAAAACCTACTGGATCAAATTAAACAATTTTTCTGGAACCTGTTTTTCTCAAGGACGTCTCCTACGGTTGATTGTATTTTTCAGCCTTCAAGCAAAGAGCATGGGAATTGACCCAGTAGCTCAACCAAACCTTTGGTCTGTGTCTGCCATCAATTTTTCTAGCATATACCCCTTTAGATCACCTGATGTTTGAAACTACTTCGTTCATGAGGACTCACTCCTTTTCTTTTGCAATGCTCTCATGAGATCAGACATGAAATCTCCTTGTTCAGAAGCATGTCTGCTTGAAATTGACCCACTTTGTTTTGGTCTTACGACTTGACAAGCACCTTCTTCTTGCTTTCTAGGAGGAGGGGGTGGTTTCTTTTTGGTTGCAGGAGGAAGACCAGGGACAGAGAAGGAGGGCGGCGGCGGAGGTGGTAGTAGTTCTGCAGAGCCAATGCCAGTAGGAAGAAAAGGAGGCGGGGGAGGAGTGAAATCAGGAGGAGATTCATAGTATTCAGGTAGTGGTGGAGATGGTGGTGGTGGTGGCGGCGGCGGCAGATCTTCCAAATTTGGAGGAAGTCGTATAAATTCAGGAGGTGGTGGAAATTCTTCATAATTTTGTAAGAAAGTTGGATTTTCTCTCTCAGCAATGGCGGATAAATCCAATGAAGCAGTAATAGTAGAAGACCGTCTTTGAGGAGGGGGAGGAGGGTGCAAACCACTATGTTTGCGGATCTGTTTCGTCTGTTGTATAGGTAGGGATGATGCTTGACCAACATTGAAAGTATCTGGCTTTTTAACCTTAAAAATGATTTTAAAATGATTAGCATATGACTAAGAATTTAGAAGAAATTATGAGTTCCTGAATAATACTGTTATAATTTTAAGAGTGTTCAGTCAAGAGGCTCCCACTGGTACATTGCCTATTATTCAAGAAGCAATCATTTACAGCATTCATTCAACAACTTTTAACATGTTGTGGATTTCAACTTCCAAATTCTCTAGTCAGTATGTTGGCTGGGGAATTCTGGGAGTTGAGGTCCACACATCTTAAAACTCCTGAGGTTGAAAAACAACAATTTAGATGCTCCCTGATTTTACTAGGATTAATGCCGATAAAAACAAAACTCTTATCAAATATTTTTACATTCACTAGGGTAAATGTTTAATTTACCTTTTGAGTTTTTCATATATGAATCAATACTGAATTGAAATCTAGCTTGCTTTAAACATTGTTTGAATTCTGCAATTATAATTGCTAAATGCAATTATGAATTTATAATACAATACACACATATAGGTAGAGAATTATATAAAATGCACACCTCATGAAAATAACATGCAAATACGTATCATTTTAGGGGGAATTGTCACAAATGTTAGCAGAAGTATATATATAATCATTTTGGTATAAACATTTTTTAAAAATCAAACTAGTTATGACACCATTATAAAAGGAAAACATTATTATAAGGAAACATTATAAAAGGAAAAAAAAGGAGAAGCATTAGTAGCATCCCTAATGTTTACTTACATTCAGTGTCTCAAAATACCCACAATTGAGTTTTTATGCTACCCCTTCCCCTTGTTAAATGTTAATTCACAAAGAGACTTAATAGAAGAGGTTGGAAGCAAAATTTAACATTCTTTATAATGAATTAATGCTTAAAAGCTTTTTTTAAATGACATTAAAATAAGAGATGCATTTAAATGGTTTTTTAAACGAATATAGAACAGTCGATATATGGCAGTTTCATATTTATACTCTTAGATGGCATGGGTGCCCTTAGCCACTGCCAAGGGCAATTGTGGACTAGAAGGGACAAAACAGTCTGAAATAAAACCTAAGCAAGGTATAGGTAGTCCTTGACTTACAACCAGTTTCTTAATAACTGTTTGAAGTTAAGATGAACCCTCCACAAACCGCTTACAACATGTTTTCAAAATGTCAACACCCACGCTCATCCCTGTGAACATGTGATTGTCTTTGAGTGTTTGGCAAATGGCCATTTGCAGCATTCCAATCATGTGACTACAATTCGCAATATTTTTTTTGCCAGTTTCCAGCATTAATTTTCCACTTCTGGCAAGGAAGAGGACTTCTTCAGCAAAAAAAGACCAATTAGTTTTGGGAGACCCGTTCTTCCAAAAAGGTAGGAAGGCCTGTAGTTCTTGCATACTTACATTAATTTGTATCTTTGGCATCTCAGATTTTCCAGTTTCTGCAGTGTTTGCTGTATTAAGAGTTTGGATGATTTGTCCATTGGCATGAGAGCTACCTATAATAATAATAATAATAATAATAATAATAATAATAATAATAATAATACAAAGAAGAAAGAAGAGTTTTGCCTACGCTACTAAAAATAATTAGATTTAAACAAAAAATAATCTTATTCAGTATCATCAGTAAGAATTGAATTGGCAAGGCAGGAACCAGCAAACCCAGGGAGAATCATGCTGCAAACATACTTCAAGTACTTTTCTAGGCCATCAAGTATCTGTTAACTTGGGAGGAACAGAGAAAAAGGCCTAGCATTTAAACTCAGCACTGCTGTACAGATTTGATTTTTTTCATTATTTTGAACAATCAACCCTTGTTCAGACTTCTACTGAACCCTGCTGTGAAGAGAATATGCTACTCTTTCCATCGCATTAAAATAGCTTATAAATTGGTGATGGTGGATGAATATTGTTCATGATTTCCAAAAGGAGCATGGACATCAAGTAACCCTTATGACAAACTGGACCAAATGAAAACAGATGACTTCTGTTTTTAACTACTGTTTGTTCAATCTTTAAGAGCTTTGTAGGTTAGGAGAATGATTCACCCGTTTAGTCAAGGATATATGAAAACCGAATCTTTGAGAAAAGCAGTTCTTATACTGGAATATCAACTCAGTGTAATAAATGAGAAAGCAAAATATAGTTGCTTTAAAAGAAATACGATGCAGAAAGTTTTGACTGATGCTGAAGGCAGTTTCACTCTCTTTGCTATGCTGCTTTTGGCTGTTCTTGAAACCAATTTAGCAATTCTACTCTGGATTGTAAAAGAGATGTGGTGGCTCAGTGATTAAGATGCTGAGCTTGTCAATCGAAAGGTGGGCAGTTCGGCGGTTCGAATCCCTAGTGCCACGTAATGGGGTGAGCTCCCGTTCAGCTTCTGCCAACCTAGCAGTTCAAAAGCACATAAAAATGGAAGTAGAAAAATAGGGACCACCTTTGGTGGGAAGGTAACAGCGTTGCGTGCGCCTTTGGCGTTTAGTCATGCCGGCCACATGACCACGGAGATGTCTTTGGACAGTGCTGGCTCTTTGGCTTTGAAATGGAAGTGAGCACCACCCCCTAGAGTCAGAAATGACTAGCACATATGTGCGAGGGGAACTTTTACCTTTATCTTACTCTGGATTGTAGTGCTCTGGCAATAGGCCTGAGCTAATGAAACATAGAAATAAAGAAAACTGACAGAAAAAAAAAAAAGTGGGTCCATCAAGTCCAACATGGCTATCATAGTACTTGATTGCTTGACCCTCTTCCATGCAGTGAACCTTAGCAGTTGCCAACACAACATTTAGAGATTATTCCTTCTTCACCAGTCGTTTTAACATGGATTCCCCCCGCCTTCCCTCCATTGTAGCCTCACTGCTCTGGGTGCTACAGTGATAAAAAAGAACAGGTTGTTATTTCAATCCACTGCACATTGATAGAAACTCTGTAGCAATGAAGAATCAAATTCATAGAACAAGAAGAAGTAGAACGCCTTCAAATTTGATAGCTATGTTCTGTGCCTATAGTTTTTTAAAAAAGAAAGGAAACCAGTGCAGGAGAGAAGGAAGATAGGAAATAATGCAGAGCATGCTTCCTCTGGACTGGGAAAAAATGTAATGATGGCCATTGAGAAATGCAAAGATACAACAGGTGTGTTCTGGCATAAGAGGTAATGAAAGTGGCAGGAGAATTAGTCTTTATGGTCACTGTTAGATCAACTGGAAGAAAAAAAAAATAACCAAGCTGACTAGTTGAGGATACAGCAGCCCAGCATGAAGTAGCCTTAGAGGGCAGTGAGTGACTGTCATTGGAAGGGAATAGAATAGCAAGTATTATAGCTAATCAAAGCTGAGGATGTCCTAGACTGGAATAAAGCCTGGTAGATCAACTGTTCAAAAGGGCTTAAAATGGCTCAGGATAGAAAACAGCCAAGCTTCTAAACATGGTTGCAGGGATGCGTTAACAAAGGGTAGGATAGAAGGTGGAGGATGATTTCAACCAATGCAGTACTCAGAAAATGGTCAGCAGCATCAAGAAAACAGAGCAATTCTGGCCTGAATTGTGGTTAGGACTGAACAAGAACGCCTTAGCAAGCTAACTGAGATCATGTTATGGGGACAAATAAAGGCCATTCCCCATTAGCAATAGCATTTAGACTTATATACTGTTTTACAGTGCTTTTACAGCCTTCTCTAAGCAGAATCAGCAAACTGCCCTCAACAATCTGGGTCCTCATTTTACCAACCTCGGAAAGATGGAAGGCCGAGTCAACCTTGAGCCTGGTAAGAATTGAACTGCCAAACTTAACTCTTAAATGGAGAGGTCATTTACAAGGAAACCAAGAAACAAATGAGTGGGCCCATCAGGATATTTTAGGATGGAGAAGCAACCATTTCTGTATGTGCAAAATGTAAAGTTTGACCATGTGAGGCAAAAGCTTAGATAGAACTCTATTTGTAAGTCCTGCAACAATCCCAAAGCGATCTGCTCCTGCAGGAGAGATCCAGTGATTGTTGCCGAATGAACTTTTCTCTTTTATCGTTTTGGCCTCTAAATTTTGGAACTGCAGAACTGTTATTCACATCAGTACTCATTAATAAAACAAACCTCTGTTCACTTGGATAAATTTCTCAGGTTTACATCAAATAGATACAAATGACTTTATTGTCCTGCTGCAGATTGTACTGTCTTCACTTACTAAAAATTCACATCCTAAAATGAGCTATTATTGAACATGTTAAAACAATGATAGTGATTGGCAAGATGGTAGGAAAAAAACTGAGTTTATAATCCTCACAATAATTTCTTTAAAAAAATAAATAATTTGGATACCTTTTGAAGATGATCCCCCAGAAGCTATGGATTTAGTATTTCCTGGCTTTGCCAGACGTGAAGCTAACTCAGACTTTTGTACTGCACCAATGTAGTTATCATACAAGGCCTTTCCATACTGAAAAATAAGTACCACAAATATCTGATAGATTTTCCATCATAAAAAAATGAACATGCATTTCTCTGCTTGTTCCATCAATTCTTAACAGAAGAGTGGTTCATCTGAAATCTCTTCCATAAAAACTATGAACTAATAAACAGGACTGTAAACCAATAGGTTGAAAGCCTATTATTTGTTTGACAAAGTAATTTATTTTCCCAATATAAATTTTGTTCTACATACTCTATGGTCATGTTTATTCACTAAAGTTTTATCACCTTTTTGGTTTTCATAATTCCATTTACTTCTTCCTTTACTACTGAAAAATATCTTTCTTCTTACCTTTGCAATTCTGATACCAGTTACCCAATGATGTAGAGCCTGCTTATCATCACAGCACAGGTATTTGATGTACTGTGATTCCTTCTGTATTTGAGGATGCTATAAATAATAACAGCAATAGTATTTTTTTAATCATTAAAAATCTGCTGAAATAACCCAAGTACAAGCCAACTTCCCAACAAGATTTCTTGTCTATCACTACATCTTGGCTACTTCAAACCACAAACCCACCGAGAAACCACAGATTAATGGTACACAACTGGGAGTTACATGACTGTAATTGGTATTTAAAAATTTAGTCAAACTTGGTGTTTTAAAAAAATTCTTCACTATCTCTTCTTTTTTCTCACAGCCATTTTAGACTGCAAATTTGCAAGCAAGGGCTATCTTTATTTTTAACTGATTACAAAGGAGTTGGGATAAATGTGCTTTAAATAATGAAATGTCAAATTAACAGGTAACGAATTGGATGTGCATCTGTAAATAAATCACACAAAGCCATATTTCAGAACATCACGGATTATAAATATTTATGCTCTATTCAAAGGAAATTTGACTTGAAACTGCTTGTAATATTATTTAATAAAAGTAATTTTAAGCATATCAGAATTCTGAAGTTAAACATAATATGTGAACAGTTCTTAATTGTCATCTGGAAGTGATTAAAAGACAAATTTACTATCTGCATTTTCCAAAAGCAAACAATTTTCCTTCCTTTTCTGCTGATCCCCCCCCCCCCCCAAATTTTACCTTTTCATCACTTTAGGATCTGAGAACAACACATACTCACATTTATTCAACACAATGAATAGGATGCTAGGTTTCATCAATCAAACTCCCAGGACTAATTTACATGTCAAATTAATTCTATGTGATTATTGACAAGTATCAACAATGCAAAATAGTCTGTCAATTTTCTTCTGACACTGATAATAATCTGTAACTAAGGTATCCTACAAAAATAGCTAATAGTTTTGCAATGATATGGTAAATCCAGCAGATGGCATCAGATACTTTTCTATTTTAAAATTTTTACTTTTGATGTTTTCATCTCTATATCGCAATAAAAAATAATTTTATTGCATCTTATAGGTCAACATATTTATTAGACATAAGTTTTTGTGGACTAGAATCAATTCATCATGAAATGAACTTGCAGAAATATATATAGAAATAGGCAAGCAGAAGATTATGCATTTTCTTATGTGTATTTTTTATATTTCATTTTCTGAATAATATTATTCTAGATTTTCTCAATAGCTTCCACAAGCATCTTTATTTTTTTAAAAATAAATAAATAAACATAAGCTATTCTTTTTCTATCACTCAAACCCATCTCCTCAAGAATAATTTTTTTCTCTCTCAGAAAAAAAGATGTGTGGAGAAGCAAGGGCTGACATCATTTTTTAAAATAAACTTATGAGTAATATTTGATTCTCACATATCACAATTCAACATGGCACAGGGTTCTAGGGCCTTAAATACGCCAATAAATTCATTTTGTGCATTTAATTAAAATACTTTTAATTTGTGAGATGATAGGAAGGAAAAGCTTTTTCAAAAATTCAAAATGTAACTGTATATAAATTATTATCTTAATCATAATTTGTCATAAATTGGGGTGGCATGGTACACTGGACAAAATCTTGGGTAGCTAGAATACTGGCCAAATACCATCTCAGAGGTATTTTTAAAGTAATCGCTTCTTGGTTATAGCACCAAACTTACCACCTTTCTGAAAACTCGCAAGGGAGGAAATAAACACTGGACATTTTAGGGTTTGGAGGTTTTTTTTGCCTAACTGCAGCAGACCAAAAATTGAGGCTTATCATTTTATGTGAAACTTGGGCGGGAGGAGGAATATGGAAAGAAAAGCAGGTGACGTAGGCAGTTTCTCTGTGATTATGGCAACTTCAATGACCTCGCCACTGGGAGTAAAAGGAAAAAAAAAAGTAAGTGCCAGGAAGTGACTCTCTCCTGGCCACCTTAACAGAATAACGGAATACCAAAGTTGGAACAGACCTTGGAAGTCTTTTAGTCCAACACCCCGCCCAAGCAGGAGACTCTGTATCATTTCACATAAACAGCTGTTCAATCTCCACTTTAAAATTTCCAATGATGGAGCACCCACAATTTCTGGAAGCAAACCATTCCACTGATTAATTATTCTCACTATTCGGAATTTTCTCCTTCGTTCTAGGTTGCTTCTCTTCTTGATTAGTTTCCAACCATTGCTTTTTGTCTTGCTTTCTGGTTATTTGGAGAATAGCTTGACTCCTCTTCCTTATAGCAGTCCTTCAAATAGAGGAACACTGCTATCATGTTTGGAATATCATTCCTCCAGATTAGAATGGCCCCCATTCTAACACTCTTCCGGAAAGTGCCGAAGCTTCTGCCAGCAGGCCAGGGGAATACAGAGTGGGATGGAGTCCATTAAATGGCTCGTATGATGTGTTGTCACAGGGGTGGCGGGGTGGGGGTTATTTTATTTTATTATATATGGTTCTCTCTTTTATTGGTTTTATTGTTTTTATATGATGTTTTTATATTCTTGTAAGCTGCCTTGAGACGCCATGTGCTAATAGGTGGCAATATAAATCTCATAAATAAATAAATAAAATAAAATAAAAAAATAAATGTCACTCCTAGTCCTTCTTTTAGACTAGACATCCAGTCCCCTCATTATCTTTGTTGCTCTCCTCTGCACTCTTTCTAGAGCCTCAATGTCTTTTTTATATCATGGTAACCAAAATTGGATGCAATATTCCAACGATGGTCTTACCAAGGCAACTTTTGAAGGAGCCAAGAGACAGCCCAAAACAGATGCATTGTATTTAACCAGGATATCTATGATAGCTTGCCATCAAGAGATGGGGAGTTACAGCACGAGAATGGGTCAGCTGTATAATCCAAGCACCAGTATTAACGCTTCCACACAATGCTTGAAGATGCTGTGATCACTAAACATGTCAGATCCTTTTCCTGATCACACTACTTTAGAAAGACCAGAAAGTGGTTGGAAGTACCTTTTAAAGGTTATTAAATGCCTTTTCATGTTTCTTAAATGAATGAATTAAAAAGGCATTTTAATAAAATCTTCTTGTATGACAAGTGCTACCAGACTGATTTTTAACCATTATAGTTTAACATGGCCATCTTTTTATTATGCTATTTTAAAGGCGTCAGACAAGGGAATCACCAGAACAAATCCCAGATTCAGATGAATGATCTTTCCCATTTTAATTCAGGGCAAGCGCAAATGCTATTAGTAAACAAGCAATGTTGCTACCCACACTGTTGTTAAAGAATACAGCAACCCAATTTGAGAGCGAGCAAAATCTGAAAGAATTAGGAAAACGAACTGCATGGGCTCTGAAGAGAAGTACTAAGCAATGGAAATGGGATAAGAGGACGCTATTGTGCCAGTTTGCTCCCAGGGTACCAATTCTTTCACCCTAGATTAATTCCACATTATGCACCATTACTCTCAGGTTACTCAAGCAAAACTTGTGCCAATAAAGCATAATTAAATTCTCCTGGTATCCGAGACACAACAGACTGACTAAATGAGCCAATTTACATATAGATTACCTTACTACCACCAGCTGTGAAGATAAAAAAAAAACAAAAAACCAGGAGCTAAGACTTTATGTTGTTGGCTTTTCAAATTTTCTGAAGAAATGCTACATAACATAGTGCCCAGAACTTGAATTTGAACTATAAGCAAATGCTGTTGACAAAATTTTGAGCAGTCTTTTCTGGTTTAAACCAGGATTGCAAATTCTTTGGTTATTCATTAATATCAATAAAATAATGATGTATGAAACATATTTGGATGTTTCAACAAAATTTATAGTTTTTAATTTATTTCACCAGATCTGACACTCTTAAATAGCTGGCAGGATTGAGCATTTCATCAGACTGACCCCTGTCATTTGGCTACCCACAATAGCTTTCCTTAATGAAAGCATTTTTAGCACCTTTCTGATAACTCCCAAGATAGGGAATGAAGCAAACTCATAATCTTAGCAAAAGATGAATATAATTTCTGAAAACCAAAAGGAAAATTATTTAAACAACTCTGAAGATCAAATGAAAAAGATGTCTTTTGATTCCCTTTCTGAAAGCAGGGAGTAGGGAATCATTGCAGCCTCATAGGGATCATATCCTGGGATTTAATGACATAAAAGACCCTTTCTCATGTATCTATGCCTAGCAGCCCCTAAAAGGGCAAAATGCTTAAAGGATTCTCTTTCCAATCTTAAAACTGGAAAGTTCATGATAAGAGTTTGGACAAACGGCCTATAGATTAAACATCCATCTAGATTAAAAATTAAAACTAAGAATTTGAAATCGCGGTAGAAAATATGGCTGCTTATGAGCATAAGGGATGTTCAGTGTTTATCAACTTCAACAACTTTAAGATGGACTTCAACTCCCAAGATTCCCCAATCATCATGACATTGAGAAACACTGTCCTAGATGATTCAGTTTCAGCAACACTTTTTGTAAGCAAATGTTTGCATACATCACCTACATTCATATATCACCTTCCATAAAATCAAATTTACATAGCTCAGGGCTTACATTTCTTATAGGTTAACTAAAGAGTATGTGACTATTATGATCAGTAACTACTAATGCTCTTCTCTTCCATGAATGAGTTATTTCTGACACTATCAAAGTTATTGGTTATTAAGCACATCTTAGGGAAGCAACTGTTGTTGTGTAACCAAGCATGTAGGAAGAAGCTCCCTTGGCTTATTACTGTTACCCGGAATTATTTCATAATATTTGATTTAAATATGGTGAACAAAAGAGAGGGAGAAAATTCTTGCCCTTTTCTCAATACATACAAAGTTTTATAATTCCTACTACATTGCCTCTCACTCACTCCCCACCTATCCCAATTTAAGTCTAAAATGTCCAATATGAACCTTTTCTTCAAAGGGTTATTCTTTCCATGGACTCACAAAACTGGAAGGGACCATTTACTCTTTGTAGCCCAAAGCCACGATGAGTGCAGGAATCCAAATTAAAATATCCCCTCTAAATTTGTGTGTGAATGTACTCGGTGAAGAGGAACCCACCAGTTCTTGCAAAATTGGTTCTGCTGCCATTTTCATTCTTTTCCTAATGAACCCTGACATGGAATCTACTTTTTCACAGCTGCCACACACATGGATAACACTTCCACTGAACTGTCCATCTCATCCCCAAAGTAGATTGTTTGCTTCACCATGCTTGAAAGGTATGCCAAAATATGGTTCATTCATTTAATTTGGAAAATGAATTACTTTTTGTCCTTCGCTATCCTGCATAACTTAGCATCATCCACAAATCTGACAATGTCACTATCAATAGATGATTTATGAATGAGCTAGCAATGATCCTAACACAAACCCATTTCTTAAAAATTATAATAATCTCCTAATCAAACCCTTATGTGGTTACTGAAAAAGTTTTTTTTTCTGAAAAATTAGACATTGCATTCTTGCTGTAAGATGCAATCTAATGTACCCATTTAGCTGGGAATGAGCCTTATCAGGGATGTATAAACATACAGTCACAACAGTCAAAAGATGGACACAATGGAGTATCGACACTCTGCTTTTTATTAGTGAATGTTACACATAAAAATGGCTGGAGCTTTGATTGCACCATTGTGGCTGCCATCTTTTTTGACTATTCTCTCCAGTTACCCCTATACCTTATTAAACTCAGCAAGGATTATTTCTGAGTAGACAGTATAGGAATGCATGATCAACATATGTAACTCAATACACAATACATAACACAATAAAGAGTGCATGTTCTGTAATACATACCTTTAGGACAAAACAATAATCAGTAGGGGACTTATACTTCATTTTGTACTGAGTACCATAATAAACATTTACGTTCTCAAACTGTATGAAACAAGCCAAGTCTCGGGATGTCTAAAAAATTAAAAACACAACCTTTAGTTATTAGAATAATTATCTATTTATTCAAAAGAAGGCCACCTCTTCCATGTTGGATAATCTTTTGATCTATTTATTGATCTGAGAATTAATAGCAATGCAACTTTTGTAACACGTTGTAAGTTTAGGAGCGATGGGGGAATATGTGTATCATTGTTCTTCTGAGGACTTGAAGCAAATGATTCTCCTATTATTTGCAAAAATAAATCCACAAAAGTATTAAGTATCAAGAAAGGTGCATAGAATTCATGGGGCAAGGAGGAGGAAGAGACTTTTTAGTAATGCATGCTGAAAGTTTATTTGTACATGGGTGAAAACTTCATCTGTCATTCTGTGCCAATTTGCAATCCTGCCAAATAAGAGTTTCTACTATCACAAAGTGCACATTGGCTGTTCTTAATGGGTTGCCATAGCAACAAAGTTTCCTAGTGAAGGATCTGTGGATGAAGTACCAATTTGAATGGAAATAGAACAGTGCCTAAAGTCTTCCTGGCTCATGTACATGTACAAGTAGTCCTCAACTTACAACCACAACTGAACCCAACATTTCTGTTGTTCAGTGAGACATTTGTTAAGTGAGTTTTGCTCCATTTTACGACCTTTCTTGCCACAGTTGTTAAGTGAATCATTGCAATTGTTCTGTTAGTGACACAGTTATTAAGGGAATCTGGCTTCCCCATTGACTCTGCTTGTCAGAAGGTCACAAAAGGGGGCCCCATGACCTCAGGACAATGCAATTGTCAAAAATGTAAGTCAGTTGCCAAGCGTCGGAATTTTGATCATGTGACCATGGAGATGCTGCAATGGTCATAAGTGTGAAAACCAGTCATAAGTCAATGCCATAGTAACTTTGAACGGCCACTAAGTGAACTGTTGTAAGTACCTGTAGTTGGTTTTTTTTTTTAATACTAGCTTTTCAGAACTTAGTTCACAAGAACAGCTGAGAAAGAGATCTTCCCTGTGCAGATACCTTTAAAAAACAAACAAACCAAGAATCCCTCTGACTTAGCACTTTCAAATTAAAAACTGCAGGGGTATCCATAGGGCAGACAAAAAAAAACAACAACCTTAAGATGTAGCCATGGGGGGGGGGATAGTGTGGTTATGGCAGCCATTTTGAAGTGACTGATCCTGGCTGTGGACACACATGCCACTATATGATTTAGGTGAATGGGGGAAAAAAAACACTCAGGAAAAATATGCATCTAAGTGGATTCCAGAATGCTTTCTGGAAGGATCTCTACAAAAGAGGAGCTAAACAGAAGCAGCTCCTAGGCCCGTGATGGCAAACCTATGGCATGCGTGCCATAGATGGCACGTGGAGCCATATCGGTGGGCATGCGAGCTCAGCTCCAGCACGCATATGTGCTCTGGCCAGCTGATTTTCGGGCTTTCTGGGCCCACCAGAAGTCAGGAAACAGGCTGTTTCTGGCCTCCAGAAGGCCTCCATGGGGGTGGGGAAGGCCCATTTTTCATTCTCCCCAGCTCCAGAGACTTTTTAGGAGCCTGAGGAGGGCAAAAACAGCCTTCCTCACCCCCACGGAGGCCCTCTGGAAGCTGGAAATGGCCCATCTGCCAGTCCGGGCCCATCGTGCCATCATGTGCCAAAAGGGAGGGGAGAGGGGTTGCGTGCACATGCACTGGGGGTCAAGGTGCATAGAATTATGGGTGTGGGCACATGTGCGTGTGACCCCCCTGCGCGACCCCCGCTTTTGCCACGCAATGGCAAAAAGGTTAGCCATTACTGTCCTAGGCTAATTCTCTCCTTGGCCAAACAATGGCAGCTTTCTTGTCTGCAGTTTGACATGCAAAACTATTCCATTTTATTCTATTTCTTTAAAATTAGAATGTAATGTAATGTAATGTAATGTAATGGAATGGAATAGAATAGAATAGAATAGAATAGAATTCTTTATTGGCCAAGTGTGATTGGACACACCAACAACTTTGGTGATTGTACCAACTTGTCTTGGTACACTCAAGTGTACTTTAAATTAAGCAAAAACAATTGCATTATTTTGCAGTGGATGACCAATTGCAGTTCAGAGATGTTATTTCTTTTCACGACTGAAATGTTTAAGAATGCAATTCATTATCATTGAAAAACAAAAGAGTAGTCTATAAAAGGAATGAGTTTCAAAGGAAATCTGCTACCCATTCTCCGTATTTGCCCAAACAGCAGCTCTCAGGGGCACCTCCTCAACTGTTACCTGGAGGCTTCTTTGCCTTCCGTTTTACAAATTGCTTTAATGCTTCAAAACATTTCTTTGACATGCCTGACCTTGGTTTTTCCTTTGGGGACATAATAAATGCCTGAAGCTCGTAGAAGAAAATAGCGCCTCTTCCAGGACTTCTTTCCATCTTCCTTTAAATAAAGGGCACCTTCAACTTCTGGCACAATGACAGATGTACCACAGAAGCTTTCCTGCAGAGGGAAAAAGTGGTGAGACAGATAGCAAGTGAACAAGCCAAGCGTCTTACAACATGGTTTGTTCAATTTTGCTTCCAAAAACCTGAGTCTCCATTCACCCTATCAGCTTTGCTTTTTCTTTCACCAACATCAAAAACAGGGTAATGCTTGATTTCCTAAACACATAAACAACTTGCTTGAACTCTTGAATAGGCATTGATCAGTGGCTGAATTTGAGATAAGAACTTTGGGTGGCATGGCTTTAAAGTAACCCTGATAAGGCTTACCCTGGTTAGGGCAGCTCTCCAAATTTCCTTCAGGAATAATTGCCAAATTGTGCTAGGTTGGGCTTCAGGGTTTGGTGACCACCTTGCCTCTGAAGATACCAGCCACCGTTGCTGGCAGAACACTAGAAATAGATTGTCTAGATCACCATGACTAAATCCTGAAGGCCAAAAGAGACCAGCTATGAAAGTCTTTACCAGTTAATTTGCCAAATTATTATCTATATTTCATCCAGGAATATTTGCCAAATTTATACAGAGATACCAACGACCGAATGCCGGTCCTTCTGAAATGACCTGCAAAGCAGTGCCATCTCTGTTTTGAACTAACTCTCATCAGTTCTGATAATAATTTCTAGTATGGTAGGTACAATCTGAAATAACTGGAGGGCACCACTGTTCTATAAGAAAATCCAGGCTTTTATAGCTTAAGATTGCAGAGTCCAAAAGTAGCCAGTCACCAGGTGGTCAAACAATTGGAATAAGAAGAAAGTTTCCTAACGCAAAGCACACACAGACCCAAGTATTAAAAACAAACACGTGCACCATGCATTTTGGAAGTGCAAGCAGATGTCCTTGCCACCTCCCAAACTCAAGCTTGAAAAGAACCTTTTCAGAGCAGTCTCATATTTAAAACACTGACAGAGCTTGTAATGAGGCAATGAATGTTAAATTTAATAGACAGCTTTTAAACAAAGTTAGTAAATTTATTTATTTCTTTATCAAATGTATATGCCTGTGAAGTTGAACATTTCAATCTGTTATATATAATTATTTTGGATAGCCTCACTGTAATTAGTGAATATTCCCCTTTACTTTGGTGAAACCAAGCAAAAACCCAGCCCTTTAGGAAGGCTGGGTTTTTGGAATTTATATTTGGAATGCGATGGCAAGTTTCCATGTCTTTGAATATGCTTGTCAGTCCTTTAAGACAGGAGTCGCCAACCTTTCAGACCTCAGGGACCACTAAATTCATAATTTTGAATCCCGTGGACTACTAATATGAATTTTTAAAAAAGATTAAATAGTATTTAGTGCAATATAAAAAATGCAAATAATTTTTCTGCGGACCACCAACATTTTCTCCCAGACCACCAGTGATCTTCAGACCATCAGTTAGTGATTGCTGCTTTAAAGTAATCTAGGCGAGAAACCAAAACTATGAATACTAACTCTACTTGTATTGGAAGTTTACGGTAACAAATCACTGCAAGTTATGAAATCACATCTTCTCTCCTTTGTCTTTACTTCCCAGAGAACTAGGGAGACACTTCCGAGATGCCTTTTCTGTCGCTATTCCTTCTGTGGCTGAGATATCTCTCATCAGCCCTTTCCCCTGGATCTATCATAGAATCAATTTGTTTCCTAAGCTCGTACAACTGTCAAGACCGGTTTCCATGGTCCTGTGAATCAGTTCTAACTTGACCCAAAATTGTCAGAATTAGTTCCTCATGTTACACATGTTGAAGATACTTCATCTTTAGAGTTTTAAAATACAACTCTGAAGTCAGAACTTCCTGTTTTTGTATTGCATCAAATGCAGAACTGAAATATTTCAGTTCTATTTCAGGAACGAGGAAGAACTTAAGAAGTTGTTTTACAATCAAATGCACAGTTCGTTAACATTAATTTACCTCCAATAATGCTTCTTTGCTTTTCTCATTCATTTCCTTGATTTCATTTTTTCCTTTGTTTGACAAGTAGAAATTCTAATAAAAAAAAAAGACAAATGAACCAATAAAATAGGCAGTTGCTACTTGAGTAAGCCCCCGAATGTGACTGAGTCAGGATGATATTAAGTCAAGCTGCATTTTAACCATCTTTCTCATCAACTGCCTATTTTAGTACTTACAGCAAGTCTTCAATAAAGTAAAAAGCTCTAAGCACAGAGCAAGAAATAGAGTTATCATCCAAGGTAGGAATAATTGAGAATCTGTCTAGTCCAGCAGAGGCTCCTCTAACCAAACTGGTCTAGGCTTTGCTTGTCCTAGAACAGAGGCCTGCAACCTTAAACACTCAAAGAGCCATTTGGACCCGTTTCCCACATTAAAAAAACAAAAAACAAAAAACGCCTCCTGCGCCTGACTATTTCTTGAGCGGCCATAAAACTAGCATATGTAGTTGAATTAAATGTTCTATTTTCTTCTGAAACTTTTCTTTTCTTGTATTTATCCATGGTTGGCCTACCGGGGGTTGAAAAGCTCAATAAATTGTGTGCCGGCGGGTGTCGCACATTGGCGGTTGTGACGCATATTTTGAGTGACAGGGAGCCGTAGCAGAGGGATGAAAGAGCCACATGCTGCTCCAGAGCCACAGGTGCTGACCCCTGTCCTAGAACCATGTTTATCTATGTGGACTTTAGCTCCCCAGATTCTCCAGCCATCATCTAGAGACTTTGAGAAGTTGAAGTCCACATGTCTTATACTTGCTAGGATTGAGAAATACTATCCTCAATCATTGTAACTGGGTTGTTTCCTTTCTTTTGCTCTGGGGCATATCAGATGAGAAAATCAACAATAGAAAAAAGGCAGTTTAAGTATTCCAATTCCTGTCTCCATGGATCTAGCTACCAATGGTGATGGAAACATTCATTTTGAAAGAGGCTTATGGCTCTTTTAAATTGGGGCATTGGTGATGGATAAGATAATCCAATTTTAACTGCATTTCCTAGGAAAGGTCTTCTAAATTCAAAAAAATTAAAAGTCTAAAGAAACTCATGTAACACTATGAGGATCTCTTTCGATATAGTCCAGATTAGTTACAATGAGGCTTGCACAGTAAAGATATGCCATTACAGCTAGGAAGTCTACCAGTGCTGGGTTTTTTTTGTTTTGTTTTGTTTAGTATTTTGTATAGACAACAAGTCCAATATTTTGCTGTTATTTTTCCACTGAACAAACTCAACACTATCACCAGCGGTTGAAATAAGATAAGAACCTTGCTTGTAGAATGAGCTGGGCATCCTGGAACTTGCAGTCCTACAAATTTAAAAGAATTTTTTTGCTCATTTTTTTCTCGTGTTCCATGTTTTAACAAACATGGAAGGAGAAATCAAGCTGGCCCAATGTGAAGAAAATGTTTATGTTTCTTGTTCAGTTCTTTCTTTTTGAGAAAATAGAGAACCATAGGACTAAAATGATTTCTTCTAGGCCACCCTTCATCCATCAGTACACAGGAAAGCTGGTATACAATGAATGAAGCAGCTGGATAGTCATTATCTGTATTTTCACTGTTGAATGACTGCACCTGGCTCTTCCTTATTAACTATAGAACATCCAGCTAATTAACTGAAAAAGGAGTAGATTCTTTGGCTCATTGCACTACACTAAACTGCACTGCACAGAGACTTTGAACCAAATGATGTCTTTCCCACTAAACAAAACACACCTCAGACTTAGGAGTATCTACTCCCCCCGCCCCCCCCCCCCCGCGGCATATATCCGATTTGCAACCTTAAGATAAATCAAAAGTAAACCTTAAGATAAACCTAAAGTAAAGCTCCATGAACTGAGACACTCCAATTATGCCAGCAAAAAGCAGGTTTATTTTGCTATCTTGGAAATCAGTCATAACCTTAAAAAGTAATTTGTATTGGTTCATTTATTGCCATTAAGATATTTGGAATATGTACGTTTGTTTGAAGTCCAAGCTTTTGGTAAAAAGCTTTTGACCTTCCACTTATTGAATCACTGCAGTAGTGATTTCTCTGAGAAAACCAATTACAAAAATACGGATAGAGAAATGTACTACACTTAGCTAAAAGGAAGATGACTCTGAATAGACGGCAACATCCTTCCAAAAAGGATACAAATAAATTGTCTGCCTTCATTACTGAACTTTCACCAAATCTAAAATACCCTTCCTATTTTAAAGTTAAGTTATTTGAAAGAAATAATCTTTCTCTTTCATAAATAAATAAATAAATTTTATTTTATTGATAAAGTCGAGTAGTTCTCGACTTACAACCATAATGGAGCCTGCCCATTACGGTCGTAAGTCGTGATGGTTGTAAAGACCGTTACCCACACCAACCAACCTAATTTAATGGCAGTCAGTAAGAGAATATGTGCCATATTTGGCAAAACCCAGAAGTGTATGCCAGTTTTAGGCAAAAATATCATGAATTGTGGCTGTGGGATCAGAGTATGTAATGCATGCAACAGCTATAAATGCAGGCCAGTTATGAGTGCTCAAAACACATTCTTGTCTATAGTATACTAAATGCAATGATGGCCACAGGGTTTCAACCCAATAAAGGCAGGAATTCTAGAAAGTGTAAATGTTAGGGCTACATCAACACCCATTGTGGTTATTCTAGAAAATAAGTTTAGGAGCCAAAATAGGTGGTGTTCTGATAACCAGGCAAGATAATTTTATATACGTTTGAAAATTTCTGCTCAACTTTTCTTGTTTTTGAATTGTTCCTTAAAATCAACATAATAAGTAGCATTACATGACCTAAGCCAAATCAATAGTGGACACACTTCAGTTTCTTTGTTTTTTTATCCTGAAAAGGCATTGATATAATTGTTCTAAGAGTGGTTAATCATTTATTAGAAGTACATCTTCCAAAATATGATTTTCCTGATTCATGTTTGGTTTCCTCTCCCTCCTGCCCTCAAATAAATTTACTTCTAGAAAGAGATGAATCACAATGAACAACAAACATTTTGGAAAACACTTGAACGTTCTATGGAAGACAGGGATTTTGTACACAATTATTTATGTCTCAAATAATTTGTTTCCAGTATCACATGAAACATCTGTAGGGTTTCTTCACTACAGCTGTTCTTTGTTATCAAAGCTGTATTATTTTTAATCATAGGCAGGCAATGTGTGAATTATTAAGAATGTGGATAAACAATTTGTACCTTTTATTGATTAAATTCTTATCTCTATATTACAGAAGTGAATAAATCCATATCTATTTTCTGCCCGCCACTGGTGTAGCTATAGCAGACAGTCTTAAACTGCAATATCACAACATTTTAAAATGATAAATGCATTTATGGGATACCCCCTCTTCATAAATAACTAAATGATAAACAAAATTGCTCTGATTGGCAGATGGTTTTGACAGATGTGTAGACCTAAAGATTTAGCTTCTCAAAACTTGTTCTAGTCTTTATCTACCCAAGCCTCTTGCCAGTTTTTATACTGCTACTAGATTTGCTTGGACAAATTATTTTAAGAAATTAATGTGGCTTTTCTCAAAGATGCTTGCGATCCTGTTAGGAATTCAGAACGTAGAGGGTAATATCCCTTGGTCTCGGTCATATTACTTTACCTGAGGGTTTTTAAATACAGCATATTTTTCATTTTTCTCCAAGAACAGTATTTTATTTTCACTGTCTCGAGTCCAATGGGATAGGACTTCAATCACATTTTCATGATCTTCAAAAAATCTTTCTAGGGAAGGAAAGAGAAAGAAATACAATTTAAAATGATCGTCTACCATAATATTTTGGCCTATATATATATATATATATATGTTAGATTTAGCAGAAACAAGAGTGATTTCTTCAAAACAGAAGCTTCCTAAAAGTATCGATAATTTTAGCGGGAAAAAGAGCCTTATTTGTATAAACTGAGCATCTGTCTGATTAGCCAGTTTTTTTCCTCTCTGTCTCATATGTATGAATACAACGACACCAGCCATTCACAGCTTTGGAACCCAACAAACAGCACACTTCTCATTAATACAGACACAGGCTGGGTGGCTGCAAAACCACTCTCTGTGAAAAACCATACAAACATCAGCAGATATAGCCTGATGGTTTGAAAATTACCGATTTGTAGCTCAGGATGTATTTCATAAAGGCACCAGTTTATATTGCAATCACAGTGGGTTTTTTCAAAGAGATTGTCTAAAACATCACGTGCCACTTGTCGTTCATCCACCATTAGAGACTTTGTGCTGTTATCATTCATGTGCACCTTGACAACAAGCTGGGGAGAAAATAATAGATCAGTCAGTTAATTTCAGCCTGGAAGAAAAGGCCAGAGCATTCAAAAGTCTGCCATGACTGATAAAAATTGAAGATTACTGCAGATTAAAATGCATCCTGTATATCACAAATTGGACTGAGAAATATAATGCATGTCTCATTCATCACCTCATCAAATTTGTTCTCCCCTGTGTGCTTTTGATTAAATAAGATTTTTAAACAAATTGCGAACTTGGTTTTGGACAATATGTTCACCAAAACCAGATGTAAAACCTAGCTTTGCATCCAAATGAAATTATTTGGTCTTGACTCTCACCATATTGAATGCAATTTAATCATTTCTAACATTTCTCTTTGATTTTAAGGGGCTCCAACCAGAGGCACAAAAAACAGAGGGTTTTTTTATGCCATGAGAATTATTTTTTTGCCTAAAAAATAATTTAATGCAACTGTGATAATAATTTGGACATACTGAAAATTTAGTATAAATCAATCCTGGAAAGTCAGCATTGTTTTTATTATGAACTGTCACTATAAAGCTCTTTACAATAGTCTTTTCAGAAAATCTTGCTGTGTGTGAATTTTGAGATTTGTACTTTGCAAAAATACACACACACACACACACAAATCCTTCTTTTGTCCTGATAGTTGCAAAGGATGTTGCCTTGTTATTCCTTGATCTAAGTACTAGCAAGATTCTGTACTCTTATTCAATGATCTGATGAACATCATTAGGTTTTCTGGCAAAATAAAGAATGCTTAGAAGAAGCTCCATTGGTAGATAACAGCAGACATATAGGACAAGAAGAATCAGGACTGTTTGGGAATCAGAACTTAGAATAACAATTCCTTGTTGAAGACTCATTTTAAAGCATCAAGAATATAATGATCTCAGAATCAGAAGAAGGAAATCAAGAAAGAACAAGCACTCGCTCTGCTTATTTTATGTGCGCGCTTTAAAATTTAAGACAATTAAGGATATTATGACATTCCTACCTACATCAGCTAGTAGCAATTTATATCATTATCCCCCTACTGCAATCCTGTACCCACTTTATTGGCCATAAGATCTAGATGGGAATTTTAGTCAGGGCCAAAATTGGCTGAAAGGGTTCATTGCCATCTCCCGACCATTAACTGGGATTATGGATAGGGTCTTTCTTCCGAATAGAAATAAAATAAAGTGTTTTGCTGGATCAGACTGAAGTCCAACAATATACAAGTTAGTATGTTTCCATGGGTGGTCAACCAGTTGAATCTGGAAAACCCACATAAGGATATATTTATAAATCCATCCTCCTGCTTATCGCTAGTTTAGCCTTAATGACTTGAAGCACTGATAGCTTATTTTCCAAACCTACAACAGGAGTGTCAAACTCGATTTCACAGGGTTGTATTTGACATTGGGGGGAGGGCAGCGAAAATAGGTTCCCAAGCTTCGTGCAATCCTCTGCCAGCAAAAATGGAGCTCAGGAGGCACTTGTTTCACTGGCAGAGGCACTGCAGCCCAGTCGTTTGCGGTTTCCAGGGCAGCTCTGTGGGCCAGATCTAAGCACCCCGTCGGCCAGTTGTGCATTGCAGGCCTTGAGTTTGACACCCCTGGTCTACAACTAGATTTCCTTGACTTTTTTTCCTTCAGCAGTATGGAGGAGTATTTTTTGATAGGCATGAGTTCCTGATTTTGGGTAGTGGTGTAGGCAGATCTACGGGGCATAGAGAATGGCCTTAAAGGGGAGAAAAGAAAAACTGGCTACCTGGCTAGGCAATGATCAGATAAGTGGGACTTGAGCCCATTCTAAGAAATTAATTTGAAAAAAATCCTAATTCACATGAAGATGAAGTGAGAAAGAGGGAAACAAATCCAAACTTCCAAGATTCGATTACTAGAGCTGTTACAATAAAAACAGATCTGACCCACATGGCATTGGTTCCTTGGTCTAGTCTACCTTATAGGTTGACATCAGAAAAGAAGCACTGTTCTGGTTTGTCCAAAAATATGACCACAGCATTTAAACATCCTTTTTGATATAATTATGACCACGAGGTATTTAATTGCTTATTTCTGTTATAAATCTAAAAATAATAGTTTGGATGCATTTATAATCCTGGTTTAACACCAAGATGAGCCTGGTGGCTCAGCAGACTGATAGCATTGTGATTAACACCAGTTGTCTGCAATTACTGTAAATTTGAATCTCACCAGGCTCAAGGTTGACTCAGCCTTCCATCCTTTCTAAGGTAGGTAAATTGAGGAACCAGTTTGTGGGGGCAATAAGCTGACTTTGTATAAAATATACAAAAGTATGAAGGCTATTGCTTAACACATTGTAAGCCGCCCTGAGTCTCCAGAGAAGGGCGGCATATAAATCAAATTAAAAAAAAAAAATCTTTCCTTAAAGAAAACACCATTCCTGTGCCTGAAACATGGTATTTAAAGAAATGGTAGCGAATAACAGATAGTGGATAGTGGGCAGTGCAACTATATAAATCCTACCTTTTTAACCTTGGCTTCCTTTAGTTTTTCTAATGCTAGTTTAATCTTGTCAGCTTTTGCTTGTTCTTGTGCTTCCTAAAGAAGGTGGAAATAAAATTGTAAAGATCTTATATATGCTTGTCCATCGTCATTTTGTAAGTTTTTCCCAAAAAAGTTTTTACAGCATTTTGTAAACATTTCTCTAAAACAGTATGGACTAACATATTATTCCAATTAAAAATGATCAAAAATTAAGATTTCCCTCCCCCACCTTCTTTCAAGAGTACAGTCTCATCATCTGCATCTTTTTTGAGAGTTGTTCTTAAATGTGTTCCTCTTTTTTCTTTTATCAATCACTGTACTGTACCTTATAGCAAGTGTGTTTTTCCTGTTTTTATTGCTTTGATAAAACAAAAGATGCTAAATCCAAGTTTTGTCCAACAAGCTTCAATTCCTTTCCCTTCTCAGCCAATGGATGGATAGTTGAGATTCACCTCACTATGGTGACATCATCACTTCAGCTATACTTGTAGAAGGCTAGTTTTTAAAAATAAAATTGTGGGTAATAGCCATGACTATGATAAGACTCTTTTTTAATTAGGTCTCTCAATGAATTCATTCTTCATCTTTCACTCATTATAACCTTCTCTGCAATTTTAACTGCAGCATCTTGTAGATTTAAACAGGTAATTTTCTCCTTAGCTTAATGTAACAATTAATTCAGGAAACATCTTGCCTCTTCAGAATTAAAATATTGAAACATTTGTCATGCCGTTTTTTTCCAAAAGAATTGACCAGAAAAAAGCCTTGAAAATGGGCCAAAAAAAGCCTAAAAATCGGGCCAAAAAAAGCCTAAAAAATGGGCTGAGAAAAGCCCTGAAAGTGGGCCGAAAAAAGACCTGAAAAAGGCCTTAAAAAGCCCCAAAAATGGGACGTGCGGAGGCAAAAAAAAAACAAAAACAGCCGGCAGGGGGGGGGGGGGGTTCAGCAATATTCGGTCTATAAGACGTATAGACATTTTCATCCCCTTTTGGGAGACAAAAAAGTGTGTCCAAAAAATACAGGTAAGTGGAAATATCAGTGTATTGACCATACTCATTCATCCTCATTGTAGTTTTCATCAATCATTGTGAATAAAACTTCCATAGAATAATCACTGGCCTGTTCCACATACGGTTTCCTCAGCCTGAATTATTTGTTAGATTTATATCCTGCCTTACCTCTAGGACCCAAACATTACATTCTTTTCTCAACCTTTTTGACTAACAAAACTTCCAAAATTGTACTAAGATCAATAATCTTTCAGAACGAACATTACAAAAGTTAAGATGTTCTTCTAATGCATCAGAAACTGACATTTTGAACTTCTTTAGGGATTCTCTGGTTGCTAACCTGAGTGAGTGGCTGCTGAGGAAAAGCTGGAGGTGGTGGCAGTGGCATTAGCATTTCTGCAGGAGGGGCTGGTAATTTATTCTCATCAGGTGGAGGAAAATTATTTAGCACTGATTGAGTTCCATAAATGGGAGCAGCCTTTGCAGGTGGCTGCATTATGGCACCTTGCTCATAGTAAGAGATATCCTTCGGTTCTTGTAATGTTGTCTTTTCTACTTCACTGATGTCTGCTATAAGATCAGCCATTAAAATATCTAAATCAGTATCTTCCAATGTATTCAAAGACTCTGTTACAAAAAAGGATAAACATATCAGAGATCTTCTCCAACGTTATTAAGAAACAGTACTTCCATAAACATCATTAGATAGTCTTCCAGACAGCTACAAGCAACACATATAGACTCAACGGTTCTTGGGATTCTTCTAAAATGAAGAAATATCCTTTCATTAGAGGATTTATCACATTTGAAAATATGCTAGAATAACTTGCTCATGCCTGCTCTTATAAGAAGGCATCCCTATTCGTTGCTTTTCTGATGGATTGTCTAGAACTTTCCAATTCCCAATATGAATTATTATTCCTAATGGAAACAGTAATGATTAAGCTGGAATATATATTTCAAAATGAAGGATTTATTAAGGTCTGATAACTGGGAAGGTACGAGGTAGGTTCTATGCAGTTTAACATTACCTTACATTTTAGAAAATAATTTGGTACTGAGATGGCTCAAAAATAGGTCAGATTTTTTTTCTTCCCTTCTCTCGCTTAGCATTTTGCCTGATTATAAATCTTGGAAAGCTTGCAAATATATTGAAAAAACTTCTTTTATTCTTCAGCTCTATTTTATATCTTTTTATAGTCAATGAATGTTCTAATCAAATCAATAGAAAATTTGGGGAAACATTCTGAAACTTTAATTTTTATAATGTCAGTCCCCTATATTTATCTTTTTAAGTCTAGGTAGAATTCATTGGACACAACAGACATACACTACACACAGGCCAATTAACAAATACTTTTGGAAAAGAACAAAAACAGTGTAATTTTACGCTTCTTATACTTCTAATCTGCATAGGAAAGTATGCCCAATTGATTTTTTTTAGTACTTACCATTTAAATCTTTGAAACCAACTGCAAAATTAAATTCAGCATCAGTTGATTGTTGTTGAGGAACAGGCATGGCTTCCACTTCTAAGCTCTGATTTTAAAAAAAAGTATTAAAATTTGAAAGCCTTTATAACCTCATATAATGGGAAGCACATTTTTATTTCTATTGGCTTTTTTTTTTCTCCATAGGAAATGTATTGCTTTAGAATTATGAAAGCTACAATCTTTTTTCCAGAATATTTTCTTCAACTACAATGATCACACACACACACACACACACACACACACACACACACATCGGAAAGTGCATATTATAAGAAAAATAGTTTTTGAACAATGTTTTTTTTTTTTGTACTCTGTATGATGAACAACATAAACACATTTGAAGATAAAAATTAGCACATGAAACTTGGCTAATAATAACCCCCCCGAGTTCCTTTCTTCAACAGAATAGTGTTTATTGCAGAAATATTACACAGAGGAATGGGAGCACATAAGAATTTAAGAAAAACCATATCAGAAAATTGTCTAGCCCAGGGGTCTGCAAACTTGGCCACTTTAACCCTAGCAGACAATTCTGGGAGTTGAAGTCCACCAGACTTAAACTGGTCAAGGTTGGAGACCCCTGGTTTAGCCCACTATTCTATTCTCAAAGTGGACAACCAGATGCTCCCAAGAAACCCCAACCATATATAAAAGTGACACTTTTCTTTTCCAGCAACTAGTATTGGTACTTTCTAGATATGCTGGTATTATAATTCCCAGAATGCACATTCTCAAAGATTCTGGCTAAAGTCTCAAGAAATCTGAAACTTTAATACATTTACATTATTAATTCCTTTTTCTGACTCAGTAATCCCTTAATTTGGGCTAGAGTGCACAAAACTATTTTAACACTAAAACGCTTAATAAGTCATTAAAATATTAAAAAATATAACTTGTTATCCTGTTAATTCATTTATTTAATTTCATTATAAGTCAATGCCAACATTTAAATTCTGCCCAATCAATATAATACATTGCTTCCAAATTCCAATAATTTTTATCTTACAAAATGTTGAGCCTTTTCTTACAACCATGCTGTACTTGCCACTTACACTTAAAAAAACAGATGGATCTTCAACCATATAATCATAACCATCATCTTGACTTTTTGATCACTCCCTGAGGAAACCCCTGATGATCAAGGTTCATTGTTAAACTTAATTGAGCTTAACGTGCCATCAAGTTATTTTGAATTCCTAGTAACCATATATATTTTCTCTATGATGATCTACCCCTAACCTGGTCGTTCAGTAGTACCAATGGTGCGTTTTAGTGAGTCTTGCTGCCAGTTGTCCTCTTCTTCTCCCATAATTAGAGCCTTCTCCAGAGAGCTAGGTTTTTGTATAATGTGCCCAAAGTAGAATAATTTCTTCCCTTAATTTACCTCTCCTATAACTATCCCAGTTGATAATCATATTTACATTTTTGGATGATGAATTTCATAGTTTAATCATGTCCTACATGAAAAAGTACTTCCTTTTGGCTAGATCTGTAAAAGATGCCAACTTGCTGGAGACTTAGGTTAAATGTGTACTAAGATAAGAAAATGGGTTGAATTGAATAAGTCCCCAGTTAGGTTAACCACATATAAACATATTATGCTAACCCACCCACTGTCTAGCTTGAAATTTCTTATTATTCATCTTACAAGAGCCTTGTAAGATAGCGGAAGTAGTACCATGCTGAAACAACTACTTCTTTGGCAGGCAAACTACTTCCCTGTGCTCTGTCTGCACACAACTTATTTCATTGCACAACCCTAGCAAAATATCCAGCAATGCTAATATTCATAGGGAGAACCTGAAACTTGGAGAAGGATTCTAATGCAGCCTCTCCCACCACCGATGTGAAATGAGATTTTACAACATTGTCAGTTTTTATTGTTCTTCATGTGCTTCAAGGATCAATCACGTTTTCACAGATCTATTTTTTGTTCTGAACATTTAAAAAACCAACTATTGTTTCTGGGAGTCTTCCACTCACAGTAAATCAATCAATCCCAGCACTGACAAAAGATTTCTTTATTAAGAGCGCTTACCAAAAAGAATGGGCTAATCAGCTGCTTCCACAATTCAGGGCAGGATGGAAAATGGAAGGACAGGAGAAAAGTGGGAATAGCAGTGGAAAATGGGAGACAAGTTCCCCACAACTAGAGGGAATTAGAAATCTCCCTAAAAATACCCAGGCTGTAGAATAGGATATCCAAGGACATAGATAACCAACACAAATTCCTAGGTATATTTTGGATTGTACTGCATAGTTTACTTCTCATTTGCAAGCTAGATATAAAACAAGAAGTAGAAATATTCCAAATATGGGAAAAGCTTTGTTGAGAAGATAAAAATGTACAATTACAACTCTGTGAAAGAAAATAGCAGACACACTGGGGAAAATAGAGAAGGAAGCCTTAAAAGACAGAATAATATACAAATAAAGAAATAGAATAAAAGGGGAACTGAGGCAAAAGCCTATTCTGGCAACCACCTTATGGCTGTCTCCCTTGTTGTATTTGTGAGGGAGCAATCTCACTAATAAGGGTTTGATGGCATTTTTATGAACAGCTGATCACTACTTTAGATTCATTGGAAAGGTGATATGAAATTTAAGGCACCAAAATGGAAGAATAAAGACAGGGAAAACCCCCAAACAGATCAAAACTCTTATCTAATGCCATTTCCCATCTTGCCATTTCAAAATTGTGAATTCCAGCTAAGCCCAATTTTCCGCTTTTCCCTTACCCTCAAAATATGTGCAAGCTTCATAAGGCTATGTGCCTTATACTTATCAGAAGTCACAATGCAAAAAAGGAAGGACCCAGTGCATGTGCACATGTCTACAAGCCAACAGAGAGAGAGAGAGAGAGAGAGAGAGAGAGAGAGAGAGGGAGGGAGGGAGAGGGAGGGAGGAAGAGAAACATTTGGCTGTAAAATAAATCCTCCCATTTATAGAGGAAAGGAAAAACAAGGAACTATATTATGGTCCTGATTGACTCACCTTCTGATGGGGAGAAGGAAGAAGTAGAGCCAGGGGCTTCCAAGGATCGTAGTTCTGGAGGGAGCAATTTCAGCAGTGTTGAAGCCAATAACTCCATTCAGTTAAGATAGCCAGCTCTGTTATTCTGTTAAGTCCCTGGCTCGTCTTTCTTTTCCTCATCATCAGAAGGGCCAGAACATCAATTTTAATAAATTTACAGACATTTGCAAAATTCTGTTTTCACTTTCTCATTATAGGGTGCTAAGTGTAGATTAATAACAAAAAAGTGAATTTCAACAACTGCAGAATCAGGCTGCAGCATAACAAAACTGACAAAAGTGAACGGAATCTGAATGCACTGTAGCTGGACAGCACCAGGAGCTGTCATTGTTTCTCAACCTTGGCAACTTTTAAGATTACATGGACTTCAACTCCCAGAATTCCCAGCCAAGTCCAGACACCTTAAAGTTGCCAAGGTTGAGAAACACTGATCTATATGTATTCAGTATCATTGTTACTTGCCATGTTATTGGGATTAATTAACTAACTTGGGAGAGAAATGTAAATCAATACATGTACAAACCCCAATTTCAGCATAAAGTACTGCAGTGGGTAAGAAGGGTTGCAGATTTTCCCCCCCTTTCTATTTTGAAAGATGCGGTTGGGTGTGCAAACTAGAAAAACTTTGGTGTTTTGATTGCATTGTATTGCATTGATTTACTCCATCAATTTAAAAGCCTCATACAAGGAAAAAGTTCTAGCATAAAAGAAAGAACGTTTACAATTTAATAAATATAAAAAGCAGAAAACTGAAGAAGAAAATAGGATTATTTGGCATACTTACCTGTGTTAGCAAATCCATTTCTCCCAATAAGTCACTGAACATTTGATCTATATCTTCACAGGCTTCCTCCATCTGAAACACAAAAATGTGAAACGGGTGTCAGTATCATATTTTACTTCAACAAAGAATTTGTAAACTGTTCTATAGTGGGAAAAATGGATGTCTTTAGCATAGAATCTCAAAAAAAAAAACCTTTTCCCCAGTTTTCACTGAGGTAAACATGATTAATAATCCCCATTTTAATTAAATGTGATTGTTGACTTTATAGACAAAATATGCAATTTTCTTGCTATCAATAAAGAAATACCATTGTCTTCCATTTGTTTTCAAGGTAATCTTTTATTTAAAACTATTTGCTTAGTAATCGTTCAAATTTAAGATGATCCCTTATCCCCCGTTGCAGTTTCTCGCATTTATTTCCAGTGTTTGGCAAAAACAAAAACAAACCCATGGGGGAAAATAGATTTGCTTAACAACTGCAGCATTTGCTTAATGATCATTATAAAAATGGTTGTAACTTCAAATATGGTCATGTGATGCCTCAACCTATGGCTGCAAGCTTGATTTCAGGCTCAATTAGGAATATAAATTGAGGACTACTTGCAAACAGTTTCATTTTTACTTAGGGTGAAAAGATCTTGGGATTATTGTTATTAAGCAGAACCACTCCAATATGAGCCATCAATCATGTCATGTCCTATTTTACAAAGTGATAATTTCTATTTTCACTTTTCAGTAAAACAGAGTCCTCCAGAAATTGTTCTATCAATTCTCCAGAGATATTGGAGTGAAGAATGCCTGCTATGTGAAAAAACAGTGCAAAGTCTTCCATATTTCTTGGCTGCCATCACACAATCATCCAGATTTTCTTAGCCCAGATACCTGAGAGAAAAAGGGCTTTCAGGCACTGACTGAGGGAGAAGGGGCACGTGGGGGGAGGGCATGGACACTGCATGTGTATTGAATGGAAATATGAATGGAGGAGAGCACAGGGATACCTTGAATGAGTGAGGAGGTGAGGTATGACCTTTCCAGGACCCAGATATCTGGTGAAAAGGGGAAGAACTAAGGAAATTAGTTCTCTTCCTCTTCCTCTTCTACTGCTGCCCTCAACTGCTGTAGCCTAGATGGGGGTCAACACCTGGCCCCTCCCATCACTGGGGGTTCTATCACAGAGATTTTATTCCTTGATGCCCAAAGCACTCCAATTATGTCCCTAACTGAAGCCACAAGGAAAAAAAAAATCACACAAAGCAGCTGTTGTATGAGGTGCCTTTGTTTATTTTCTGATATATTTCAGTAATTCCTTCATGAAAAAAAAAACTCTACATAATGTAGAATGCTAAGCAAAGCATCTTGTTTCATTTTTATCAAGGAAATAAGAAATACTGCAATAAAGAAAGGAATGGGAGGACTTCAACTACAAAGAGATTCTATTTTCAATCTAGGGCTAACTGTATAATTTCCCAGGAAAATATGCAAATTAAGAAATGCAATTTGCAAGGGTTTAGTTTGAGGAACATTTGTTTCTAAACTAATGTATCTTACTGGAAACATGCAATTTTCTCTTCTAATAGGCAAGAAACACATAGCAAATGCTTCAGAATAGCATAGCACCTAAGAAAGCATAGTTCAACCAGAATGAAGATGAAAATGATGATTGATCATGATGAAAGACTGCACCATTTATAACCCTTCTACTAACTGTATATGGAACTGAGTCAGTTTATAAAAAAAATTAAGGAGTAAGCACATCATTAAACTATTTTTCCCTCTCTATGAAAGAGAAGAGCCTTCTCTCCACCATTATCCCTGATTATTATGACGTGTCATAAAATTAGTTCTGATAGCATAATTACTGATCGGATCCAAAATTAACAATATTGTTTTACTTCATATTATATCCATTATTTTATTGAAGAACTTTACTTTTTAAATAATTTTTATTATATTTATATGCACTATATAAAATGCATTTATATGCACTAAAAACATCAAAGTGCATTTTTTGTTTAAGAACAGAAGGAAAGAAGGAAATCCTTCTTAAAAATATTTGTTTGTGGATTTGTTAAATGCCTATACTAAACAAAGTACATTTACTGCCTCTTGGGGGGGGGTATATTTCATTGTTAAATTTGTTTATTGGTTCCCTGAATGTGTTAATCAAATAAACTAAACCAATATCCCTCCCTTTCAGGCCACAAAAACAAGGATCAAATGTAATAGGAAGTTAGTGGGTGGTGGACTCCTTGGGAGAAAATGATTACATTAGATAAAATGTTTGTTTTGCCAATTTCAAATATTCATAATTTCTGTTTTATGTTTGTTTCAATCTATTTTTAATTTTGCACATCACCAGAGTCATCAGAGTTGAGTAGCTTTACAGAATTGATAAAACAGCTCTCCCGGTTAAAAAAATAAAATCGCAATGTTCAGTTTTCTGAATACTAATGAGAATAGACTATCCTTCCCAAACCTGGAACGCAAAAAACGTTTGCAATTTCCAGAAGCCAACCCTACATGCTAGCATGAAATTCTGAAACTTAGAATCATCAGATTTTGAAAGATGCAACTGATAAAGACTATCTCAGGAAGACAACATTGTGAAGCTGGCGTGGTAATGTCAAATATCTTGTTCATGCATTGTGAGAAGCCATGAAATGTTAAGTTTGTGGAATTAATGACAATTAGCTGGTTTTACACAATGTACCAGCCCAAACCAAACAAGCTACATTATGGTTTAATATGTTAACCCCACAGATGGGGTTCGCAACTTGGGTGTCCTCCTAGACTCGCGGCTGTCTTTAGAACAACATATGACGGCCGTGGCCAGGAGGACTTTTTATCAGGTTCGCCTGATTCGCCAGTTGCGTCCCTTTCTGGATCGGGACTCGTTACGCACGGTCACTCACGCCCTTGTCACCTCACGCCTGGATTATTGTAATGCTCTCTACATGGGGCTCCCCTTGAGAAGCACCCGGAGACTCCAACTGGTCCAGAATGCGGCCGCGCGGGTGGTGACGGGAGCAATGTGGCACTCTCATGTGACCCCCCTCCTGCGCGAGCTGCACTGGCTCCCGGTGGTCTTCCGGGTGCGCTTCAAGGTTTTGGTTACTACCTTTAGAGCGCTCCATGGCTCAGGACCAGGCTACTTACGAGACCGCCTCCTGCCACCAGTAGCCTCTCACCGACAAGTTCGTTCCCACAGAGAGGGGCTCCTCGGGGTGCCGTCAGCCAAACAATGTCGACTGGCGGCCCCCAGGAGAGCCTTCTCTGTGGGGGCACCTGTCATCTGGAACGAGCTCTCCCCGGAGATACGGAGGATCCAAGACCTACGCATCTTCCGCCGCGCCCTAAAAAGGTTTTTATTCCAACAGGCTGGTCTGGCCTAACTCTCCCTTTTAAATTGGCCTTTAAATTGGCTTTAAATTGGGTTTTAAATCTCTTTTAGTTAAATTGGATGTTTTAATCTTTGAACCTAATCCTAAATTATTTAATATTTTTTAATAGTTTTTAACTTTTGTATGTCTTTGTATTTATTTATGGCTGTTCACCGCCCCGAGTCCCTTGGGAGTAGGGCGGTATACAAATATGAAAAATAAATAAATAAAATAAATAAACTGAATCAGGGCTAAGAATCCATGAGAGCTAAATGCATTGTTGCTACTATGATTCATACTATTCTTCTGAAGTATCAGGAATCTGGCTAAAGCAATTAGCACTTTATCATTTCATAAGGCACAAAGAACTCCATCAGCAATAAGTAGAGATTCTATTCTAGAACAGTCTTTCTTTTCTTTTTTTCCAGACCAATTTCCACTTTTAAAAATTATGGAGGACCCCAAATATGCTTTTGTTTGTATGGGTTATGTTTATCAGTATTTGCTGGGCTAAAAATTAAAACTGATGCATTCATTGTCACTACTCATGAATGTTTAATGAGATTGTGTTAGTTTTCAACATAGGCTGGCAAATAATTTTGAGAAACACTGAGCTAGAAAGTCTTTAGACGTGCCTTCAAAATCTGAGGAGAGTCAAAAATCCAAAGGGGAAAAAGTCTATTCAACAGGAGCATTAATAATCTTATGTACAATCCATTTTTTTTCAGGTGATTCGGATATCATTTGGTCTATTAAGAATTTATGTCACATTTCCCAACAAAAGCTTTCTCAAGGCAGCAATCAGGCTGTTCTGTGATTTCGAGGACAATTTATTTAGTGTGCTCTGCAAAGAGCAGCACCATTAGCAAAATAATACAGCTTTCACAGCTTAATGGAAAGCCAGAAAATCAGGATAAATGAAACTTGGAAGGTGAGCTATACAATGTAAGAGCCACCATCAAGGACTGTTTCCAGGTATCCCGTGCCAGCAGCTATAATTGTAGGCGGGGAGATGTGGATCAGAGATCTGTGTGTCAGCTCTCTCACTCGAGTGCAAGAATTGGAAAGTCCAGGTAGAGCAAACAAGCTTATTTCAGAAGTCAAAAGTCCATGTAGATAAACCCAAGATCTAATCACCCAATTTGAATGTAGTCTCATTTCATGTAGATAAGTCCAAAATCTAATCATCCTATTTGAAGGGAGTCTCATACCAGTTTTAGGATTAATCAGGAAATCAGAAGTAACCCATGCTGAGGAAGTCAGGTCCAAGGTTGGAAAACCATCAGTCAATAGAAGTCTGATTCCCAATTCCTCTTTAATGTACTGACTCAGTCATGCCTGTTTTCCTGACTCATGACCCTGTCATATGAGAAGCCTCTCAAAATGTCTCTATTCTACTCCCTTGAGCTTTCTCTACCTGTGAAGGCTAGGACCAGCGGTGAAATCTGGCCGGATCTATCTAGCTCGCAGGAACCAGTAGCACGGGAGACTCCACCCACTTGCCAGGACATCATTATGTCTCATTTTTGACCCTCTGTGCAAGCCTAGAAGGTTCTGCACATGCGCAGAAGAGGCGCACACACTCACATTCCTGAACTGGTAGCAAAGATAAGTGCATTTCACCGCTGGCTAGGTAGGACATTTTTCCTGGTCAGGCTCTCTGTCATCTGACTGAGCCTGATGTTGTGTTTC